TGATTTTTGTCTTAATTATATTTTTTAATTTTTATCTATAAATATAACACATTTTATAATAAATTTTTATAGTTTTTTATTAAAATTTAATTCTAAAATATTAAAAAGTTAGAATTTAATCTTTGGTGTAAACTTTTCTTTATTAAGTGCAAAAAGCTAACTCATTATTATCATATTATTTAATTTTTTTATATTTTAAATATTTTTAAAAAGTTTTCTAAAACCTTAATTTCTTTATCTTTTGGCTCCTTTATTTTATTCTCCCTGTGTTTTTGAGACTTAGAAAATTTTTAGAACTTACAATTAGAGCATTCGAAATCAAAAGGAAAATTGTCATTAAAAGATTAAATCCTAACATCGTAACATTTTAAAGATTAAATCCTAATAAAAAAACTTTATAAAAACATAATAAATTGTGTTATATTTATACAGAGAAAAAAGATATTTAAGCTTCTATAAAATAAACAGGTAACCATGATTTGGGGACATAATTTAAATTAAAGATTTTGTGTCAATAATTAATTTAATTTTTTTAAGTCAAAATACATATTAAATGAAAAATTGGGTATCTATCATTTAATTTAAAGTGAATTAAATTTACGGAAAATTACAATTCGAACGTGTATTAATTTTCTCACTTTATGCACAATAGAAGGCTTATATATCTCCCTAATTTTGCATTGTAAACTTAAAACTCAATTAAAGACAGAATGAAAACGCCAATTATATCTGAAAGAACTTGTCTATATCATTTAGTTGTTTTAGTAATTCCAAATAATAGCTGTGAGGAAAGCTGGAAAAATGAAAGTAGTCTTTACCTCTTCTTTGACACTAAATATACAAAAGAAGGAAAAAATCACCGATCAACAAACCAATCATAGCATCGCCACTTCTTCGTAATAAAGTTTGATTCGGATGCCCATGCCATTTAATCTTGAAAAGAACATTTTTCTTCGATAAATCAAAAGGCATAGCATCTTTTGACCGTCAAACAGGTTATTTTTAAACATATCTTTGATCATTAAAAATTAATATAGTATATCATTGTTTTTTTTCCTTTATACATACATCTCAAAAAAATACCATTACGTGTTTCATCCAACAACATAATAAGTAATTTTTACAGTGTCAAAATTCTATACTCTTTTTTATATGTAGAGTAATGATTAGCGTTAATTTTATATAAATAAATAGTAAAATTAGTGATTTATTTAAATATTTTTTAATCTTTAAAATGTTAAAAAATTACAATCATTAATTTAAAAAAAATATATAATACTCTCTTACAGTAACGTATCAAACACCTGAATATTACCTAAATATTATTCTAAGAATCGACATTTTCCCATAAATCCAAAGCATAATATAACGGTAACATGGCATGTTAAACGAATAAAGAAAAACAGTCTTGTAGGATACATGGTGGCATCGCATAAAGAAAAGTTAGATTATTTGTTTGTAGACAATTAGTGTGCAAGTTTGCTTCCCATAGTCTATGCGATCCACAAAAAACATCATCAGGTTTGGATCGTAAAGATCGTTTTCCACTTAAAACAGTGACAAAAAGTCACATACTTAAAAAGAAGCAATACGGAAGAAATCTTATGAGCTTTTAGTTAGAGAACCATTAATATTGACATGTACGATACCTCTCAACATTCAATTGACTTATATGGCTGTTTTCATGAATCAATTTTAATTAAATTAAACTAATTAATAAAATAGTTAAAATTAACTGAGTTTATTTAAATTTTGTTAACTTCAACCTTTAAAATTGAATTTAAGCATCTATAAATATAAATAAAAAAAGTGCATAATTATTGTGTTGAAGTTATAAAAATATAATAAATATTTATCTTTTTAATAAAATTTTACTATTATTAGCTGTTTATTTTTAATCTTAACAACTGAAATTAACAAAACTTTTTTTATTTTTAAGAAAATACTATAATAAAACAATTTTATTTTCATTCAATACAATTGAATCTAAATTCATTATCAACATTTACTCTTCTTAATTTTGATTTTAGTTTCCACCAGCTCCATTCATTAAAGACAAAAAAGAAAAATATAATAAATGCTTGATAAAAATTATAAAGTGTCGTATATATTTAATTAAAAACTTTTAAAAGATACCGAATTAAAAGGATTATGGAGAGGATAAACTTAGAACGTTAGAGCATCTTTGACCCAAAAATTATTAATCGAAATTTTTGTTGTTTAAGCTTTACTATAATATGATGAGATAGGTGTTAATATAGATAAGTCAATTAATTTTCTGACCATAGTTTAAAATAATAAAATTATTATTTTAGAAAGTTATTATTATTTCTTTCACGTGCTTACTCAATACTATTTCAGTTATACTTTTATTGTGTAGTATATTCAAGATACAATTTATAATAATGTTTTTTTTTTATCTTATATTATTATAGTATATTATTTTTTCCGAATGAAAACTTTTATAAGTTAATGTTTTCAATAATTTCCTTAGGAATTAGGGTGCAAGAAAAGAGCAATGTCAAATTTTTTATACCCATGCGGCATTGTTTGCAATCTGCAATATTGTATTAATTCAAAGTTTACCCTTAATTCTCATGGAGCTTGCAAAGGAAATTCTGGTCCTATGGGAGCTGGTTGACTCACAAGGATCAACATGATAATTAGCTCAAAAGTTGCCATCATTATTTAGGGTAAAACTCAATTTATAAGGAAATTTATGGAGTTGAGCCTGCATAATCTGAAAGTTCAACGTGATTCTAAAACAGTTATTGGAGCCATTAGCAATTTACCTCTGCTGTCCTCTCCTACTCAAATTTGAGTTCTTTTGTGATTGATGTGTCACTTTTAAAATATATTTACACGGAAAACGAAAGTTGTCTTTTTCCAGCTGATGTTAGAGCTTTTAGCTCCCTCTTCAATTGTCTTCCTTCTTATTGCGGATGCCACATGCATTCCTTTATCTAAAGCTGTCGTTTTGTAATCTACGAGACGAGATATGAACCTACACAATGCATATTCGATTTCATAGTGACATATTGCACATCAAACTTGTACGTAAACTTCCCACTGAAGCCAGTGAATGAAGACAGAACCAAAAGCAATGTACAAAGGAAATCTCTTACCAACAATATAGGTGTTTCGATTTTATTGGTTAATTTAACTGAAAATAAAAGCCATTGATGGAAATCTTGCATATGACAACGGTGTAATAGATTTTGTCTAAAAAAAGGTCACAATGCTAGCTGTTATATAATACGAAAATTTCTCGTACTTTCCTCACAAATCAACATAATCATCAAGGATTTTTTATTTATTTATTTATGTTAATGAGTTATAAAATACACATAAAATAATAGGATTTAACAGCCACGTCAATTTTAGGAATTTTTTTCAATACTCTAGGAGAATATGTTCTCTTACAATAATAATACTTATTTTTATATGATCTTTTTTTATTTTATTTTAAAAAAATTAAAGTATAACTGTAAGAAAGTATACACTACAGAAATACCAAAAATTTAATCTAACTTTAGTTATCACTTTGGAGGGAGCAGAAACTATAAGAAATGGTGGTTTAATATCAGGAAATTTGAAATTGTTATTTGCTACATATATATCTGCATCCCAACGGCAAAAGGATAGGGGATATATAAGTGCACCGTATTCGTGCATGCAGAGATTGGATAAATTAGAGTTTTATAGAGCAAGAAAGTTCTCAGGGTTTTAAAAAATAGACTGATAGAGTGATCTAAATCATCTAATTTCAATAATTTTCCATTTTTAAATTATATATGTAGGTTTTCTATTTCACACATAAAAATTCTATTTTTTTAATATATATTGATTATTAATGTATCACAGTATAATTACTGTGATATATGTATGGACTATGGTTAATACATGGAGAACTCAACTACTTTTGCCACATTGTTTGGCATATGCCATAATGCTACTGCAAATAGATCAATTGATATATATCTCTCATACTCAATGAACTAGGGGCACTCTTGAAACATTTTTACTTATGAGAGACTCATCACTGTTGTAAACTTCTTTCAAGTCTGAACAATGCAAATCACAAGTGTAAAATCATGTTTATCATACAAAAATTATATATTTAGATCCTAATGGATTTCCTATCTGTCTTAAAGTTGTCAACTAATTAACTTGAAGAGGTAGTCGTAGAAAAGTGATATTCTACTTCTGTAAGTGGGTCTGCCATAGGGGGAGGAATGGCCAACAGCATAAGAAACTTCATTGAATATTGATAATATAAAGACAAGTTTCCAGCATAAAGATTCTCACACATGCACAGCCATGTCTCCAGGTCTTAATCTTATCGTCATCTGGTGTCATACCATCGGGAAGAACTCTGATTGGACAATGATATAAAGCTACAATCCTAAGCTTAATTAATGGAAGAGGCACCATGTGATGTGAGAACCCATATTAAGCAAATTCGGGTTATTAAAAATACAGTACATGCATGTGAGATCTTATTTAATGCGTACGCAACTTGAAAGTCATTCAAGTTGATGGTTTATATTATATACTTTAGTGCGTCTTGATTCATTAATTTGAAGAGTAAACCTACAATTTGATAACCACTATAGCATGCCAGCATAACATCACACTAACACGTGATATATATAAGGTCAATATAACATTAATAATATACTATGTGAAGGTTTGTTATTCTAGATGACTTTGATCACATCACTCTAAATTGGTGTTTAATTAATGTACAAGATTGATTTAATTATACGTGCAAGGTAAAATTAAACAGCCTAAAGGATACACACTCACACAAGTGATGAATTGAGTCAAACACTGAGTAGCAAATTAATTATGTGAATATATAAATGTGATATATCTTGTATCATTGTCTATAAATTTAGCCTATAGGTTTGCACATTCATCGTGGCCTGGCCTCTTGTAATATTTGCATCCTTGTTTCATCTTTTAGTTATTAGTTAGACCTTGCAAAGTAATTAACAATGAAGAGGTCATGTAGTTGTAGGGGTTATTACTTCTGGCTAATCAATATGTTCCTTATGCTTTTGGCAGTAAGGTCCCAACTGACAACAGATTTCTATAAGTCATCATGTCCTAGCCTCTTCAAAATAGTAAGGAAAGAGGTTCAAAAAGCTTTAATGAATGAGATGCGAATGGGTGCTTCTTTGCTTCGTCTTCACTTTCATGATTGCTTTGTGAATGTAAGTTTAATTGAGATATATGGTTCCAACTTTTAGAGATATTATTTATCATTCTTATCCCAACACCCTCAAACACCATATTTGTTCATTCAGGTATACTTGATATATATATTTTTTCTCTCAAAAAGATTCCTTCAATTATATTTTAGCGCAATTTATTTATCCTCTGTTTTTTTTGTTAGTGTAATTCAGTTTAAAACATTTTGCAAATCGATCTTCCATAACTAAATAGACAAAAAAAAAAAAAGGATTGCAATTTATCCAGGGTTTTAAATTAATTGTAGTCCGCAACTACAATTAAGACCCCCGTTTCGTGATTATTGTAATCATGGCTGCATCAACCACATCTGTGTGCAATTGTCTACGACATTAAGGTTTTAGAAGCCTCTATAATCACATCCATGAACAGAATTTAGAACTTTGATTCGTACTCAAAATCTTTATTGTAGGTGCAATTTCCAGAGTAGTAAATTGCATGCTTAGATTATATTAGTACAATGAACCAGCATATACATATAGTTATATCAATAAATTGCACTACAGAATTTTTGTTTTAAATTATTCAAAATCGAATTTTTGTGACATAGAGCACTCACTAATAAGCCCCACCCAGGCGTAGATATTCATGTTACATCAAAATCCTACATACCTTGTTTTCATTATATCTTATTTATTATTGTTATTATTATCAGGGTTGTGACGGATCAATACTGCTAGATGGTGGTGACGATAGTGAAAAATCTGCTCTTCCTAACCTGAACTCTGCTAGGGGATTTGATGTTGTAGACACAATCAAAAGCTCCGTGGAGAGTGCATGCAGTGGGGTTGTCTCCTGTGCCGATATATTAACCATCGCTGCCAGAGAATCTGTTTTCCTAGTAATCATATTGAAATCCCACTATTCTCTATGCATGAATTTCTTTATTAATTCTTAAATGACGAATTTGTATTTATCCAAATTATACATATCTCATAAATTCATAATGTTTTGTTACTTTGCAGAGTGGTGGTCCTTTCTGGAATGTTGTACTCGGACGAAGAGATGGAACAGTCTCGAATGGAACACTGGCAAATGCGGTGCTTCCTTCGCCATTTGATACAATGGATACTATTGTTTCAAAGTTCACAAATGCAGGCCTTAATCTCACAGACGTTGTTTCATTATCTGGTGCTCATACTATTGGACGAGCAAGGTGTGTACTGTTTAGCAATAGATTGTTCAACTTCTCAGGAACAGGTGCACCAGACAGTACACTAGACATTTCTATGCTTGCTGACTTGCAAATTCTGTGTCCTCAAAATGGAGATGGAAACGTAACTACTGTCCTTGACCGAAACTCTTCGGATCTATTTGACAACCACTACTTTAAGAACTTGCTCAGTGGAAAGGGCCTTCTAAGTTCTGATCAGATTTTATTTTCTAGCGATGAGGCTACTTCAACTACTAAACCTTTGGTCCAGAGCTACAGTAACGATAGTGGTCTTTTCTTTGGGGACTTTGTCAATTCTATGATCAAGATGGGGAATATAAATCCGAAGACTGGGTCTGATGGAGAGATTAGGAAGAACTGCAGAGTTATAAATTCATAGTAATAGGAAACAGGCTTTGCAAGTTATGAACTAAGTTGGTGAGTTTACTTGTAATATTGTTGTTGGTGGGGGTATGGTTTTAAGGTCCCATGTAGTGGACACAACGTCAGAACCTAACCCTATAATAAATAAGATACATATGTTTTCAAAATCACAGTTATAACAGCCTTGTTTCAGTGGCACGCCATAATCTATCCAAATTGTTTTTAAAATGCAGAAAAAGCAAAATTGGATAATAACAGTAGCAGTCATTAATTTTACGTGTAAATTATATTATAGTAATCAAATAGAATGAAGATTAACAAACTTGTATATTAGCATTAACCCAATGTAATATTAATATTTCACAAGTTCAATTAATTAATCAATGTTTTTATTGAAAAGAAAAAAAAAACTATTTCGAGCATAAATTTTTACTTATAAAAAATTATGAAAATTAATATAGGTGCGAGTATTTTACAACTTATCTCACGGCAAATTTATTTTAATATTGTAATTAAAAAAATAATTTATTGATTTATAGGCAATCTGAAACAATTTTTCTGTTTGAGGTTTTTTTGTCAAATAAACTTAATTTTTGGCATAACAACTGGTAAAATAAATTTATTTTTTAATTTTTTATATTTATTTCGCCACAAAAAAGACGAAATAAGTAAGATCGCACCACGTGTTAAGTATAGACTAGTTTTGCAACCTAATTAGCGAAGTAAACATAGGCTACTTTCGCAACCTAATTGGTGAAGTAACCATCAAATTTTGCCACAAGCAAAGCGTAACTAATCATATATTGACACGTGGCTGTACAAGACCATTGTTTCATCACCAGAATAGCAAAAGTTGCTAAAATTAAAAATAATTGATAAAAATGAAATCTAAATAGATGGCTGGGAGGATTTTATACACGTGGCGACATCCCAACAGTTTCACTCTGCTCTTGGCGAAAGCAATCAAAATATGACACGTGGCTGGCCAAACAGTGACCAGTCCAGTCTTCTTCCTCTTCTCCTTCGTTTTGCACTTTTATTTTTCCTTTTTGGTGCTTCAGCGTCGTTCACGATTCTTCCTTCCCAAATTTGGCTAAAATCTAGTTTGATTTGCATTGTGAAGGGCATTTGTACCAGTTTAAGAGGTATAGTAATATGCATATTTATATATTATTGTTAATTTGATTTGTTAATTGAAAAATCTGATAAATGGCAACAATTAATTTTTTTAAATTTTTTAATTTTAAAAAAATTAATTGTATGTGGGTGATTGATTGATTCATGGGGGTGAGTGAAAAATAATTTAGTTGAAGGTTTATTAAGGTTAGTAAAAAAAGATTTAAATTTTAAATAGTTTTTCATTTATTTGTATATAGATTAATATGTTTTTAGAAAAATAAATTGTAATATAGTTAATTAAATGTAAAATTATAATAAACTGTTATAAAGGTAGGTTAAATTTAAATTAATTTAAATTGTTTGCATAAATTGTTATATGTATTTGAAAAAAATAGAATAATAGAAAAGTAAATAAATAAAATAATCATATAAAACTAAATATAATAATTTATATTTAGTTTTATTATAATAAATTATTTTTACACTTATATAGTAAATTAAGTAGAATTTTAAAATTGTAAATTTTGAAATGCAGTAATAATAATGTAAAATGTTATGACATGTGGCCATAAAATATTAAAATACAGTAATAATGTAAAATAATTAAGTATAAAATTTGTACGTAAATAATTATATATTTATTTTAAAAAATGTAACATTAATAATTGTTATGGAGCTATAAAAATAGCTGGTATTTTAAATTTCAAATGGAGCTTTAGTAACATTTGTTTTTTGTGTTTTAATCTCCCCCTATTGAATTTGGCTTCAAATAGATTTATCGACACATTTTCACCAGAATATGGAGACCTTACCAGCAGGAATTGGTTCTTTTGAAAACAGTTTTTAATTGATATTCCAAAATCAAATATGAGGTGCAAGAATCTTAAAATAAAATTATAAGTATGCAATTTATGTAGATTTAAATTAAAAATATGAAAAAATAAAAATTTAATTTAATATAATGCTAGTAATTAGAGTTTTGTATTTAAATAATGTAACATGATTTATATAAATTTTATTAAATACATTTTAAAATAAAAAAAATTACAATGGGTAAAAATTTATATATAATATGTATGAAAATGTAAATAAGAATTTATTTATTTAAAATAATATTGATACTGCATAAATTATAATTTGTATAGAATATAGGCTAGTAATTTAGTTATTTATTTTGTAAAAAGAAAAATTAGTTATAATTTAATTGATGAGATTATACCTGATTTTTGCATTTATAATATATTGCAATTTTGTATATTTAAGTCATTACAATGTGATAATGATTTGTTAGTAAATTTGTTTAGCTATAATAAAATATATATTATTAATTATGTTAGTAAAATATAAATTATTATTATTATTATTGAATGAAATTATTTGAGTAATCTTTTTTTTTGTCGTATAGATGGCATCATCTTCACAACAAAGTAGGGTTATTAATCCTGGAACAGAAGATTCATCACTTCTTGAGTTTTAGAGTATCCATATTTCTGAATATATTTGGGATGGACGTGATCACCCGATATTGAGGGTTAGGAAAAGTCAAAATATTTCTGGTGGATTAGAGGGTGTTCCGGAAGAAATTATTCCACATTTGGAGTTAGCAGGTTTTATTGGAGTGGCTAACTTGTCTCAGCCCAGTAGACATGGGATTGATTACTGCATTAGTAGAGAGGTGGAGGCCCGAGACACACACATTTATGATGACAACCACAAACCGTGTCGCCGAATTAAATGATCTTGAATTGGATTTCACACAATAAAAATAAAATTATTACGGCACAAATAAGAATTGAAATAAGAAGAAAATTAATAAAAAGTAAAAATAGAATAGATATGGAAAATGGCGCCACAATCGCAAGATTGATAAGTCAAGGAATGATCGCCACAAGAGTTTTGGCCTCTTGATAAGATCAAAGAAAATTGGCTCACTCAAGAACCTAGAGTCACACGCTCTCACAAGAGTATTCAATCTCAAATTATATTCAAAACTAATTAAAAGTATGTTTACAAGAGCTTATATATGCCTAATGCTTGTAAACTAATATTAACGCAAACCCTAATGGGCTTCTTGTACCAACAAGCCTAAATTCAAATAAACTAAATAAAATAACAAGATTTTATCCTAAATAAAAACTCAAAATAAGTAATGACTAATATTAAAATAAATAAACTAAACATAATAATTAAATCCTAATGAAACTCGTTAGAGTTCAAATCCTCTAAGCATATGTAATTGATTATCTTGGGCTTTTCTAACTCTAAATTGAGCTCTCTTTCAAATAAGACAGCAACAATCTTTTCTAAGTCTCCATTTATTCTTTTTGCCCTTGCCCTTGTCATTGGTCCTTGAAGCTCTTTCAATGCCTTCAAGTCTTTGTCTTCAATTGGCCTTCCTTGATTCTCATCAATCCCTCTTTCTTCAAGAAAATTTGTCCTCAAATTTGACTCTTTATTACCTACATCAACGAGAGATAAATCAAATACATTAAAAGTAGCATTAACACCATACTTACCTAATAAGTCCACTTTGTATGTATTATCTCTAATCCTCTTTAAGATTTGAAATAATTCATCCCCTCCTGTTTGAAGCCTTGCATTTCCTTGCATGGGAAACTTTTTTCTGCACATATGTATCCAAACCCAATTTCCAGATTCAAATTCTACTTTCTTCCTTCCCTTATTGATATACTTTGCTTGTTGCTCCACTTTTTTTTCAATTTGATGTTTTATTTTTCTAATTGGAGGTAGGCAGTAAGATACTTCTTTAGGGAAGACATCTTCAAAATCCTGTAGAAGAGAGAAAACACTACTAGGCAAAATATCGTTATTAAATGAATCCATAAATTTATTATGAGGACTTTCTTTATACAGAGGTAAGCACATAGGCCGAGAGGCCAACAAAACTTTCTTTACTTCTTTTTCTCTCACAAACAAATTTTCTCTCTTTTCATATTGATTGTTTTCTTCACCTTTCTTTTTACTCTCATATTTCTCACTTGTAAGTGTTTCACCTTTCTCTTCACTCTCATATTCCCCACTTGTAAGTGTCTTCACTTTTTCTCCTTTCTTTTTAAGGTTCCCCTCAAACTCACTCTTTTTCTTTTCATCTTTTCTCTCTTGCTCTCTTCTCAACCTCATGACTATTTGATCATCACACACTTGACTAGGAGTCATGGGCACTAGAGTGATTGTGCTTCCTTTATGTATAAATGTGAACTTGTTAGAATGACCATCATGAATAGCTTTCTTGTCAAACTGCCAAGGTCTTTCTAAGAGTATATGACTTGCTTCCATAGGCACTACATCACACAAGACTTCATCTTTATACTTGCCAATAGAAAAAGTAATTAAAACTTGCCTATTAACAACCAACTCCCCTTCATCACTCAACCATTGTAGCTTATAAGGCTTGGGGTGAGGAATAGTAGTAAGATTGAATTTCTCAATAAGTAGAATACTAGCCACATTGGTACAACTACCACCATCAACAATAAGAGAACAAACCTTTCCAAGTACCAAACATCTTGAATGAAAAATATTTTCTCTTTGTGTGGTATCATCCTCCTTAGCTAAACTATCCAAGAGACGCCTTACTATAAGCAAATCTCCCTCGTGGCATAAAGCTTCAAACTCACTATCCTCTTCACTTGAAGCGTGTGATGATTGAGATGAACTATCACTTGAGATCTCACCATTCTCTCTCAAAATCATGGTTTTCTTGTTTGGACATTGGGATGCAATATGACCCTTTCCAAGACATTTGAAGCATTTGATTGCTCTATGCTGAGAAGTAGGAGAAGCAGAAGTATTAGTAGAATTAAAAGAAGTTTTAGAGGAAGGTTTACCACTTTGCACAATTGTATCCTTAATTGATATTTCCTCATTCTTTACTTCTTCCTTCCACCCTTTTGAGTTGTAAGAAGAGACATTCTTCCTCAAAGTACCCTTTCTCTTTAGTTGTGCTTCTACTTTAATAGCTTGGTGAACCAAATCTTCAAGTTCCACATAGGGATGAAGTTCCACTATGTCACGGATGTCATGGTTCAACCCATTTAAGAAACGAGCCATTGTTACTTCTCTTTCTTCAAATACATTAGCTCGTATCATGGCAACTTCCATTTCTTTATAATAGTCATCAACACTTTTGCCACCTTGCCTCAAACCTTGAAGCTCTCTATTGTAGTATGTAGGAACAAATCTCCTACGCATTAGGTTCTTCATTTCAGTCCATGTATCTACAGGCTCCTCATCATATCTCCTTCGGTCCCTTTGAATTTGATCCCACCACACCAACGCGTAGTCGTAAAACTCTAGGGAAGCCACATTTACTTTCTTTTCTTCACTATAATCATGGCATGAGAATACTTGCTCTATCTTCAATTCCCACTCTAAGTATGCTTCAACATCATTCCTTCCATGAAAACTAGGAATTTTTATTTTAACTCCACCAATTCTCTCATTTTCTCTTATTCTTACATCTTCTCTTCTTCTTCTTTGATTCCTCCTCTCTCTATTATCTCTCCACCTATCATACCTCTTTTCTTCATCATCTCTCCTATTTCTTCTTCTTTCTCTTGAAGAATTACTAGAGTCTCCATGGGCATGTGAAAAACGATCACGTGACCGCCTTCTTGCATTATTTGTCAACGCCTCTTGAACATTCCTTATTGCTTCATTTTGCCTTTCAAACATGTTTTCAAATCTTTGAGCAAGTCTTTCAATTTGCGAGGCAAGAGTGCTCTCTCTACTTGATCCTCCTTCTTGAGACATTCTACAAAACAATAAAAGTTAATGCAAAAAGAAAAGGTTCTCTCCACTCGCTAAGTGTTTTCACTCAGTAGATATTCACTCGTATTTCACTCTAAATTGGCTTTTGTGTAAGGATTTTTCTCTTGCCTTTTCCCCTCAAATGATCTCAAGAGTTCTTAAGGAAATCAACCTCCAATCCACATAATTAACCAAAACCAAGAGACAATCAATCAATGAGACTCAAGTGAAGCCAACAAAAGAAAACTCTAAGACAAAACTAAGGAAGCCAACAAGACAATAGAAAAAAAAAGACTAAATAAGAAATAAGCACACTCAAAAATAGATTGCAAATAAGACAAAATTGGAGAATTTAAAGAAGATTATATAACGTTAAACAACTACTATTTTTTTTTTGTATGGAATCAAGCAAAATAAGTGAAAGATTGGAAGAAATATATCAAAAACACACTTTTGTGTGTTGCAATTTTTTTTTTGTAGTATATTTTTTTTTCTTTTTTTTTTCAATGAGCAACGTGTGATGAACAGTACTTTTCAATCCAATTCTAACCAAAGCTCTTGATACCAATTGATGACAACCACAAACCGTGTCGCCGAATTAAACGATCTTGAATTGGATTTCACACAATAAAAATGAAATTATTACGGCACAAATAAGAATTGAAATAAGAAGAAAATTAATAAAAAGTAAAAATAAAATAGAGATGGAAAATGGCGCCACAATCGCAAGATTGATAAGCCAATGAACGATCGCCACAAGAGTTTTGGCCTCTTGATAAGATCAAAGAAAATTGGCTCACTCAAGAACCTAGAGTCACACGCTCTCACAAGAGTATTCAATCTCAAATTATATTCAAAACTAATTAAAAGTGTGTTTACAAGAGCTTATATATGCCTAATGCTTGTAAACTAATACTAACGCAAACCCTAATGGACTTCTTGTACCAACAAGCCTAAATTCAAATAAACTAAATAAAATAACAAGATTTTATCCTAAATAAAAACTCAAAATAAGTAATGACTAATATTAAAATAAATAAACTAAACATAATAATTAAATCCTAATAAAACTCGTTAGAGTTCAAATTCTCTAAGCATATGTAATTGATTATCTTGGGCTTTTCTAACTCTAAATTGAGCTCCCTTTCAAATAAGACAGCAACAATCTTTTCTAAGTCTCCATTTATTCTTTTTACCCTTGCTCTTGTCATTGGTCCTTGAAGCTCTTTCAATGCCTTCAAGTATTTGTCTTCAATGGGCCTTCCTTGATTCTCATCAATTTCACATGTCCCTGAAGAGTGTACTATTACCTTTTAGGATGTTGCTATTCTCTTAGGATTACGCGTAGATGGGAGACCTGTTATAGCACCCACTGGAGGTGATTGGGCGCAAATTGTTGAAGACAGCCTAGGTATCAGGATCAGGTGCTTTTGTAGGGAGTTTTTTGAAGATGAGCTGGTTGGATGAGCACTTCAGTCATATTGCCATGCATAATTAGACTCCACTGCAAATTACTTGATTCGCTAGGGCATATATATTGAGGCTTATTGGAGGGTTCATGCTTCCTGACCACTCTAGCAGTAGGGTATCTGTGAAGTACTTGCCATTGCTTGAAGATTTTGAGCTGACCGGTGAATATAGTTGGGGTTTTGCAGTTCTAGGTTATTTGTACCGAGAGCTATGCATGGCCACCAACATTGATCGTGTTGCTATAGGAGGACTTGCTGTGTTGATTGTGATTTGGGCTCAGGATAGATTTCCCCAAATTGCGCCTACCAATCCTCCCTATACACGTCATTATCTTCCCTACGGTATTAAGTAAGTTGTTATTGTGACTGTTTTTGTATGCATTTGTAGGTTTTCTATTAATGTAATTTGTTTGACCTCATGATCTATTGTCAAAATTACTTGTAGATGGTTATCCCATAGTATCAGAAAGGGAAAGAAAGATGTCCAATACTACAGATATATTTTTTATCGTCTAAATTACTTATTTAAATAACATCATGTAAATAATAAGGTGTATTACACTATTTAATTTTGATTTGTTATTAATCGTATTTTTATGTCATAATACAGATTGTGTGGGTGCCATACAATATGGAACTCATCAATATTTTACCACCTATTTGTAGAGATGACATGGATTTATGGAAGACAGTGGTGCCACTTATATGTTTTCAAGTATGTGAGTGGCATCAACCTGATAGAGTAATGCATCAGTTTGGTATGATTCAGCACATACCAAGGGCTCCTTACCAGCCTGACCAACTACATGACCTAACCCTTAGAGGGAAGACTGGAGAAGATTGGTCAGCGAAGTTCAGTGTTATGTTAGAAATTTGGGACAATAGACGACTTTGGGTGATGACTAATGAGCTTCAATATGGTTTACTGAGCTCAAATTCAGAGTACATGCGGTGGTATGTTAGTCACACTCATCGTTGGATGACCAGGGATGCAGCATTATCAGCTTTATCGGTATGTTGATAGAGTATTATATAATTTGTTTACTATTAGTATTTTTTATATACAAAATTACACTACACCTATTATCCACTTGATGACCAACCACATACTCTTTTGTTTCAATTTTATAAACAGATCCAGGAGAATGTAGTTGCATGTATTTTAACCATTGAGGCAAGGTAGCGTATAATTCATCACAATCACCAAATACTTTAATAATGGCTTTTTGCTTCGCCTTCCAAGTTTTTTTATATGAAATTTTGTATCCAAACTGAGCACATATTCGCTCTTGTATCAATGAAATATGTATCGATGGCTCTTCGTTTACCAGTCCTACATAAAAGAAATTTTCTGAAGTTAATAAGAATGTCATTGTAAAAAGGAAAAAACAAATGACATGTCTTACCAAGAATGCATGAACAAATTAAATCGGAATCCAACTTTTGATGATCTTGAGAAATTCTCAAATTGACACATGTATGTGAACCACCCCACCTAGTAATTTTTCACTTGTTTGAATTCTTCAACAATGAAGCCCTCACTCTTCATGGACAACCAGAGGTATGGTTTAAGCATTTAGCATACAAACATGTTGGTTTAGACTCAGTTACAAAATAACTTTGATGAATCTTCATTGCGTAATGTTTTAACACATTTTCACATCTTCTTTACTATCAAATAATAAGCTAACAAATAAAGGATATCCTTCAACCCATGAATTGATTTCTTGAAGATGTTCTTCATTCATTTCTTGATCAGGATATTCCCAATTAATATACTTATACTTTGGAGTAACATTCCAAAAAGGAATTACAGTATCTCCTGCATTATATTTAGCATGAATATATAAATATATAACTATAAAAAAAAATTTAATAATTATTCCACATTACCTGCTACATTTTCAACTACTTGTATATTTAAGTTGGAATGAAACTCGCCTTCAACATCAGTAGAAGAAGAACTGCCTAACGAAATTTCTGCTGCTTCATCATCTCTATCAGTGTAACTCTCATAATCTGAGTTTTCATTATCCTCATCAACATCATTCCTAACTCCTTTATTGCAACAAATTTATCAATTATAATTCAATTAATTACATATAAAGATATTACAACATAAATAATTTTACCTTCATTATAATCACAACTCACAAGGGTCCTATCATTTTGCTGTGAAAGTGATAAATTTAAATTCATCGTCTGTAAGGGCACTGATGAACTTCCACCAACAGCAATATCTACATATAACTTAATAATATTTCTACTTGATTGTTGTTGAAATGCACTTATCATGCAATCAATATCTTCATTATCACATATATCCAAAGCTGTATACTGTCTAATATTTTCATCAATCAAAAAACGAGAAATTAATCTAGAAATAACTTGATTATGGTTAAGATTAAGTTTCAAATAATTTTTTTTCAATGTTTCATAACTTATTCCTCGTTTTATCTGCATCACTTTCTTATTTCCTTCAAAACTCACTCATTCATTTCCTTCATAGATTCTACCATTCCAATATATAATAATAAGAATTTCACTCATCCTGCATTTTAAAAAATAAACTTTATTTAATATTTAAATTTTACATTAATTAACATAAATAAAAAAACTACTCATTAATTAATTAATTTCACAATTTTTAATTAAAAATAACTAAATTCATGTAATAAAAATTAAATAATAAAATTATTAAAATAAATATACCTAATTTTCTTCTAATTTGCTCGCCAACGGTGAAGAAATGAGAGGGGGGATGGAGTATATATAAGGTTTAAATTTTGCCATATAATTTGCAAAAATTTTGTACCAATTTCACCACTAAAATCATGAAATTAAGCAAAATGTTGACACATGTCATGTTCTCATTTGTTTCATCAATTTTGTGGCAAAATTTATTTAAAATTAAATTCAGAAAAATATTTTTACCATCAAATATGTGAAATTCTTCTATTCGCGACACATATCAAATTTCTATAAATTTCGTCATGAGAGTTGCCAAATTTAATTAAGGATAATAATAAAAAAATATTTTTGCCAAACAATATGACGAAACTTCTTGCCATGTAACCCAAAAAACTCCAAAGTGAGAAATAGTTTCTCATGAACTATAAATTGGTCAATTGTTTTTTTATTTACAATATTAAAATAAATTTTCCCTTATCTCACTCCAACCTATGTATTGTTAGGCATATTAAATTTAATATAGAAAGGTAAAGTTATACCTACACCCTTTATAATATTATAATTTATAGTCACAACTCCTAATGGATCTTAATAGAAAAAATAAGCCATTATTTTCACTCATTCTTCTTTATTTGTCTAGTAACTAATATATTTGACTTCTATTATATTTACTTAAATTTTTTTATTTACTATTTGTTTATAATTAAGTTACAAATAACCCTTTTTATTTAATTAAAGCGTGAATAATGAAAATCAGATAATATAGAATCAATTAATAAGATTTGTTTTATTTTAAATTCTTTATTGCTTAAAAAAATTGTAATCCATATTAATCCTACCTCCCTGTTAAAATTCTGAAAACTATTAAGAATATATTTTATTATCAATTTGATTTTATTAAATTGCGAGTAAATTTCATTAAAAAAAAAAAAAAAAGAATGTTGGTACGGTTCTAATGCACGGGGGCTGAATCGTGGTGGCTGAAGGCAGCAGAAAGCCGGAGTGAGGGTGCCGGGAGCATGACAGTGTGCGGTGACGCCACGAACTGGGACGAAGATGCGTACAGGGAAATCGTACTGAAAGAGAGAGACATTGAAACCCGAACCGTTTTCCGAACCGCTTGGGCTCCCCCTTACACCCCTAACCTTCACACTCTCCTCGTTGCCTCCAGCGACGGTTCCATTGCCTCTTACTCCATCTCTCCCTCTAACCTCAATAATGTATTCTATTAACTATCTTACATACGCATTACTATCTTCAATTTATTTTTCATTCTATCAATTGTTTTCACTGCTCGTTATTTCATTTCACTCATAGCAATTTTATTTTATTTTATTTTGCGATGAAACTAGCGATTCTTATGCTTTTAAATTTGTCGCAGCCCTTTGGTTTTGTGAATGCCGATAAAGATAAGTAAGTGTGGGTTCGGAATTTATGCTTAATCAATTATTTATCAGTCTTAGGGTTAACTGTGTTTTCGTATGCCGTGTTTCTGGATTAGATTGTTCGCGGAACCCAATTGCTTCTTTCAAGCGCATGATGGACCTGCGTATGATGTCAAATTCTATGGTGATGGTGAAGATGCTCTGTTGCTGAGGTTCAAATTACCCCTGAACAGTGAACACTTACTGGTTCCTCTGTTTCTCTCCTTCTACTCTATTCTCATGGTGAACCACGCTAGGATACTTATACCCATGCGCGTAGTGTATGCATATTGCATATAGAGGCAAACTCAAGTATAGGAGCATGATGTTTCTGTTTGTGAGAATGCTTCTGTCACTTCATATTTTCCACTAAGGAGAAGTTTCTGTTTCACCCATTTAAATTTTAAAATGAGAACATCTGGCTTTTTGGTACTAATTATCTTGTATGATATACTTTTTCACATGTTGATAGATCTGAATTCCAGTTGCTATGTTGGTATTACCATTCTGGTTTTGGAAATTTGAATTTTGTATTCTTAAGTTTGTGTTTACGTTGTGCACTTCTATGTTATGCATTTGTGCTTGTTAATGTGTATATGCATTTACAGTCATGGTCTTGATTGAATTAATTGCATGATGAGCAAGTTTGTGAACTTTCTATGCAAGGGTTTTGTTTTAAAGAGAAGGGAATTTCTATTTGCTGGATATTCAGGGAGTTATGTGTTTGCAGATGTTATAGTTCTCCTTTATTTGGTGTAAATATTTGATATAAAATGTTAATATAATATAATTCGTATGCATGCTGAAATGATTGTTCGTGACATGATGCATGAATCAAACATATTAACCGACACTTATATTGATAAAACTGAGGGTGTTTATTACCATTTGACATATCTCCTGACAGCAGCTTTGTCTTGCAGCTGTGGTGATGATGGTCGGATTCGAGGATGGAGATGGAAGGAAATTTTAAGCTCAAATTATTCTGTTTCTTCACAAGGTGATATATCTCGCAGCTGCTATTGAATTTTAACTTACATTCTTGTTTTCTTCTTTGCTTTCCCTTGATTACTCTGTTTCTTCACATATGAATCTTAGTATTTTATCATAGAAAGTGGCCCTTGGTCTTGTCTTGTTCTTTTCCAAATGATAAAACTAAATCTGATTGATTTCATTTTTGAACATTTAATATCAAATTGAAACCGTTAATAAGAACTTAGATTTGTTCCTGTTTAAATTATAGGTTAAAGACGGAAAAGATAGAAGAGAAAAATACTACTCAAATGGTATTATACTATTATATAAAGCGATGATGTGACATGCATGATATAAAATATCAGTCTGTTACATCTATTTATACTAATATTCAGGGTTAAGTACTAGTGTTGTACAACTAGTACAAAGCATGGACCAGTAATACTTCCTACATGATAAGACTCATAAAAGGATCTTCCATCTCTCATTGTTGTTTTCTTAAATGAGAATTTAGAATTCTAAATGCAAAACATCAATGTGATTGATGTGATGCAGCAAGGATTTTGACTTTGTTCCCAAATAAAAGTAAATTATGGTTCAGCTAAATTTCTCTGTTTGGCTAAAGCTCAGTATGACATTTTTTTCCTCTTATACCCATCTTATTGTTTGTTTGATTTGATTAGGGAGTTGTGCTGTTCACCTCAAATTACCTATTCTATGTCATTTATTTTCTTATTTTCCCTTTGAATTAATGACTTGTTCCACGTCTTATGTATGGCATCCCATAATATTTCAGGAAATGATATCAAGCCAGTACTTGATGTGGTGAATCCTCAACACAAGTGAGTTTTTGGAGAATTGATGCATGTCTCAGCTTTGTTTGCTAGTTATTTTCTATAAGTACTGAAGAAGTAGAAGATGCCTTTTCATTCTTGATTTCACTATTGTTTGGTTCATATCATACTTCATGTATATTATTATCTGAATATCCTCTTCTTCATGTGGGCTCCATGTTTGGCATTTTTTGAAATAGACTTGGGTGTTTACAATGCTTGTTTATTTTATTTTATTTTACAATTGTTAACATTTTTGGTATTTGCCTGACCCAAAATCTGTCAGAAAAGGGGATTCTTCTCACAATCTGAATCTGAGCATATGCAGAAAATTTGTAGCATATATAGTATCAGTAGTTCCTTTGTTTCTCTGTTTTTGGTTGTCTGATTGTCCTCTATATACCCACACACTATTTGTCTTTCAGAGGTCCCTGGGGTGCACTTTCACCTATTCCTGAGAATAATGCTATTGCTGCTGATACTCAGGTTTGTAACTGTTCTGGTTGTTTGTTACAATAATTTGTTGTTATTTCATGACTGAGTTTGTGTCTATATTTTCTTGTTTGGTTGTAGCGAGGATCTGTTTTTGCTGCATCTGGTGATTCTTGTGCATATTGTTGGGATGTGGTATGTATTCATGGAAGGGGAATATAATTCTTGTGTAGGAAGTTTCTTTTGGGATAACTTTATTTTTATTTGTATCTCTGTTGATGCTGGACTAATATGTTATTGTTTATAGGAAACTGGTAAAGTAAAAATGGTATTCAAGGGGCACTTGGACTTTTTGCATTGTATAGTTGCTCGCAACTCCTCTGACCAGGTCTTGTCTCTTGACTTTATTGTCATTTTGACTCAGTGGTAATTGCTTATCGAAAGAAATAAACCCAGAGGTGAATAAAGGAGTTTTCGTCATGTTCAGACACTGCTCTGAATTTAATTAAGTAAAGGAAACTGTTTTACAAATTTTTACAGCTGTACAAAATAGTATGAAATAACAGATAAAGATACATGAATTAAACAACAAAACAACACATAAAGATAAATATACAGAACTGAAACAATATAACTAACAGAAATATCCCTATATATCTAGCAATGATCATGTTTCTCCCATACACTGTTAATTTATCAACTATTTTCAGGAATGTTTGCATTTGAAGTGTAAGAATTGACTTTTTTCTATAAATACTTGTTCAAAGACATATAATAAATAAAACAAGGCACACACCTGTTGATGTGCAATTAAGAAAGAAATGATGGATGTAAGAGGAAAAGTAGTAGTCCTAGTGGAGATAATGTTATTATAAAATAAAGAGAGTGGAAGATAAGATGGAGTTTTGTTAATTAAATAAATATATTTAAAAAAAATTTCCCTATATGTGATGTTCTCTTTACTAGGTTAATATTTTTTTAACATGTATGTGACATATATACTGTTGAAACAACTAGATATCTTTTCTGCAGAAACAGAAATAGGTATTCTACCAAAAATGTTAAAAGACTTTACACTATTAACATTATTTGAAGTTCCATTACTCTTCTGGTGATAGAAAAGATGTGGGTTATTATTTTAAAACCCTGACAGCTAAAGCATCTTCTCTGTCGCCATTGCTTTCTTACTTAGTAATCTTTTTGTCCACCCACAATTTGTCTAGTATTTTAACTATTGGTTCCTTCCGATTAATGTTCAGATCATAACAGGTTCAGAGGATGGGACTGCACGAATTTGGGGTACTGTTAATTTTTTAGCTCAAGTTACTAAAGCAGAACAAACTACATAAAGCATATTACTTTATGATGTAAATTAATTGGTTACTGAAATATATTGGTGCAGCTTTACTGGGTACTTATGTTTCTGTTCCTTATTTACCATATTTACTAGATTGCAAAAGTGGAAAGTGTACCCAGGTGATTGATCCAGCAAAAGATTTGAAGTTAAAGGGATCTGTTTCATGGGTTGGCTGTGTTGCCTTAGATGCAAGTGAGAGCTGGTTGGTAAGAGCATATCTATTATTTTATAATTTCTTTTCCTCTTTCTTACCTATTTTTTGTCTATGCATGGGAAAATATGGTGTATATGTTATTGAATTGCAGTTTCGGTTTATACATAGTTAAGGGACCATTGTCACCTTTATTCAGGCTTGCAGCAGTGGACGTAATATATCACTTTGGAACCTTCCTGCTTCAGAATGCGTATCAAAGATTCCAACTCGGGCTTGTGTACAGGACATGTTATTTGATAATAATCAAGTGAGTTGCTATCTCTGGTATCTCTTCAGTTGTTTCAAAATGGTCATTCTATGGTCACTATCAATGTCATATGCACCAGAAACTTGTAGGTGTTTATATCATATTCAAAATTTATTAGTAATATTAATTTTTTATTAGATTTTCTGGTGGAAATATGCTTGCGTAATTTACTCCTTTGTCAGCCATCGGTATTGATTGTAATTATCATTCAGTATCTGTCATGTTGAATACCTCTTTCTGAACATTGACTCATTACTTATAATATCAGTACTCTCTATAATTTTATATCTCCCAGTCCTTGTTAATCTTTGTCTTCTCTTTCAGATTTTGGCTGTTGGTGCAGATCCTCTACTGAATCGCTTCAACATGAATGGCATGATCCTTTCGCAAATACAGTGTGCTCCTCCGTCAGCTTTTTCTATCTCCTTACATCCAGCAGGGGTATGTACTCATTTAAAATCATTGCTATTGAGTTGTGATTAGTACCTTCTGTTCTAGTACTAACTGGTCAGCTCAAGCCTGCTGCACGGGCTCCTTGTTACTATCTGCTTTATTTAACATATGTTGGGTGTTTTACTGCATCATTCATTTCAGGTTATGGCAGTAGGGGGTTATGGATGTCTTGTTGATGTTATCTCACAATTTGGCAGCCACATGTGCACATTTCGTTGCCAATGTTCCTAAGCGAAGCTGAGAAATTGCAAGGCAAAAGCCCTAAGCAATTTCCAATTCAATGAATGACCAGCTCCGGGATTTATTACAGAATTGCAAGCCCTAAACAAGTTTCATTGGATGAATCGTAGATATCTTAGAATTATGTGGATTACCAGAAAAATGGAAAGATTTGTTTTTCTCTTTCTCCCTGCATGACTGTTTAGGCAGCTAGGTTTATAATTAAGGTTGACTTTTACGAGGTTAAACATTTAACAGTTCATTATGTGTGGCATACAAATTTATTTATTTTTGTTTGTATTATTATTTTTTTATCTTTTTTTTTTTATATATATACACATCTAAAAAATATATCCTAACTGTAAAAATGCCTTGAAGTGGTTAGAAAAAAACACTTTCTCTTTTTTTAATTGGTTGTTGGGGGCTTAAATGTTAGAATTTTATTTTAAATGATAAAAAAAAAACTTTGTATCTTGATGACTATTTTTTGTTTTCTTAAAGTTTTACATATAAAAATAGAATAAATTTTTATGGTCTTACATTTGATGATAATAAACTAAATAAAATTATGTTATTTTGTGTTTTTTTTTTTATCAAATTTATTTTGTTTGTTTAAACATAAGCTATCTAATTAGATAAATTTTATACAAGAGAGATGGATAGGATAAATTCTTATGATATATTTATTATATATTGTCGGTTATATAAATATTAAAAATAATATAAGATAAAATAAATTTTTTATCTTATTCTTTTATTACATCTATTAAATGAATCCTTATAAGAAATAAAATAATTTTTTTAAAAAAATATATAAAATATTCTTTCAAATTTACACATCCTACAACAAGTATTATAATTTTTTTTTTCTATTTGCAAGCATCATAATTTAAAATGGAGTCATTTTGTTGACTAAAGTAAAGCCCTCGAACTGAATGAGAAACACATCTTATCTACCGGTGTTTAAGGATTGATTTAAATTATTTTAAATCAATAAATTGATTAAAAAATAATTTAAATAAATTCTTAAGTGAAAAAATAAATAATTTAAAAAACATTTTATTGGTTTGGTCAATTTTTTTTATATTCAAAATTGAATTAACTTGTAATATATATTAAATTTATATTAATATTTTTCTCTCCTTAGATAAAATTTTAACTTAAGAGTGTTAAGAGTTGTGTTACAAAGTATATATTAAATAAATGTAAATATTTTATAATATTGATGTAAACAAAATTATTTTATCTAAATTATGTTATTTTGTGATACTTCAATCGATTTATAACAATATTATGAATTGATCTGGTTTAATTGTTAAATTTTATTTATTTTTGTTTTCTTTAATATTAGCTTTAAAAAATAAAAATAAAATAATTAATTTAATTTAAACTGGAAAAGATTAAATAAGATCGATCTAATTTTTTAAAAATAATTTAAGACTAAAGATATTAGAAGAATCATACTTATTAATTTTAAAAAATATATAAAATATTCTTTCAAATTTACACATCTTACAACAAGTATTATAATTTTTTTTTCTATTTGCAAGCATCATAATTTAAAATGAATTGTAAGTTTTTATTTATGACTGGATTAGGTTTTTTTATCAATTAATTTAAATGAAAACTGTATATACTCTGTTTGACACGTGTTTATGCTATGAGTTTCATTTTTTCTGAATTCCCAGAAAAATATTGCCCAGCTTATTTACCAAAAAACAAAGGCCAGCCAACTTCTTTGTCTACATGATTCTGAAGTTCATATCATTCAAAATAAATAAATCATGAATTAGCACTAAAAACATAATTATATCACATTCGTTTTATTTTGCTTCGTGTTATCTAAGCATGCGTTTGATTCGGCTTCCATGCTCAAAAAAGGTGCATAAAGGTGCATTAAAGGCGCAGCACATGCGAAGTAGGTTTATGGGCTAAAGCCCAAGGGATAGGGAGAGTTTGACCATGGGCATTGACTGGGGGCAAAATAGGGAGAAAAAAAGAGTACAGTCCCGCAACACACCTAGGAACCCTCGTTTCATTTATCACTTGACACTCACTCACTTCATTCACCATCGCCACAACGCTCTTCCTTTCCTCGACTCCGCGGCGTAGATCCGAGGAGTTTGGGAAACCCTAACCCTACTCCGTTCACCCAATCTTTGCTCCGTCATCATTCTCTAGGTCCTCTTTCTGTTCCATCTTCTATTTTCCGTTGTTTTTCATTATTATAAAACTGCGTTTTATTTGGTAAATAAATAGTAGATGTCTATGCCTTGCTCACTTCTATTCCTCTGTATGGTTTATTTTTGTGAGCTGTTATTTTTTTGAGACTATATTGAATTGAACTTTTAATATTCTATTTCCGTTGCAGTCATGGCAGGACTTGCAGCTGAGGGTTCACAGTTCGATGGTCGTCAATATGACGCCAAAATGAGCGACTTGTAAGGATTATTGTTTTAATCTGATTTTTATTTTAAGGTCTTCTTTATTATTACTGAAATTGTTGTCAATATTTTCGTTTGCTTTTGGATATATGGTTGCAATTGAATATGTTAACGTTATCTGTTTCATTTTGATGGATTTTTTTTTTCAGGCTTACATCTGATGGACAGGAATTCTTCACATCTTATGATGAGGTTTATGATAGTTTTGACGCTATGGGTTTGCAGGAGAATCTTCTGAGAGGCATTTATGCATATGGTAAATTTAATGTTCTTTTAGGTTTCCTAGTGATGTCCATTTAAGTTTTATTTTCATTGTTGTGCCTTCAATTCTTATGTTTTTGAATTGTTCAAAATTTAATTAGTGTAAGCATAGCACTAGACATGGGATTTGCCATACTCTTCTGTATTGTTTTAAAAATGGTGTTTGTTGTCCTGTACTGTTTCTGATTTATGGTAAATGTTTTGATTTTTAAACTCTGTATGATTATTGCTTTAGGTTTTGAAAAGCCATCGGCCATTCAGCAAAGGGGAATAGTTCCCTTCTGCAAGGGACTTGATGTTATTCAACAGGCACAGTCTGGAACTGGAAAGACAGCAACTTTTTGCTCTGGTATTCTGCAGCAACTTGACTACAGTTTGACACAATGCCAGGCCTTGGTTTTGGCACCAACTCGTGAGCTTGCTCAGCAGATTGAGAAAGTTATGCGGGCGCTTGGTGATTATCTTGGTGTCAAGGTTCATGCTTGTGTGGGAGGTACTAGTGTTCGTGAAGACCAACGCATTCTATCCAGTGGTGTTCATGTTGTGGTTGGTACTCCAGGTCGTGTGTTTGATATGCTGCGCAGGCAGTCACTTCAGCCAGATTACATCAAGATGTTTGTATTGGATGAGGCTGATGAAATGCTTTCCCGAGGTTTTAAAGATCAGGTACTTTCTTGTCCACAACTCACTCAGTCCTTTTTCACTTTTATATTATTGACTTTTTTGCTGTTTTTGTCTTCTTCCCACAGTTGTCTTTTTAGTTTTTTTGTATATTGATGTGTAAACTCATCCATGTCAACTCTTTTATTTTCTTTCTGTTATCATTAAAATATTTATACTTTCAACTCTCTGTTCATGTGTATATTTCTTGTTCCTATTGGGTTTTTAGTGCTAAAATAATTGATGTATGTATAACTGCCTGCTTTAACCTTGGTTTTATTGTTATCAGATCTACGATATATTTCAGCTGCTGCCATCTAAAATTCAAGTGGGAGTTTTCTCTGCTACCATGCCTCCTGAGGCCCTTGAGATCACAAGGAAGTTTATGAACAAACCTGTGAGGATCCTTGTGAAACGTGATGAGCTCACTTTGGAAGGTATTAAGCAGTTTTATGTCAACGTTGAGAGAGAGGAATGGAAGCTGGACACACTCTGTGATCTTTATGAGACATTAGCTATCACTCAGAGTGTCATTTTTGTAAACACCAGAAGGAAAGTCGATTGGTTGACTGACAAAATGAGAAGCCGAGACCACACTGTCTCTGCAACCCATGGAGACATGGACCAGAATACCAGGGACATTATTATGCGTGAATTCCGTTCTGGGTCTTCCCGTGTTTTAATAACTACTGATCTTTTGGCTCGTGGTATTGATGTCCAACAAGTGTCTCTAGTTATAAATTATGATCTCCCTACACAGCCTGAGAACTATCTTCATCGCATTGGTCGAAGTGGGAGGTTTGGCAGGAAAGGTGTTGCCATCAACTTTGTCACGAAGGACGATGAAAAAATGCTGTTTGACATCCAGAAGTTTTACAACGTGGTAGTCGAGGAGCTGCCATCAAATGTTGCTGAGCTCCTCTGATGAGATTTTGTCCTCCATCTTACTAGATGACATTAATCTGCGTTTGGGAAGTGTTATGTAATGTTTCTCCCCCTCTTCTCCCCCCCCCCCCCTTTTTCCTTTCTTTGGTTGTATTTCCGCTCTTAAAACCTTGTTTAATAGGCTTAGTAATTTAATTTAAATTGTCAGTTGTCTGAATATCCAAGTGTTAACTACTTGCTATGTGGAATCCCATTATTGGCCAAATTGGTACTGTCGCTGCACATTTTAGGACTCAAATTTTCTGTTTTACGTTTGATTACTTTACGTCAAATGCATTCATGTATTTTTATTTTTATTTGGAACTAATGCTATGGCTGAAGTGTGGCGTTTGAGATGAAGGCTTTTTTTACATTTGATCATGTGCTTTAATTTAAAACATTTGGAGTATGTTTGGAGCCCTTTTGGGACTACGTTGATCAAGTGGAGCATGAAATAATACATTATCTACGGTTTAGATTAAATGTGCATGAATTACAAAGCACATTTAATGAGAACAATTATTTTTTTCGATTCTAGGTGTCCTGAGTTTTTGGTAAATGTACAAGCAAAGCCTTGGTTATCAGTTCAAAAGAACACGCATGGACATTGAATGCGAATGGAATAAATTCTTCGTTTCATGCTTCGGGACGGGTGATCGTTTACTTCCACGTTTCATGTTTTGAGACGTGTAAACGTCCGATTGTTTGATTTTTAATGATAGAAAAATGCTAACCTTTGTATTTAAGATATTAGAACACTAGTTAAGGAATTAAAAATATATTCATTTTCATGTATTTTTTAATTCATTTAAACATAAATTTTAATTAAAAAAAATTATTTATTAGTTCTTTAATCACTATCTTAAAGACACTAGTTAGTAAGATCCTTGATGATAAAATGAAAATGTGGATTGAGACGAAATGGAATTGAATAAAATAAAATTATTATGATATAATTTAAAACTATTTTATTTTTTAGAACAGAGTAAAGGGTTTATTATATTAAATAAAAAGGAAATGAATTGAACTTTTTTTCTTTACTTGTTTGGTTGGATAGAAAAATATAAATAATTATATTAAATAATTTTCTTATTCTTCTAATAAAATAAAATAACAGTTTGATTATTATGACAAAACTCCCTCTTCTTTTCATCTTTTTGTCTTCAAATCGGAAAGATTAAAATTACGGTGGGCTTTACATTAATTCTAAACAAAGTTTAAATTTCATTTCATCATTCATGCAAGGGAAAAGAAAAATAATCATAAACGAAATGACAACTACTGTCATTTCATGTTAGTTTGCTTTAATTTTCAATTATTTGAATCAATCCAAATATTAATTTATATTATTTTGTTAATTTAAAGAGAATTTAAATCTTCCCATTTTGATAAATAATGTGATATAATTATATAATAAGTAAAGAGAAAAAATATTTTTATTGAGTGCAAACTTACTTTGATCAATTATAAATCTAATTAATAAATTTAATAAAAATTATATATATTTTTTAACATAATCATATTATGTTATTAAATAATATGGGCGATATGAACCTATCTGCTTTCCCGATTGAAAAAGAGTTGTTATACTGATTGATGTTCCATTGATGGAGGTGGCGGCAACAATTGCAAGCCAAGAAAACATTTCCTCCATCACTTTTCTACGTTAAGTTGCCCTTTTTATGCTGTTTTAGCTTCCGTGATATGAAAAACATTAACGCATACCTTGTTTATTTATCAATTTGGAGATTCTTTTTTACAGTTGGGCAGTTGGTACCATATGTGGTTGCAGTTGAAACATGATAGAAACACTGATGGTTGACGGAGCAATTAATTGTTTTCCTCTCCCTCAGCAACTTTATATTAGTTTTACTTGTAAAATAGTATCATTTTTCATTTTGGTAGCTGTTATTTCCGTTCCCAGTATCTTTTCTCAAAAGCTAAGTTTTGAGACATGCAATGCTTTGTTTCAAATGGGCAGAAACAATCGGTAAAAGAAAACAAGTTATATTATATACTTTAGAAAATTTTCAATTTCTATTTTGGTCACTGTTATTTCCGTTGCTTTTATCTTTTGTCAAAAGCTGAGTTTGAAGACATGTGCTTTGTTTGATTTGGGAGAACATAATGAGTAGAGAACAAATGGACAGAAAGAGTCTGTAAAAGAAGAGAGTTATAATTTTATACTATTTCGTTGATTAGAGTAAATGAAGGAAAAGAGAAGAATTGCGTTTCAGCTCATGAAAATTTATTCACACTCAAGTTGGGTTAGTTTGGTATTTTTTTTTCCCCATCAAATTCAACTTAAACCATAATTAGTATCTATTTTTATATATTAACTTTATCATAATTATGTTTTTAATAATATTTTTTATTAATATAAAAATAATCATCTAATAATATATTATAATCAATGAATAAAATATTTAACTATATTGTTAACATTAATATAAAATTTTTCATAAAATTAATTATATATCATATTTATAAACACAACATTATATATTAATACACAGTAATATTAAAATAATGTACATAAAAATGTAACGGTAAATTTGAGATTTAAAAAACAACTATAGTATTTCTTTTTTAAAATTATAAATGAAACACATACAAAAAAATATTCAATTTTAGCACGTATTAATATACATCCAAACTAAACTTTAATCACGTGATTTAACCAAATATTGGAACAAATAATTATAGAATTCCTTAATATAATGACAAATCCTATTTAACCCTGACGTTGAATAATTGTGAAGTCATATTACGTCAACGCGAGAAGAGTAATTAATTAGAAAAATGAGTAGATTAAGGAAGAACGAGGATGAACATTAGTCAAAGTAAGAGAAATGAAGAAGAAGGAGAGGGAATCTAGCGTAGAGGAATGAAACAAAATGGAACCGACCCGAATGAGAATTGGAAGACGAAGACGTGTCGACGAATTTACTTACTTAGTACCAGCGATTAAGAAATGAAGTTACGATCGCTTACGTTACGTGTCAACTTGAAGAACACGATGTGATGTGGGTTTCTCTTCCTCTGTCTCCATTCACCACCGTTCCCTTTTGCAGTTTCGTTAATTACCCTAATTTTCTTTTGCAAACGTATAAAATATTGTTAATGTACTAGGAATGGGCCAGGCCTAGGGTTCCACCACCGCTTTTCTTCATTTATACGAATCAGATTCCATTATCTCACTCTCTCATTGTCTTCGTGCATGAACACAACACCACCGCAACACTTACCATCTTCCTCTTTCTCCCTACTTTCAATAAATTACTAAATCAATTTTCATTGTTATTCGTTCTTTCCTTTTTATATTGTTATTAAAGAATAGTAATAAAACTGTTTTGTGGAGATACGGCAGAGTAAGAGTCGTTCGCTTTTCTACTCCGATGGCGATTTCTGGTGAGCCTCAAAGTGTCACCAATGGTCTCAACCACTCTTCCGTGCGCCGAAGGACCAGCGCCTCCGCCGCCGATGGCCTCTTCCACTCCTCTGCGACGGTCGAAGGCGAGAGTTCCGGCGAGGAGTTGGTCAAGGATTCCGGCTCCGACGACTCCATCAGCAGCGAGCAACTCCCCGTTGGCAATCGAGAAGCAGAGCAAAGACAAGTGCCTGATGTTTCGGCTCTCAAATTCGTGTACCGCGCTTCCGTTCCTGCTCATCGCAGAGTGAAGGAAAGTCCGCTTAGCTCCGACAACATTTTCCGTCAGGTTTTCGCCGTTAATTTGTGGAACTAATTAGAACTTAACTGAACCGAACCGCTTCGTTTCATTCCCGTTCTGTCTAATAAAAAGTTGAATACATGAACCGTGAATGCAAGCGAATTATAGTCTTAAACTCGTTGAAACTGGAACGTTAATAAGTATGCGCTAGTTAGTAGAACTTGGTTTTTTATTTTATGTTATGAATTGAATGCGATGGGGGGTGGGAGTGTGGTTATAAATAGGTGTGCAGTGCTGACTATGTAATTGTATTTGTGTACTAATTATTCAATCAGCTGCAGAGTCACGCGGGCCTCTTCAATCTCTGTATAGTAGTGCTTGTTGCCGTTAATAGCCGACTTATCATCGAGAATTTAATGAAGGTTTGCCTCTTCCATGTTTAATTGTGCATTCACCTGCAACAATTATGCCCTTAATTTTGACGATTCTGAATATGTGTTCTGTTTGACCTGCAGTACGGTTTGTTGATCAAGTATGGATTTTGGTTTAGTCCAAAATCGTTGCTAGACTGGCCCCTCTTCATGTGTTGGTAAAAAGCGTGATGAAGTCCCTTGAGGATAAACTAGTTGTTTTGTAATTCTTTTGAGAATTGTTTCTTAAGATGCTATTTAACAGTAAGTGGTTGTGCTTTGCTTGCAGTCTTACTCTTGCTGTATTTCCTTTTGCTGCCTTTATAGTGGAAAAGTTGGCACAACAAAAATATTTTTCTGAACCTGTAAGTGATCCGGCTGAATGAGTTTTCTATTAGATTGCTCAAGGAAAAAGTGATCTGTAACAACATTAAAGCCTTGTTCAAGGAAAAAGTGTTCTGTAACAACATTATAGCCTTGTTCACTGCATAACCTAAAATAGTTTTGGAATATGGTCAATTGTGGTGTGCCATTTGCTCAACCATATAATCTTCAATATTTACATACATGATAATATTATATTGACTTTAATATCGCAGGTTGTTGTTCTACTTCATATAATCATTACTTCTGCTGCACTTTGCTATCCTATTTTAGTAATTCTCAGGTCAGTTTAATGCTTTTGTGTATATTCTTCAAATTTTATACCAGATACCTTTTTGTTTTGACTTTTGTGGTTGCTTGTGTGTCTATTTTAGAAGAATTTGCTAATAGAATATTACTTTAAATTGATAATGGTGTTATAATCAAGGTTGTCAAACACTGAGTTTGCTGTGAACTCATAACATCTATAAACTCCTAAGAGTCTATATCATGCAAAAATAATATTTAAAAAGCTACCATAACAAACTTAGAGCATACTTAAATAGCCAAATCATACAACGACAACATTATTTGTTGCCCTTATTCCAAATGTGGTGTTTTGCAACTTGTGTAGAGGGAAGAAAAGCGGTGCCTTAATTCCAAAGAGTGTCATGTTGGTGAGAAAAATGTGATTTTCCTTTTCTTTTGTTAAACTTGTTGAATCGGGTAGCGAGTTCATTAATGTTTACCTAAAAATAAGTTTACATGCAATTTGACACTATTTCCTTGCTTGGGATTGTAAACTCATGAGCTTACATGTTAAAACGTGAGTTTAACAACCATGTTATAATTATAAAAATTTGTCATTATCCTGCATTGAAATTTTAAAAAATATATATCAATATATATTATTATTATTATTATTTGAGAAGAGATTTAGAGCCCAAGGGTGAACTTTGAACCTGATTGAGTTGTCTTGCAAATTATTCACAGATAGCTTTAGTAATAATGATGGCTACTGAGGGATAAAATAATTTTACAGTTGTATATGCTTAGTCATTTCATAGATATATGCCAAAAAGATGATTGCTAACTTGTACCATTTCTTTGCAGGTGTGATTCTGCTTTTCTGTCAGGTGTCACGTTAATGCTATTTGCTTGCATTGTATGGTTAAAATTGGTGTCTTATGCACATACAAACTATGATATGAGAGCACTTGCCAAATCAATTGAAAAGGTAATATTTTAAGTACCATTTGTAAGTCAGTATTTAAGCAACTCATGCAATCATTGACCTCTTTGCCAATTGATTTTGAGTAGCTTTATCAAGATCAGACACAAATTGTGCAATAGCTTCTAATTCCCTAATTTCAATTTTAATTTCCCAGCTACTTGTTTCATGGCTTTAATTTTAACTGTTGATCCAACTCTTGAAACAGAAATACCTATAACCATTGCATAATGTCATTTGCGCTTATTTGTATCATTCATACTTTAAGGATGACAATATGTTGTACAATGTATGTGATGATTAGTTTTTAAACAGGAGCATCCTGCTTGACTAAGCTGTAGCCTATGGATCATGTTCTCTTAAAACTTCCATGTGCTAAAGTACAGTTTTATTTCATCTTCATTCAAATTACTTCCACCCTGTTTTCCCCTGCATTACTTCCATGTGTCTGGGTGATTATCTCTTCATATGTGTAAATATGTGATAGATAAACAATTTGTTATCCCCGTTATTCAAACATGTTTCCTGCATTATAGGGAGAAGCATTGCCCAATACTGTGAATGTGGACTATCCTTACAATGTGAGCTTCAAGAGCTTGGTGTACTTCATGGTTGCTCCTACATTATGTTACCAGGTAGCAGTACTTTCAAGTGGTTTAGTTAATTTTTTGAAGCAATTTCTTTTTATTTTCCGTTATTGCCTCATTTAGATTCACCTATTTTGTTTGACATTTTCATTCGTTTTTCTCCCATCACAATGCTTATAGGCACAATCATGTGGACTAACTTGCCCATATATCTTTGATGTGGATTATGTCTGAGATTTTTAGTTAGTCTATAATCAGGGATGCTGTTAGCAACCCAGAAACAGAATATGATAAAAGAATGCTAATTGTATTGAATTGTGAATAACAACAAAGAAAAGGAGATAGTTCTTTTCCACTGATTTCATCCCTTTCACAACAGAGCAAATGCTTAGTTTACAAATGCGAAGAAATCTGAATGATTCCCACCCACTGCCCCAATATCCTCCTATATATTGCTCAACTTTTACCAATCTCAACAAACCTGAATGATTCCTTCTCCCCCCCACTATCAAACTAATTACTCTAACCATCCCACTCCTGACACTTGCACACATATTACTTTAATTATCTTTCGGCATATGTCTCCATTTATTATCCTATCTTTCCTTTCCATCTTCAAACATTGGCCACTTGACCTCACACACCTATGTTGAAATACTCTATTTTATTTTCTTGGTACACCCTTTCAAACCTAACATTTTGTAGCATCAAATATTGTCTAACGAAATCTATAGCAGAAATCCCTAAATTCTTTCCCTAACTCCTCCTGTACTTCCCATTTTTACAAAATTCCCATCATATTTTCCTGTTGCATCCTATAATCTGCTAGTTTGTAGCCACAATCTGTTAGTCTCTTCCTCAATCTTGCTTTTTGAGAGAGGGGGGAGGGGGAAGGAAGCTGACCCAGTTGTGTTCTATCCTGGTGCTTGCTTCTCATTATTATGCCTAGAAGCTAAGAATCTTTTTAGGGACTGGTATTTCATTACTTGCTGGCATGAAAATTTATATGTAACATACATCTCTGGCACTTAGTGAGAATTCTGGATTACTGATGATGACATCTATTAATTTTAGTGTTTATCCTAAGTTTCAGAATTTTGCTTGATAGTCTAAGCAGGTTTCTACAGTTCATTTGTTTGCTTATTTTCCTGCATAAAGTATCTCTACAAGAATTGAATTTGTTTGTTTTTTTTCCAGAGTATAATTTCTCACTTTTTTATGTGCATGTTTTGTGTTATGAACTACTGTTTCAGACAAACTATCCTCGAACACCATACATTCGAAAGGGTTGGGTGGTCCGTCAACTTGTCAAGCTGATAATATTTACAGGAGTTATGGGATTTATAATAGAGCAAGTAAGCAGTACCCGTTAATCAATTGTGTTCATTTCTACCTTTATTTTCTTTTTGTGCATTTTTTTTAGTTTATTTCACCAATCATACAAGTATTCTAAAATTGTTTTGACTTTGTAATTTTGCAGTACATTAATCCTATTGTACAAAATTCACAGCATCCTTTGAAGGGATATCTTCTTTATGCCATTGAGAGAGTTCTGAAGCTTTCTGTTCCAAACTTATATGTGTGGCTCTGCATGTTCTATTGCTTTTTCCACCTTTGGTATTCCACCTCTTGTTTGGTTCAACATGTATGTGTGTGTGTGTATTTTATAAGATATTAGTGTGAAATTATTCTCAATTGCTATAAATTGAATAATTGTAGCTCTAGTTTCTTGTGTTAGTTAAAGCCTCAAATTTTGTATCCTGGCAATTTTCTGATGGTGATGCCATTATAAGTCTGTTTGTAATTGATTAATCTTCAAACCATCCATGAAGTGATATCCACCTTCCTAAACACCCTCTACTGTAACTGCATCATTGATGCAAAGATCTAGCTGATTTAGAGGTGTGCATGTAGTGGCTATTGGTTAAGTTACAGCCTTATTTTTTATGTAGAGACTATTGATGCACAAAAGAATTTAAGAGCTTTATTTTATTGATGAATTTGTGTAATTTTCCTGTGGCCAATGAACATATTTTATTCATCATCAATGCCCTTTTTCCTTTTCTTCTCTTTAATAAAATTATTCTTTAAAAAATACTAGATCTATTTGTGCATGCATGAGTGCTGATCTGCGTGTCTTATTTGTGAATATTAGAAAAAAGTTCAGCTTTGATTTTTTAAGATTTGGTTAATATCTGAGGCAGCTTATCCTTGGGGTGTCTGTTGCAATGTAGGTTAAATATACTGGCAGAGCTTCTTCGATTTGGCGACCGTGAATTCTACAAGGATTGGTGGAATGCTAAAACTGTTGAAGATGTAAGTTCTTGATCCTGATATTAGTTGTTTACTTGGAGTCCTTTCAATCATTCATAGAGAGGATTTGTGACTTGTTGCCTTTGTGTCTCTATATATTTGTGCTGCTGCTACTGCTGCCATCAGTATTGGAGGATGTGGAATATGGTATGTCTCTTTTTCAAACTTAATTTTGATGAATGTTAGCAGGTCTTTTGTGGGGATGAAATTCATGTGAACATTTATATATACATGATATAATTATCCCACTAGTGTATAATGATGATTGAGTGACAACTCAGAGACTATCTTGACAAAAGGAAGAATGAGAAGTTATAGTTTTTTGCCATCTATTATGCTTAGCTTTCCATCTGATGCTGAATAATGGTTTCTAAAACCACCCATCAGAGCATATCATTGATTATTTATCTCCATGTGTAGTTCAAAATCATTTGTATACAACTGAGTGGATTTTTTTAAATTGCAGCCTGTTCACAAATGGATGATCCGCCACCTGTATTTTCCATGTTTAAGGATTGGTATACCGAAGGTAATCCATCCACCTCCTTTTTTGATGAATGGATTTGAGCTGATTAATTCTAAACACCTTTTAGGATGTTGTCTGCCTTTGCTTATCGTCTCAGGTTGCCAGTAAAATGATCTTTTAACTGAAATGAACATCTTATGTTTATCCTATTAAAAAAATAGGTTTGTAAAACTTATCAATATACATATACATGCGTGTGCAAGAGAGAGAGAGAGAGAAGGAATCACATATTGCAAGAAGTCTTGAATACCTATTCCATTTGATAATTTTTTCTAAATATTGAATTTCATCAACCCAACCATGAACCATGTAATATTTATCTTGATAACCATATATATTAAATTTTAGATAAATTGAACATTTATAGATTTGTAATTATACTGACGGGATTTGTTTATATTTTAAAAAGTATATTGTATGATAAAATTTGTGATTTTCGTCAGTGGCTCACATTTTTATTAGTTCTTTCATCAAACATTATTGGTCTCTTATTTTTTTAGAGTTCTAGATATATTTATAATTTTGATTTTATTTGCTGTACAGGGTGTTGCTCTTTTAATCGTCTTCCTGGTTTCTGCGTTGTTCCATGAGGTTTGTTGTTTATCTCTCTCTATATCTCATTTCCTCTTATGGTATCATGTCATAATGATTGTTCTGCTTGAGCGCTTGTCGTTGTCAGCATGCTACACTGAATGCAGTCAGGAAGAAACTTGCCTTAATTTATTCTTGGAGTATTCTTTCTCCCCATTTCCCTTCAGCAGATTGGGACTCTGGGAGAGGATTGAAAAATAGATACAAAGTGGAGACTGATTTGGTAGAAATGAGTATAAGACATTACATGTTTTTGAACTATCTACAACCTCAAGGGGGCTTGAAAACCTTAGCCTTAAGCTGCTAGCTACCATAATATCAACTACCTAGGAACCTGTAGTGTGGCATGTGTAGATGCTAGAATTTGCATATCTGAAAATGGATTGACATGGCAATTCTAATGGACTGTTACATTTTCTAGTTTCTACATTTGTTATTAAAATATTGATTTTAGCACCAAAATTTCCCTTGATTTACTTAAAAGGATGCTTTCTTTAGCCATGAGTAATTTTTTTGCACACGTAATTATGTATTCAATGAAACCTGTCATTTGTTCCTCTTAAAAAAATGTACATCTGCAATTATGAATAATTTGATAATTTTATTGCCAAAGACAGATTCACAAATTTTCTCATGATTTATATTTCAACTGAGTGCAGCTGTGCATTGCTGTTCCTTGCCACATATTCAAATTTTGGGCTTTTTGTGGAATTATGTTTCAGGTAAAATCAAATTACCATATTATGCTTCGGTTTCCCCCTCTGCTATTACTAAACTAGCACATATTATAGTAAAATTAACACAAATTTCCAAGCAACCAAACTTCTCCCCTTGTCCCTACGAAGAAGGTGAAGGCTAGCCAATAATGAAAGAAAAAGGGAAGTTTTTTTTTTCCTTTTTTTTTATGGCCCAACGAAAGAAATATTCTCTAATGAATTGGTGACATGTTACTTTGGAGTAGTTGATGATTATGATATCATCTATATTTTTGGTTCAGTTGACATGATAATGAATGCCTTCTTTCTAGGTTCCTTTGGTCTTGATCACCAATTATCTGCAAAATAAATTCAGAAACTCAATGGTACGTCTGCTATCTAAACATGTCGTTAATAATGTATCTTATAACTCCATCATATTGAATTTGATACATTGGTTCTTTAATTTGTAATTTTCTTCATTCCAGGTCGGAAATATGATTTTTTGGTTCATATTCAGTATTCTTGGTCAACCTATGTGCGTGCTGCTATACTACCATGACTTGATGAATAGGAAAAGCAAACTTGACCAGAGCTAGCATTAGATTTTAATTTTTCAGAGGATATAATTGATGTGATTATGCTGGTCAATATTGTTTTCTACGGGGACTTTCATCTACCATGAGTCATGACAGTGGCTGCTCTGAAGGATTTCCACCTGATTTGACAGTTCGCGAGTCTCATGTACTTAACAACTCTCCTCTGGCAATTGTATCAATATATGCAATTTTGAGATCAAAGCACTGGCACTCCAAGGAACTCTGTAACTGATTTCTGTTTAATGTTATTTATTAGAGGGATAGATGTAAATATTTTGTGCTCAATATATATTATAGAATTCCTAATCTTCAAGTGACGATGTCTTTTAATATGGCATTTTTTGGTGCTGCACTAGCATGTTAAACTTAATAAATGAGGGGTGCTTGGAATGTTGAAAAGGAATACCTTGGTTGTAGCAGATAACTACACTAACTTGCAAGAGTTCTTTGTCTAATTTCCATCAAAAATTAGTTTTATGGTTTTATGCAGATCTAATTTTACCAATTGAAAATGTGTCACTTCCCAAAGGTCACTGGTATCATTTTTAATTAAAAATATGCACCCTATAAATTAGTGAATTATTTGTCGTTAATATTTATTATGGTTAATTGATTAACAACATTTAACAAAGGTTAACTATAAAAATATTAATAATAAACTCCTGAATAAGTACAACACAGGCAAAAACTTAAAACAGAGAGAGACAAAGTGAAGTTTTACTGCCCGGTTAGTGATTATTTGATCAGCTATAAGGTGTTAGAGAGGTCGAGCCATAAACTGAGAAGTAATGATACCTTATTAAATCTTAAATAATAACACGATATTCATACAATAAAACTTCATGGTAACATACAATATATTTTTTCTTTTCACCTTTTATCATATTATCATCATCTATTTTTCTCTCATTTATATAAATTTATTTTTTCTGAAACGAAAGGGGCTATCCAATCAACTAGCAGAAGCAAGAGCACATGATCCAAATCGGAGGACCCAAGGGTCCAATTTAACGACGGCGTGCATGTCACGTGCACATGTTGCGTGGCCCAGTTTGATTGGTATCTTCCTCCACGCTCAATAAAACCCATTATTTTATTCGTAAAAATAATTACCACCGACGCAAAAGCATTGTAGTCAGCGCCCCTCCAAAACAGACACAGTCACATTGTCGATTAAGAAAATGAGATATTCATCGGTGAAAAACATGGTAAGCTGTTAGCTACACGAGAAAAAGAAAACACACCTTTTGTAAAAAGCTTCAGTCTTGAGAAGAGGGTGGGTGGGGGTGTTCCCACTTGCAAAAATGGAAGACTTCAGATCCAAATCGTACGGTGATGGAAGGATGCAGATTGAAACCTACACTGGAGGTGGAGGTGGAGGTGGTGGTGTCCATGGCATGCAAGATCTCCGTTGCTACAGTGCGTCCTATGCTTCCTCTGTCCACCCAACACAAACCCATATAGGAAATGATGCAAAGTTCAAGAAAGGAAAGTCCACAAATGGTTCCACCTCAAAAAGCTGGAGCTTTAGTGATCCTGAGTTGCAAAGGAAAAAGAGGGTTGCTAGTTACAAGGTTTATGCTGTTGAAGGTAAGCTAAAAGGGTCTCTGAGGAAGAGTTTTAGGTGGCTCAAGGACAAGTGCAATAGAGTTGTCTACGGCTGGTAATTAACTATTTTTTAGCTTCTTCTTGGAGGCGGCTACTGTTCTTGAATCTCTTATTAAAATCAGCATCATTCAGCTGAGTGTCTTATATATATATATATATAAGAATAATTATTTGCCTTTGTTTATTTGCCGGTTAGTGTTTATTTCCGTTGCTGGAAGTACCCATAAAGAATGTAATATGGAAGAGAAATCGTGATTCATGTGCTCATTTTGGTTTCTGTAAAGTGTAATCACCTTTGCTTGCTTCCTCGTCCAAATATATTGTTGCAACTTACTTTTCTAACCCTGGTGATTCACTTCCTTCTAGTTCTATACTGACTTTTGTATTAGTAATTTGGACAGGAACTAGTGCATGCATGTTCAATACTCATTACTTTAATCGATTCCACTCTTCCCCCAGTTATCTTTGCATTATCTAGATTCTGTAATCCAAAAATTGATAAACTTTTGAAGTGGAAGGCGGGGAAGCCTCTTTGATGTAATTTTCCTTTAGAATTGCTCGAGTTTCGCTGTCCGCAAAGGACATCCTTTTTTCCTTTTCTGCATGATAAGAATGATACGGGTTAGGAAGAAACGTTTGGATGCTGCATGCTGCTCTATGAGCTAACATTTTGTTAAGACGTCTCCAAGATGTCTTAAGTATAGGGAAAGAAATTCGAGTCACTGTTGGTTGAAATGATGCATTGAGGGAGCAATTGTATTTGGAGTAACATGTTGCTGACAACCCTTTAGATCACTACAGCCTAGAGGCAAATTTTGGCAGATGATTATGATTTGGCATTGAAGTGATTTTTATGCCTAATGGAGTCTTATGTTGCAGTTTTTCAGGAACAAGGAATTTTCCATACTCAAATGATTCTTCCAAGTTTGATAATTTAAGCAAAAGTATTTCGTGTGTATATTTATTTTCTTGAGAAATTACCCATATCTGGGTGACATGATTTGCCAAGTTTGCTAGCTGCGTTGGGTTTTAAGAATTGCATGTTCTAGATTGCATTACATACATGGCAAATACTATTATAACGCCTTGCGTTGTTAGGTTATTGTCTTTCTGATAATTATTTCAACGTGTATATGAATTCTTGACAATCCTTTGCGATTATTATCCAAAACTATACTGTTTTGAGTGACGAGTCGCAGGAGTTTCAAGTACTATGTATTTTGCGCCATGAGATAAACAGTTAGTTTAGAATGGTTCTGTGCTTTTAGAAAAATTGCCGACCCCCATTTCTACATGACCAATTCAAGTGATTTTATGACAACCCTTTTTAGTTGTGGTTGAGAATATCGACTCCAAAGTCAAAAGGAAGCGGTTGAAGTTTATGACACAGCAATTAACATGTTTGAAAAATGAAAATGCCAGTTAGTTTACAAAAATCATATTTTAATTACAGGTCAATGGATGGATACAAGTTATGGGTTAAGCATACGCATAGCGAAATTCAATTGGCTAGCGCCAATACAGCAAGGACCATGAATTCTTAAACGCTTGCGTCTACGTTACCAAATAACAGACAAATTGCAAGTAAATCAACATTATATACATATAATTTTCTTCACCAAATCTAAAGAATCGCTAGATGACCAAGTAATGCAGATAAACGTTGTCCCACTGCAAATGAGTAACATCTTACTAACTAACTACGTTTGATCAGATTTTAATTCGGGTATTAAATTCAGACGGACAAAAATGCATAAACAAAGAAAATTAATAGGCTAAGCACGTCTTGTTCCATCAACGAGCAAATATAAGTACAAAAACTACCACAAATGAATGGGACTACGATCAACCCAATTTAATGAAAACATTTTCAAAGATCGAAATAAAATGCAAACAAGTTTATTGTGACGTATAACAAGGAAAAACTAGAGATACTGTTGATTTCAGCTTTGATAGGGAACTCACAAGGTTGAACATTCCAAATTCCTAATACCAAAATAATTTCCAGACACTTACACCGTGGAAACTAAGGGAAGCTTATCCAACAAGAGTACAATGACTAATTACATTTTTGCTGGTATTTGATAGTTTTGACATTTACGGTCCACGTGAAACTGTAAACGTCTGGTAAACCAATATAATAACTCACAGGAAAAGATCTTATAAAACATAGGAGTTCCAGCCAGAGGCGAAGAGTGCCAATTAAACCTGAGCTTTACAGCAAGCACAATCCCTGGTTTAAACTCAAATTATTTCAGCTTCTCAGCTTCATCGGTTTGAGCAGATGAGTTAAGAATACAAACCCAGAATTTCATGTTCAGATCCAAATTTCCTCACAGCTCAACTCAGTAACATAAGCAACTTTGAGTGCCTATCAACTCACAAATTCACTAGGTGAGAAGGTGAGAAATTAATAATGAGCCCTCTCATCATTCTCTAACTGCAAGCCCTCCATGCCCCTAAGTGCAGTGTCATAATTTTTTACATGAGAAGCATTTCTTGCAGATGAAACTACTCTCTTGGGATCAGAAGATCCAATTGGTGAACTTCTTTGTCCACTCAAACCTCTGTGTGCTGCTCCAGGGCTAGCCTCAGCAGCACGAGTACGAACATCTGACTCAGCACCAACAAATGCATCACGGCTACTAGAAACAGCAACCCGCCTTGATGATCCACTTGACTGACCCAAAACATTGGCACTTGATAACTGCATGATCACAGATGAGGCATTTATTGAGTTTGAATGCAAAGCTAATTTTGATTTCACATACCATCGCATCACATCACATCACATTCAGAATCAGAATCAGTTAACAGATCCATAACAATGATCTGATTTTGTATAAAGAACCACGCAACCATGCCTTCTAAAGAACTCAGAACAACATCCTTAATAACAGAGTTGTTGGTGACTAAATTTTTCTGCTTTGAGAAACTTACAGTATTTAAAATGGGCCCTGACATTCTGCGCCTTGAGGAATCCACTGAAACCAAAGCAGGAGGTCGTCCTTCTTCCCCTCCTGAGATAGGAAACAGAAAAACACCAGGCAGATCAATAACTAACAAGATACCATTTAAACTTAGGTAAAAAATTCCAAGAGATGTGCTTTTGCAAAACCTATATCAATTGGTAGTTTGAAAAACAAACTGAAGGTAAATAACAAAGCAATAATGGGATATACAAGGTAGCTAAAATTCATTCAATTTCTCTAGAAAGAATGAAAATAATATTATTTAAATTAAGAAAATATCAGAAAGAAAAGATTGATCACATCAGAGTATGCTAGAAAATTGAGGTTACATGAATATAAAGAAAATCATACACTTTAGAAAAAGCTTTACTGAACAACAATGTGATAAAGGTACATACATATAAAATATAAAGGCCTATCACACTACAAGAGAACTTGAATAAACTACCTGTAGGTCTATCAGCACTAGTAACAGCTGGTGGCATTCCAGAACTGGTTCCAGCACTAGGGCCCTAAATAAAAGCAAGCCTCTGAGTCCCATCCTTCAGCAGTGATAAGCTGATCTCAAAAGGGGAAATAAAAAGAAAAAACTTACAATAGCCCGTGCTGGGGGAGTGGCTAGCTGTGATTGCTGATACTTCAAAATGGTCCAGTCAAACACATAATCAAACTGGAATCCTGTTCAAAATGCCAATTTAATAGGAAAAGCAATTTCAAAGCACGGTCCTAATATCAGAAGGTAGTAAATAAAAGATTAACATAAGAAGTGAGGCAAAAGGGGTCCCTTCTAAATGAGAATAATTTCAAACCTTCGCGAATGAACAGGTCACGAAATATCCTTTTGAGGTAAGCATAATCTGGCTTATCATCAAACCTTAATGAGCGGCAGTAATGGAAGTAAGATGCAAATTCTGATGGATAACCTCGACACAAGGCCTGGAATAAGCAATATATTCTCAGTGTAATGTATGAAAAAGAGCACATGGTATATGGATAGAAAAAGGATTCATAATTTCACTTACTTCAATTGAGGTAGAAACCTTTTTCTCACTGATTTTCTCATATTTCTGTTTCTTTGTTCCTGCTTTAAGTCCCTGCCAAGGAAGACTACGAAGACAAAGAAAATCAGAAAAAGTATACAGTAGTTGCAGACACCAAAGTAGGGTAGGTAGAAATAATCACCTTCCTCTTAGGAAGTACATTAAAACATAACCAAGTGACTCTAGATCATCTCTCCGGCTTTGCTCTAAGCATCAATCAACAGAGAAGTAGGAACATGCATCTATTAGATAACAAAAAATAACCATTCATTATACAAATGTCAGTAAAGAATCATGAAATAACACATACCAATGCCAAGGTGAGTATTCATGCTAGCATATCTTGCAGTTCCAGTCAAATTCTTATTTTCCCTGCAGTATTAATGATTGAATAGATTACACATATTGCAAGATAAATTGATAGCCGAGCAGCAGCAATCTACCATTTTAAAACATTTGTTGAAATATGAGATATTATTAATAGAAATCATAACTTGGGCCTAGAAACTAGAATAAAACTATAAAAGAAAGTGTAAAGACAGGATTTTCATTCAAGGTCAGGACCATAATTTCAGAATGCATGGAATTTCTCTTTACACAAATGTATTAGGATAATCTATGACAAGACCTCAACAAAGTATTCTTTTGCACAACAAGTGTCTCCTTACACATGACTTCTGAGTCTCAAATGCCCAAATGACATAAATCTTGTATATGTAAGAGCTTTTGTCATAATCTATGATATATTGATATCATAATCTACTTAAAAGCAAATTCAGAATTGTGTCTTCAGGTGGCTTAACGAGAATATTGTTAAAACTTTCAGAGCTTTTGTCATACAAGAGTGAATGCACAGAAATACAGCAGCAACATTTAGATCATTGGTATATCTATTGTGCTATGAATACCACCAGAAGATATGCTGATAGACCAATGCCTTAACTAAAATACTCTAGAAGACTAAAACTCAAGAAGATGTAGAACACGCTTGTGATGTGGGGCAAATATAACAAAAAAGGTGCAACCAAATGATGGGTTTTAGTTATGGTAATGTTGGGAGTGGACATTTAAAGGAAATTGTAGAATATTTCATGCAGAGGGTGCAAACAGATCTAGAAGAAGGTGAAGCCAGAAGGAGAAAGAGGGAGGCAATTATTGAAACTTGGCTGGGGTATTGGTGTTGTGGTGGAGTCCTATTCTCTGCATAATTCCACAGGTATTTTCTTTCTTTTTCTGAGATTATATTTTTATAATCTTGTAAGGAGTCAACTTCTTAAATTTGGGTTTTGACCAAGCTCATGCCGCCATGTAATTTATGTAGCCAACCTCACCTAGCAGAATAAGACTTAGTTGTTGTTGTTGTAAGGACTTAACCTCCATTGTTTTAAGAAAATTTCCGGCACCAACACTTTGGTATCAAACCTATAATTTCTTTGATATTATATTCTCATTAAACTCATACTAACATAACCTGCCTAATCTTAATTTTTCCTTTGGAAGCTTGTTCAGTGCATGATAATTCAACAAGTTACAATTACTATGGGATAAATGTAATTCAAATTAGGTAAGTAGCACATATATTGCAAAACAACTAAACCTTCGTACCTGTATGGAATGTGTTGATGGGTTGAACTATCTCTGTATTTCTTAGCCAATCCAAAATCAATAGCATAAACCTACATTGCACATCATTGCACTAAATACCTCCATACAGGAACATACAATATATCCAAAAGTCAGCATTTTAACAAGATTGGCCACCTGGTTTGCACGCCTTCCTAACCCCATCAGAAAATTATCTGGTTTGATATCCCGATGTAAAAATGACTTAGAATGAATGAACTCAACACGGTTGATCTGGGATAAAACATTAAAAGAAATTTTAAAATTTAAAAACAGAAAAAAAAGGGAAAATGTTTGCATGCAGAAAGTTTACAAAGTTTACCAAGGCCTACCATTTGATCAGCAAGCATGAGAACAGTCTTTAGTGATAGCTTTCTACTACAGAAGTTAAATAGATCTTCAAGACTCGGCCCAAGCAGGTCCATCACTAAAACATTGTAATCTCCCTCCACTCCAAACCATCTGACATTTGGAATTCCAGCTGCCATAACCAGACTTGAGTTACAACTAAACATAAATTATAAATGAGATAGATTTACAGGGGGAAGGCACTCCTGCCCTCCTTGCAGGAAGTGCAAACAAAAGAAAGATAAAGCAATTCATATAAGAACGGTCATTACTTCCTCCCTGGAGAATTCTGTACAACTTGGACTCGTACAGTAATTGAGGATGCTTTGTCTTGACATTTTCCTAATTTAAAAGCACAGCAAGGAACAGAAAGGAAGAACAAGTAAATCATCTCTAATGCAATAATTTAGTGGCTACTCAAGAAAATGCAAATTCCAAAACTAGAAGCTCAAGTTGAAACACTGATTTAACAACTTATCAAAAGAAAATTCCCACGACATAATTTTAAGCCATATTAGTATGCCACTGTTTCCAATCCAATCCCCAACCCAAAACCTTCAAAATAGTGCAGCAAACTTGAAGAGGCAGGGAAAAGCAAATATGTAGCTGAAGAAAATGTTAGTACTTTTAAAGTACATATATCCATCAATCTAGCAGCTCTAGCTCATCTAACATTGTACTCGATCCACAGAGCATAGTAATTATTGGATACAACCTATTCTTAGCATAATTATTTCACCTATCCATGTGATACAATTTCACAAAGTTTTGTGCTGGCTAAACAATTGCCTATCACAACCTCACTCTAATATTATATATACAATTTTGTTTCCAGCCTAGGGTCTCTTCAAAGCTCTAAGTAAAATGCTTTCTAAACGGCCAAATGTCTTTCACATGCATCCTCTAAGAGCACTATGTCACCCTCCAAGAAATAAGGAATCAGGAATAAGCTCGATGAAGATGCTAGACATCTAGAATGCAAGTATACAACGAGGTCATTAAGAATGCCGGATAAAACTACAACTCAGAACCAAATTTCACAACCACATGCGCAGGAAACCATCTTTCCAAGACAGCAATTTCATAATTCAGATTGATTCATAGCAGAAATTAGCAGGCATATGCAAAACTCACAATTTGTCGTCTATTCCAGACTTCAGAGAAACGAACGAAGGCAACGCATGTTTTAAAAAATTAATAAAAAATTACTGAAAATGGAACAAATCCAAAACCCAATTGATTAAGAAGACTTACAAGCTTAATTGCGACCTCTTCATTAGTTTGAATATTAGTACCTGCACAAACCAGAAAAAGAAATCATCAAAACAGAGAGAAATTACGAAAAAGTGGACAAAAATCACCGAAGGAAAAAGAAAGAAACCTAAATAGATCTCCCCAAAGGAGCCGCTGCCGATCTTCCGACCCAGGCGAAACTTATTCCCAACACGAGGTTCCATTCAAGACGATGAAGTCTAAGCTAACCGAAGCCCTAATTCAAAAAAGGGAAACCACTAAATGCCATACATAACCGTAATTGATGAATCGAAACGAGACATAACGGAGTAATATGGAAAATGGAAGAGGGAAGAGATCTAGGGTGAGAGGAAATTGTGTTTGTGTTAATGGTGTGTTGAGAGGGTGATAATTGTAGGGTTAGGTTAAAAGAAAGAGAATTTGGAAGAAAAGAAAAGAAAGCGTAAGGAGTGATATGGAATGGATATGATACGGTGTGGTGCGGTGTTTGTGTTTCTGTTTCTCTCTCTTACATTATGGGAATGCAATGGAAGCAGCAACCGTCGGTTATTTTTTGGCTCCGAAAGCATGTCCACGCGTGTTCTTTACGCGTGGCACAACTTCCTTCGATGTAGGTGGGGACACACACCCTCTTCCCCACTGGGACCCTCCGTCACGTGACTTATCCATCATCCACTACCATCATTCACCGTAATTCACACGTGACCCAATCGCGCGTAACTCAATCATTTTCCCCTTATCGTATTATATCACTTTAAGATTAATAAGAAAAACAGAGAGAAAATTCTAATAAAATGATACACAATACACCGTGTCTTCTTTGAAGTGATTTTAACTTTAATTTCTCATAAAAATATAGATGGATATAATGGTTTTTCAATTTTGATGTTTGATTGTACTCTTAGAAATTAATTATTGGATAAATATCGTAAAATAATATTTTTAATAAATAAATAAAATCCTTAATAATACGAGTTGTTTTAGTGCAAAATACTTGTATAAAATTAACATCGTCTTATTTATTTACTAAAACCATATGTCTTAGTGTGATGATGGACTTTATTTTTCAAAAATTATCTTGAGTAAATATTAATATAAATACACTGTTTTTTAAGTTATCTTTTAACTAGTTTTGATATAGAATTAGCATGTGTTATTGTAATTTCAAGTTAAGATATTGAGAATTTTAAAAATTTAAATTGTATTAAAAAATTCTGGTAAAATAATATTATGTTCAAAAAATGTTCGTCTAAATATATATTTTAAAAAAATTGGTTTTATATAATTTAAATAAAACAACTGGCAACACAACTAAAGAAGAATTCGTAATCTTTTTTTTTTAATAGAAGAAAAATGCTGTCATTACAGCATTTCATGCGAGTAATTCTCATGCGAGCACATATCCAGACTGACAATTCACGTAAACAATTAATAATAAATTTACAGATCATTTTAAACAAAAAATAAATAACGTTAACAAATATTCAAATTGTTTCTCTTTTCTTTTTCTTTTTTTTTTCAAACCACGCATATATATATATATATATATATATATATATACTATTTACATTCCTTTTGTTTTATTTTATTATTATTATTTATTTTCACTGTTTGCTAATTACGATTATAAAAAATCAGTACTTCTCTCGTTTTTTCTTCATAATTTTCCATCTCTGAGAACCTGATAAATATTTCATTTGCATTTTTCATAATTCTTAGTTTTTTAACATTACTGTCATGGTTTCATTATTTATGACTCTAACAAGTCATTTATTTTTACCTCTCTCCTGCAATTATTTCTTATTACATGAGTATAGTCGCGTAAGAAAATGCATTCAACTAATAATCAATTTATTGAGTTTTGTAAATTATAAAAAAAAAAAGACAAATTATATATATATATATATATATATATATATATATAGAGAGAGAGAGAGAGAGAGAGAGAGAGAGAGATAGAGAGAGAGATTCCACGTTGAATACTTTTTCCACATCATTTTTAATTTAAAATGAACTTTAAATTTATCGTTAGTTGTACCTAAGAATAAAGTGTTTAACACGTGCTCATACAAGAATTACTTCTCATATATTACCCACGATTAGCATTTCTTCGGGTAACACGCTTAGCCTTTTTAAAATTTTTATTTTTAAATACATCAAACTATGTTGAACAACTCAATGAATCAATCAAAATTGACCCATTCACAATTAAACATTGGATTACGAGGTATTTGATCTGACTAATTAGAATAACTCGTGTCATGTAACTTAAAATCTAAATATTAATCGTATAACATTAACAGTATAATTAAAGTATCAAACAACAACCGTCCAAATAACTATGAACACTAATACGCGGTAACCCTGACCATAGTGGAGTACACAGACTCGCGCTAATGGATTAGCACATTTAATCCACGTATAGATTAATTTGTTTTCATAATAAAATACATTATTATATTTAGAACTATAATTTATATCCGATATCACCGATTGTCGTAATGTCGGAACACACAAGATATTCTTTTCATCTGATCCTTTTTCATTCCACTGTGCTCTTTCCGTTTAAGTTTCAAAATTAGAAATTTCATACAAGGCTTAAAAGAAAGAAGCGTGACTTCAACAAAAGCAAAACCCAAAAAGAAAAACAAACAAGCTAAAAGGCAATAAATGAGTTTATACTGCTTTATATATAATGTGAACTAAGCGTACAGTAAAAAATCAATTGAATCTTTTTCTGCCTTCCCAAAAACGAAAGAGGCAGAAAAGTGGAAGGATCCAATGTGCTAAATCCAAATTCCTGAAAAATGAAGAAATAAATGAATTTTGAATTCAAACAAAGATACAAGAGTTTTGGTTAGTCCTATGAATTATAATCTCATGATGTACTAGTTGCCGCCGCAAGAAAGTGCCCTCTTCTTTCACCATAGCAGAGATGACCAATTTTTGGTCAACGAAAGGTCCTAACTAATGATTGTGCATCCTTTAACTCGCAGTTGGAATTGGGTTTCTTGGACTGGGCAATCCCATGTATGCAAGCCTAGGGGACATCCTAACTTTTGGGCTGGGCCTGGGAGAGGGGATTGGGCCATAGTTTGTTACTCTTGAAGAAGTGGACCTTGGAGACAAATTGACTTGCTCCAATGCCCTGGATTGCAAGTGTCCAGGATAGTCACGGACACACCCAATACGAGGTCCTGCCCCAGTGGACCACTTGCAAGACAACCTCTTAGACACGTTAAATAACGCCGCATCATTGTCATCGTTTTTATGCATTGTTGCCACGTTGCTATCATTGTCATTGATTGCAGTTGAGTTAGATGTTAGAATAGGACCCATGGTTTGTTGTGATTCATCAGTGGCAATAAATGAAGTAGTCCCAACAAGCGAAGGAGCATCATCATCTATAGCAAATCTCTGCGGGAAACAAGCAAAACAAACAACCATAAGGTGTCTATAATTTGTTTTATTAAGTGGGTGGCATGTGTAAATTGTAATATTCTCAGGACTAAACCTATACCTTTACATCGGTGAGGTCTACTTTGTGCTCCTCAAGAAAGCTTATGAATTCTTTGAAGTTCTCTTCTGTTGGGTGGTAGTGACCACTATATGGCCAAATAGCCTGCATTGTTTGTGTATGTGACAACATTTACTTAGCAAGTTTGCTTCTTAAAATAAAATTGAGCATAATAATAATAATAATTATTATTGAGCATGATGATGTGAAATGCTGTCTTAAATTGATACCTTAAGGGCACCTTGATGGGCCACTAATCTGCCAGCTGCTGTGGTTGCACCCCCAGCTAGAAAGCTTGAGTGCTGAAATGTACCCTTTTGCTTTCGCCCCACATACAAGGCCCTTGTGGTGCTAAGAACAAATATCCATTTGGATTTCTCATCAGTCTCTACAAAACTACCATTTTGTCTGTAAACAAGCTTTCCATTTTCAACTATTACTTCATATTCTTCCCTTTCTTTCTGCAATGGTAACAACAAAGATGAACAGTGTTACACAAGATAAGCTCAAGCATTTTCGTGAAACCAAACGTGGGATTGTTCAAAGATAACTTACCGGTCCAAGATATTCAATGCATTGGCGTTGTAGAGTGCTTCTTGGGCATTTCTCAAGATTTATTTCCTTACCGTCCCCAACATCCAACCTACATATCATTATAAAACGAAAAAGTTAGACCACAATTCAGAACCTTAGCTAGTTTTTACCATCTTCATTATAACTTTAGTCTAAATAAATAGATATCTTGGAACAAGAGTTTACCAATAGAAAAACGGTTGAGTGCTTTGGCTTTCGAACCAAATGTCATAGTATATGTGCAAATTGTGTCCATAGCGATGACGTGGGTCAATCTATACAGCAAAAAAAAAGGAATTGACACTGTTAACACTTGACACCAGAAACTAAAAAGTGCACTCCGTTTCCAAGAACAATAGCCAAGAATGGTTCGGATTCAAGGACTTACAGCTTCAAGCCAATGTTGTAGAGCTAGCTTTTGTGCCTTGTCATCTTTGGACAAACCTTTGCCAACCTGTATAAAAAACTCCTAGTAGTTAGCACTTGGCACCAACTCGTAGACCCCAAAGAAATTATTCCAAATAAAATAACATTAACCAGACAATGACTAAAGTTAAACAACTGAAATTATGAGAATTACCTTAGCTGCTCTTGTCCTTGCTCTTGCCCACCTTGACACAGCGGTTTCTGGTTTTTGGACATCAAAGAATGAAATAGAACTACGTTTGAGAGCAGCAAAGTCTAAAGCCTTCCACCTACATCGTTTAAAACTCGTCGCTTAAATAACATACTCAGCTTCCTCAAAAGGTTTTTAAGCAAATAATATGTATAACACTACTAAAATTATTTTTGCGTTTTATTGAGACTAACCATAGCTCCTCCACAACCACAGCACAATCTGCAAGATTTCTTCTCGTACGGTAACTCTTGTACACTTTTTGAAGTTTAGTTGCAGCAGCATCAAGCTCACAAGTAGGTCGAGGAAAAGCGAAAACCACTTTTTCAGGCAGAGAAAGCACAGGCACTGGTTTATGTTTGAATTCACTTTTGCTTGCAAGAGTATCCCAATCCATGTTCCCCTTATCTTGAACAAACGATTCAAGGATCATATCTTGGGGTCTGTTATCCCTCAACCGGTTGCTCATCTTGTTGGACCCATTTGGCAAAACATTAGCAGTTTCTGATTCCCTTTTCTTGAAGCTTGATGCCCTCAAAATCAAAGTCCAATCTTTGGAATCAAAGAGACAATGTCTAACAATTTCTTCCCAGGCAGATTGGAGTAATGAAAGTGATAATCCCATGGAGCAGCAGATAACCCCCACACTTCAATTTTTAAGTCTGCACATAAAGTTTCATAACCCCCAATTAAAAGCCTTAAAATTTGTTACAACTTCACATCAAGGAAATGAAGCACACAATGCATAATATAGCTATAATATTATAATAACATATATCCTAATACCTATTTTAAAATTAATGAACCAATGATCAAACAACTTCAAAGAAACATATATGAAAATCCAAAGCTATGATTTACCGTTCTTGTATGGTGTATCAAGATTCAAGATATGTCTCTACTATGTTATTGTTGTTGATGTAATTGAAATCTAACTAGAACAACAAACAAATAAAGATGGGTATGTCACACTGGCTTGCCTTTGCTTATATATGGACTCTGGGGAAGACAAAAACTCCACTGTAAGTGCGTATCTGTCAAATTCAAACGTGTCAAAAGCTTGAAAATGAGAGAAAAAAGAGCAGTCGTTGAATTCCACAACGAATCTACCAACATACCTTCGATTTGGAAAATAAAGGTTGGCGAATAAGTAAGTTTCAAAGTTTTCTTTTTTGTTTTTTTGGGTTTATCCACGAGTTTTTGAGAAATTCAAAGCATGGTAGGTTTGAATTCTCCTTTTCAGTTCTGTGTGAAAGTCGAAGTCCTTTATACACTCATAAAGGTTGTGTTTGCATTTCTTTTCTCCTCCTTCTGAGAGCATAAATAAGAACAACCACCACGTAAAGCTGGCGGTCAAAGAAAGTAAGCTTCCATGAAGAAGCACGAATTGCTTTTATGATAATAATATATCTATGCTCAATTTCATACGCCTAATTCTTACGCTTAATATTTTAGATGTGAAAACTAAAATCAAATCAACCTTAATTTTCTTATTTTCATCACCTCTTTTGTCCAAAAAATAACAAAGTTTTATAAGTTTAAAAATATATTGCCGAATTAGTTAATTCGTAATATATTTGTAAAATATCTTACAATTAGCTAACAACTAATTTTCACAATATTTTATAAAAATGAAAGAAAGTGATATAATCAATTCGTGTTTCATTTATTATGGTCAACGAGCTCTTGATATGGGTTGAAATCACAATCCGCGTCTCGTGAAACGTGTCCTTCAGCACAGACATTACTAATATATTGCCACAAGCAGAAGCAGAAGTGATATTTTGGCTGTTAATAAGAGAGTAGTTTTCATATCACTTTTATTTTCTATGCGCTTTTCCAGCTGCCGAATTCTGATCAGTGATTGCTTTACATACAAACTTGACTATCATTTACCTACATGCTTTAATGGGAATATGAATTATAACTTACCCACGACTTTGGACTTTGGTGCTTTTTTAAAGTATAAAATTTAAGTGTAATTTTAAGTAATTTTTTATTAATTCTATTAAATACTTGAAAATAGTAGTATTTTATTAAAAGATAACATATTCATTACACTATAAATACAAAAAGTATAACAATTATTTTATAAATAATTATCATTTTTATGTATTTAGTTCAAGTTAGTATAATTAATTTTTAATTAAAATTAAAAAAAATTTCAATGCTTTACAGTGATATTATCAACTTGTGTTTATATGGAGTTATAGTTTTAATTAAGAAACAATATTAAAAATATGAGCCAACAAAATATATAATACAATGACAACCCAACAAAGAAATGAAGTGAGCATGCATAAAATATTAACAGGATCTCCTTATTTAAAAAATAAATAAAATTATCGTTTTCCGGATATCGATGTGTATAGTAATACTTTATTTTGCTGCTTTGGAATACAATAAGTAAACTACCTTACTCTAATCTAGTATTTTTTTAAGTATATGTCAAAGAATATGATGAATTTTTTAATTTTAAATTATATATTATTTATAGTGATAATATATAATTAATTTAAAATAATAAGAAAATATTATCTCTTTAAAAATTATTCATCCTTAATAACTTTAAAAAAACAAATAAATTTATTTGCAAAATATATATAAGTTAAAATATGAGAAGGCAAGAAAGTTAACTTTATATATACAAAGTTGTAATATTTGTCAACTTTAATTTTTAAAATATTTAAAAAATATATATTAAAAATATAAATTATATAAGATAAAACATGAGAAATAAGAATATATCTAAAAATTATTAAGCACATAAATCAATTGAGTAAGTTATTTTAACTTAATTTATAACTGATATTTTGTATTGAGATATTAGTATTATTAATCATTTAAAATTGTTTTTAAAAGCTAAAATTAATTTTTAGTTTTTATTATGCATGTTAAATTATGTTAAAAAAATGGATATCTATGTATGGAAATCGGCACCATTCACGTGGATTGCGAGACACGTGTGCGAAGTAAAGATGGTCAAAATTCAAGATCTCTTCTTTGTTGGAACTTCAATTGGCGCCAAATTTTCACCGTATATTCGCATTCGGAATTCGCAGCAGACCAGATTAATTCAAAAATGTTAGGAAGTTTATCAGAAAATATACAGTACAATAAAATATTATAAAATTCAAGAAGGGAAGATTATTTAAATCTTTTCTAATTTTTTTTCTTTTATATTTGTAATTATTGTGCCATCTTAACACTCTTTTACATTTAAGATTAAATGTTGTCTATTTTAGTTATAAAAAATAATATATACCTTTACTGATTTTTAATAATTCTAGGTTACTTTATAAAATAAATATCAAAGAAAAATAGACACATTTATTGTTTTTAATAAAATGAAAGCATTTTACAATAATTATAAAGTTTTGTAAACATAAAAATTAAGATATATTAAAAAAATTTATCTTGTTATTTGTACAATTGATGTTAGATTTTAACACGTTATCTCATGCTTATGATTGTAAATCCTTTACTTTTATCACACATGCAGTCGATGAATGATCTTAATAATACATTCTTAAAGACATCGGTTTTTCATAATTTTAAAAATTAATTTCTGGAATTATTAATTTTTTCTGAAAATAAGTTGACAAAATTATGATTTTACACATTCAAAATTAAATTTTCAGAATTAAGATTTTACACGTTCAAAAAATTAATTTTTAATTTTGAAATTTTACACTTTCAAATATTAATTTATAGGATTAAATTTTTATATTTCTGAAGACTAATTTTCATAATTATGAACTAATTTTAAAATAAAATTTTAGAATTAAGATTCTACACACCTGAAAATTAATTTTTAAAAGTGTAAAACTTTAATTTTAAAAATATATTTTTAGAAGTGTAAGTCATAATTCAACAAATATAATTTTTTAAAAAAATAATTTCTAAAAATATGGTTATATATATATCTATATATATTACACATAATATTAACTAGTTCTACTTATAAGGTAAGTGTTTAAATTTATTAAAACGAGGTAGATCAAGCCAATATAAAAGTAAGAATTAATTTTTTAGAGTTACAGAATTTGATAATGATAATAATAATTATTATTGTAGATTGGTGGTAGTCCATGGTCATGTTTCAAAATCTTTGAGTTTAGAGAGATATATAGATTGTTGAAGTCAATGCCTCGTATTTTGAAAGGTAAAAAAGATCGTCAATATTTTCATCCGTGCACAACTTGTAACCTCAATCTCATGTTTGACTTCTTGGTTATGACATAGAAACCGTAAACATAATACCAACAACTCTTTTATTTTAGACAAAATTTTGACTTTTCATTATTTGTTTCACACTACGAAATAATTTATTATCAACATTATTGTTAAAATACTTCAATTTTAATCATTTTCTGTATGTGTCAACTTCTCTCAGTAGCCGCCCTTCCTTCATGTCCAACAATTTGTATTCATTAACCACATCTATTCAAAATAACTGACAAATATAAGGATATATATAAATGTATAATTAATATTTCGATGAATTTATAAGAGGGTAGATAATTTGTTTTCTCCTAACAAAGGTAGAACAGTCTTTTTACAATATGTATTAGGTGCATAATTTTTAATAAAAATGAATATAAAATATTTAATATTTATATTCTTTTAAGTAACTAATAATAATTAAAAAAGATAAAATCTCTTAACCATACGTGCATCGAATGAAAAGATGAAAACAAAATTAATTAGTTCTTTTTTTCTAACTAAATTCTGTACCAGACTACCGCTACCAACCCAATTTAAGTTCAAGTATTCATAGGCATCTTAGTTATGGGAAGCACTACGTGCAAAAGGTTTAAAATATCTTATCTTATTGTGAAATTAAAGGAGTGGAATGATCCATTTGTTGACATTGAAAAGTTCAAAAGATTCATGGAATGAATCAGTTTTGTATGTTTAATTGTCCAGCCAATTTCATTTCTCTCAAATCGTCTTTCTTGTTAACTACTGTGATAGCTTCACACATTTTATAGCTCAACACACAAAGATTGCCATTACATGCTTTTAAGTCTCAAGTCTCAACTATTTTATTCTCAGTCTTTTACATGTTTCATTGTTTTTTCAATCTAAATGTATTTTATATTAAGAAATAAATATATGACTTAAAATATTTCATGTCCAAATATATATATATATATATATATATATATGATATTTTTACATCGGTAGAAGTAAAAACTTTTATACCCAATCTAAGTCTTTTATTTAACTTAAATCTAACAGGATATAATTTATTACTTCACTGACTGTTAGATTTAAGTTAAATAAAAATCTCAAATTAGATATAAGAATTTTTAAGCTTATATTAGTATAAGAAGGTTATTCTTTATATATATATATATATATATATATATATATATATATAATATTCTTTTTATGGGTTAAGATCCATTGATACTGGGTATAAATTTTTGTAAACTTACACAAAATTCTATTCGTATAAATCAATAATCTAACGGTTGAAAAGTTATCTATTATTTAACCAAAACAATAAAATACAAGCGCATAGAAAGAGATAACTTTTTAACCGTTAAATTATTAATTTGTTTAATTGAAATTTAGTGTAAATCTTTTAGACTTATACTTAGTGTTAATAAATCATATTCCTATTTTTATATATCATTATTTAATTAATTATAAATTAATAAAATAAATTATAATTAATTTTAATATTATATTAATATAACATTACATATCTTTTAAATTATTTAACACAAATAAACTAATTGCACAGTTAATTTACCAAATAATTTTACTTATATAAGTTACTTATATATTTATAAAAAATTCACAACTTTTAACTAATTTCACAATTAGAACTCACAGGGCACTTGTTATTATTCTTCTAATAAAATTTAGATTAATGTAAAATATCAAATTGATTGATGATAGGTGAAACTAGTGCTAAAATTATCATTTATATATAAAAAAAAAAGTGATAAAAAAAAGTAAAAATATTAATTATAACTAGTAAAGTAATGTTTTGGTTAAAAATATTTGGACAAAACTTTGTCAAGGTACTTTTTAGAAAATGATCAATATACAAAATAAATGGTTTAATTTTTTTTCAAAAAGTAAATAAATCATAAAAAATTATATGAAAATTTGTCTTAAAAAATATTATTAGCACTTTTTCACTCAGAAAACCTAATTTAAGAAGAAGAAAAAAACATCAACTTTATGGGGAAAAAAAAACTCAGTATATTCCTAACAAAGTGTTTTATAGTAATATTTTGGTTGACCGGTTTCTGTGCTCAGCCGTCAAGGTAGTTGACCCGTCGGCAGCGAAATTGTTTTTGGTCATCCGAATCGGAGCAACTTGTCTCCCACTACACGATCCTGTCCACGCTTAATTACAACAAAAATTACGATTAGATTTTGCTATTCCATTTCCATCTACGTGTATTTTCTTTTACTCTTGTGTGCCAAGAAAACAATCTTCAAACTATGCTTAGGCCTAAAAGCCAAAATAAGATTACGTGAATGGCATGCATAATTGGAGTTGGATATGAATCCGACAGAGGAAATGGGGCCCATCACAAAAGAAAAATGAGATGGAAAGGAGGCAATAATTGCTGTTGAGTCGATTTAGTTGCTTTCAAACCCTCTACTAGGCTGGCATGCATATGTCCACTTGTACATGCAAAGGGGGCATATCATATATCAAAATGTTTGTCACAAATAATTGACAGAACAGATAGTGGATGATGGGGGGGGTGGGGGGAGAGGGGAAATAGAGAAGCAGAAGAAAAAATAATGATGATGTGATATGTGGCTAAAAGTTTTTATGAAATTTACCTTATCTTATTTTATATACTCACGTACAAATATGTTTTAATCGTTACTATATAGTGGTGGCTAAATTCTTCATGTATGGATGGATCATATACATTTATGTTTTTCTCATTACTTCCTTAAAAATGCTACCTGTTTGTTTCAAGAGAAGTTTCTTCGTTTCTTTCTGTCTATCCGTAGGTTTTAGAAGGTTACCTAATTCAAATATTAGACCAAAAAACAGCAAGAGAACAAGTCCTATAAGTATTGCAATAATCAACAATGACTGAGAATTCTAGGAAAACTTATTGCTTCAGAACACAGTGTTTGTTGGCTATTAATACAATTAGCCGCCCCAGAATCACTCGTCTAAACCTTAACTTCTAAACAGTCAGCTAAGATAATCGCATAATTGGAGGATTCATAACTACCATTTTAATGTCCATGCATGCAAGTAACATTCGCATCATGGAAGAGTCTTTTTATATTCATGTTCAATTACGTTGTTAATAAGAAACGTGAACTAAATAAATTATGACAAACCCGATTGGCCGTGAATTTTTTTTCACCTAACATTGACTTTCTGGAAGCTGCTTGGATAGATGATTTGATCTATAATTTATTTTAACCCTAATAAGATGGAAGCTGACTTGCTCCGTTTACAATGTGAAGCTGCGGAAACTGGACAAAGTAACAACATCAACATTTCAATGTCTATGTTAATGGGCCAATGGCTCTATTATGGCCCAATATACTGAACCTACTCGTGCAGCATTAGTAACTAGTAAATGGATTAACGTTGCATGTACTTGAGTTGGGTCCATGGAATCATTAATCATGTCACGAGCATGAGTCATGACTTCTCAACAATGGTTCACAAACAGATCCCCATGTTTTCATATGAATTACTTGTATTAAATTATTGTGCATAATTTATGCATTGTCCTTTTATAAAAAATAAAATCCTTTTAGAGTAGTGTGCCATTTCCCATTTATCTACAGGAGTCTTGAATGAAGTAGATTATTGGTTAGATCACACAAAAAATATAACTATAACCTACACTTTCAGGTAAATTATTCGACCTTTTCATTATCCCACAACTCACGACTAGGGCGGTGTGGCTATTTTTGATGGAGCATTGATTCAGTTGGACTAGCAGAAGTTGTTTCCTACTTCCGTAAGTTTGATGTTGGTAACTTGGGTTGGAATGGGGGCTTAATCTCTCATAATTTTGTGTGTGTTTTTTTACTAATTATTTTTCTTCAAACAAATTCTACACATCGTTTAAACCTCATTTTTCATGAAGGAGGGAGTTGGCGGCCTCCATCCAGCTTGTGTTCACTGTTTACAATGATGAATAGGAGTTCATTGTATAAGTATTTTAAGTAAAATTTACACGTCTTAAAAGAATCAGCGTGAGTCTTAATTTGTCAATGTTTTTTTTTTTCAATTAAGTATTATTCTGTAAGCAAACTTTACATATATTTTATATTTACTTTTTCTTGATAAATATTAAAAAAAACCTTATCTTAAGTCTACATTATAAAATATTAATGTTTTATTGTCTTTTTTGTGGTCTAGAGATCCGTGTCTTTTTGAATAGCAAAACTTTTGTGTCACTCTTGGGTGCATATTAACACCCGGCAATCAAGTTCTACCTAAAGAGAGTACACGTGGCGAGTCTCAGATCGCACAATGCACTAACCCAAAAAAAAAAAAACAAAAGCATACTGCAAGGTGTGAACTTACTTGCGAAAATGCAACTGCATTTATCTATCTAATAGTGGTATTATATTATATGAAAAATTGTTTACATGGGTCCTTAAAAAATATTAATTAAGAAATCAAAACGAAGAAAGTCCCATCGAGTGTTTGGTTCGTTGTAGTACGATTATGACGCTGGTTTCTGATATAGCTCATTACCTAACACATGGCATGCTAGTGCTCCTAACTCGGGACCTTTATAGTTAATGACTAAAGCTCTTAGTTTCAGTATGTCAGTGTATTAGTGATTATTTTGTTTAGTAAACCAGGCTAATTAAATTTTATACCATATTTCTGTTACTGAAAAATTTTCTCTCTTAAATATAAACACCATTTACTATTCGTTAATATTTGTGAAAATGTTATTTTAAATTGAAGAGACAAGAAAGAGACCTTCCAAAGAAAAAGTGACTTGACACCACCACAAAGACCACGGGAAGCTTTGAACTATGAAGTATTTTCCACACTACAAATTTACAACTGTCATAGTAATTACTACATCACAAGAGGCACAGCCATAACCATAACCATGCCGACATAGGACTTCGTACAAGCAGAGGAAACCAAAATTTAAGATCAAACACAAGAGGGCTAGACTAGACAGCATATCAACAATTTGGACCCGGCTGAACAGAAATTTGAAAAAATCTCGCTTGATCACGTAAAAACTGGTGCGAGCATCCGGGTCTTGTATTTTTTAAGGTGGGGGTAATTGAAGAGTCTTGTAATATTTAGCTCTTCATCTTGTGTTGCAGCAGAAAATATACACAAACACGCTCTTCCAACCTGCAAATGTACCGTTCACACAATGTCAAGATGCAACAATAAAGGGCAAATTATTCAAAACTAAAGACTTATGAAATTAGAGTAACATTACCATTACAAGCCACTAATGAGATTCAACTAGTTTGCCCCACTAGTCCACTAGCAGATCCAACCCAATCTGTTGGCTTAGTAATCAAATCCTCTAACTCAAGATAGATATTGGAGTCATTCACATCTAGTTCTTCATCAACAACAGAATTTTCCCCCATTAGTTTTTCTGACATGACATGATAGGCAGAAACAGAAGGTACATCTTGTACACTTGATCTAGAACCATAGGCCCTTAATCCTTGCATTGAGCTGCGTAATCCATCTTCCATAGGAGAGGGAGTTGGGGGCTCCATCATGCTCGTGTTCGCAGTTTCAGCCACAAGTCCATTGAGCTCGGATTGCAATGTAGCGAATTGTTTATGACTTTGGTGTCTATAATCAACATCAGGGTCAGTCTCCATGGCCTTTGGGAAGGTTACATGACACGGGGTTCCAAGCAATCTTGGTCTCTTAACCATGTCAGCACCATCAAGCTCTCTTTTCCGTTTAATCTTTTGGATTAACTGTTCAAGAAACTGTGGCCTTCTAGCCATTCTTGTGAGGAAAAATATCATCTGATACTGCTTTGACTCAGCACACCGAATTCGCTCCTGAACATTTGTGAGTTGAACGTGCGAATTCTCCTGCTGCTGCCTAAGCTTGAGAATTTCCACTTTCAAAATGTTCTGATCCTTCTTCAGTTTCTCCACTTCAGCCTCCAAGCCTGGCTTCATCACAGTGAGTGATCCCTGATGTAGTTTGTTATACTTACTCCTCCTCCTTATGCTCTTCAGCAAATGCTTCTTCCCTCCCTGGAATCCTTCATTTGCAAACTCCCAACGGTCCGAATCAACCTTCCTAAAGCCCTGTGCCCAAGGAAAAAGAACAAGTTAATTTGGAATTACAAGTAGTTCAATTGCATCACAGTACTGATATATACATATAGAAACACGTTTGGTTGAGATATTAAAAACAATTTAGACGATGAATCCAATCCCTTCTCACAGGAACTAGATTAAAAATAAAATTACATTATTTAATGTTACAAGTAATTCAACAAATCAATTCCTGAAGTTATGAAATCACGAGAACATCATTCTAATCCTGGAATTAACAACTAACACTTATTTTAATCCCTTATATTACATTTTAATTCTCAAAAAATACAAAAAATTGACAATTGATAACTAAAAAGACAAACTTGAAAGCGTAATCAGTTTATTTTAAAAAGTCTTAAGAGACCGAGACACAACACAAGATTAAAGATACATAAATTTGAGAAATTAAACCTTGAGGAAGGAAATAGTTAAAAAGATTTGGGAAATTTTACTGACGTAGGTGTTGAGCTGGCGAACGAAGCTGGAGAAATTGCTGTGCTTGAAGTACTTGGGGAGAAGGGTTTTGGAGAATTCGTGAGAGTCCCAAACGACGAAACTATCGCGAGTTTTGCTCCACGACACAATGGGGTCGGTATGAGGGTCCTCGACCATTTCAAAGGTCTTCTTGAGAAAGGGTGGTGGACCCACTTCGTTTAACCCTTCCATGGGTTTTGGCAACTTGATCGATGACGAAGAGGAGGAGGCGTTAACGACGCTGTCATCAACTTCTTCTTTGACGTGAGCCGTTACTTCTTCCGTGAGCTCGGAATTGGAACGAGCGTTGTCATCGAGTAACTCTGCTTTGACTCTTAATACTTCTTCTCCCATTCCTTAATTCCACCGTTCTTTCTTATTTTTCCTGTGTCAGTGTTGAAGAGAAGTGAGAAAGTGGTTTCACACAGTTTCCTCTGTTTCCATTTATAGACGATAAAAATAATTTAAAATTCTGTTTTTCCAAAAAAAAAAAAAAAGGGTGACAGTGTGACACAGAAGAGGGGAATAGCGTATCTTTGTAGCTGTCTGTCTATTTTAGGAAACTCAGTCCGACAGCCACGTTTTGATGCCTCTTATTTTGTTGCCACCTGTCTGCAGATAGTCAAATCTTTTTTCCAGACATCAAATCGCCTTATCCTTTTACGTCTCCTTTCCTGTTTCTTCAATGGAAATGCAATGCATCAACCAAAAGATTTAATATTAAGAAAGAAAATGTTAGAGTTTTTTTATTCTATTTTAAATATTTATTGTATGATTTTTTTTAATTACATGTCTTTTTTAATAGACCCCATTAATCTATCTTTATCTGTTGGTCATATGAGGTACCGAATTGGTCAGATGGACTAATGATACATGCAGCATCCACATGGCACGTGTCCAAAAGACCGAAGTAAACGGAGTGGCTTTGTCCTCACTCCTCAGCTGTAACATCAGCCTGAAGCATACTGCAAACATAGTACATACAGTATTCAAGACCGCAGGCAAAGCCTTTTTATTGCTGTTTTTTCTTTTTCTAATTATTTTCTGTATTCTTTTATTAATTGGATTTTATTTTTAAAAATGCTAACGTTAATCTTTTGATTTTATTTTAAATTATTGTAAATATTTAAATAAATTTTATTCCTTTTAAATGTATAAAATTAAGCCTAAATATTGTTGTAAAGAAAAAAAATAAATATTAATCTTTAATAATAAATGACTTAATATCATTTAAGCAAGTTTTTAGATTTGAATTATTATTTATGTAAAAATTTTCAGTAACATAGTTATATTTTATATTTAAGTGTCTAAATAAATTTAAATTAAATCGAATAAAAAAAAACGGTAGAGAGGTGCAAAGTGCAGACCGATAAAATTGTTGCTGAAAATTTAACGGTTACGGTCCATGCGGTTATGTAGTCATTGTTGTCGGTGACCATCTGCATGCATGACAAGTGTCACAACCGTTTCTGCCTGTTTTGATATCGTAACAGCTTTATCGAGTTTGTCAAATATTCTTGCTATTAACATTAACATGTTACATGTCACATTGAACGGACATGAAAAAAAATATCAATCAATATTTTTTTTTATAAAAAAAACTGGAAATGAGTATATAAACTTTTTTATTTTAGTTTTAAAAAAGTTTAGAATCAATGTAAGAAATGCATATTTTAATTAATTTTCTATTTTATTTATTAAATTTAAATGTTAACTAAAGAAATTATCATTTTTTTCATTTATATAACTAACTAAAATTATTAAATTTATTTTGATGTCAAAAATAAAGTGTGTAAGAAATAATTAGCTTGTTTCAGAAGTAAAATTTGAAATTTATTTTATGAACTTGAATAAATCGACAACAGAGAGTTAACCTTGGTGTTAAGAGAGGGTTTGACACCGCCTATAAAAAGGATAAGAAGAACGCACCTCAAAACTGTGACTACGGGAATAGGAGAAAAAGCTCCGTGCCGATCGCACTGAAAAGATGAAGGGCCAAAAACCAAAGGAGTGAAAGAACGAAACGGTGGTTGCGGGCACATGCAACGACGTAAGAGCAATGTCGTTTCACGGGATGAGGATAGGGTTCATACCTAACAATGCTGCCATAATAATTGTGGGCATGGCTTGATTAGCGATTAACGTGGCACACGCACGAGTTTTAAGTCCTGACTTTTTGGCATCAAGACACAACATGAAAACGTGGCTCAAAATTAGCCTCTTATTATTTGCCGCAGGATCTATCACTGTAACGAATTTGTAAAATAGAATAAAATTGATATAATGAAGTTGTCACTTGTGACCCAAAATAGGTGTTACTAATGATTGAGCTAGAGTAGATATGGGTCCATGCGTGCGTCCACTTTTTATTCTTTAGGTTCCACTAACTGAGGTGCATTACCAATCGGTCACAAGATAAATTTTTGAAGCTTTTCTGAAATTCTAGTGCCCATATCTTCTTGTCTGTAATTAATTTGTTCAGCATGAATATGGTGTGAAATAGCTATATCATGTAAGGCACGAGGGCCCTGGGTCTTAATTTTCAGGTTCGATTCGATTTGTGACGTTGAAAGATTGATGTGCCAAATGTCTGAATCCTCTTCACATGGACGACCCAACTAGCACGATTCGTGCTTTTGGTTGAGAATACGAAGATCGGAGCACAAAAATTGAAGTCTTGTTTATATGATCAGATCTCACAGCATAAAAATAGCGAAGCATTATTAGCTCTCAATTTGAAATTAATTACCCTATTACATTTCAAATTACTATAATACATCACTGATCCCCACTGAATGCGATATAATTAGGTGGATAGGAGTGTTTGAATTCCAAATTTCACTGATCAATAAAGAGAGTAATCATAACCAGTCATTCCGAGGGGAAACGTATAACAAACGATACAATCTCTGTAGGAACCACGGGTGAGGTAGCAATGGCTGATGATTAGTGTTTCCATTTTCCAATACATATGTTAAAATTAGAGAGTCAAATAATTGTTAACTGGTAATTACATGACAATTGTGCAATATAAAAATAAAAATACGTGAGAGATCCAATATTTAGATCATTGACAGTTGAATTAGAGAAATAACAAATACAATCTCAAGTTAAATGCATCCTTTGAAACAAAATATTATTAATTTGTCTTGAAAAACTAATTAATAGCATACATTGATTCACGGAATATTTTTGGTCGTTCTTGATTAATGTTTTTTTTTTTTTGTGCTGATTCGTGGATTGAATCAACATTTGTTCCCAAAAAACTATTATTCATGGACGGGCCTGGTATCGTTTTGGTCCAAAAGCAAAACATCTTGATTATGTTTTGTAGAAGAAGGGGTTTTTGAAGCAGGCTAAGTTTGCTGGGCCCCCATAAAGTATTTAATGGACAAGTATTGGTCAAAACAAAATAGGAATAGGAATAGGAAAAGAAGCCCTAGCCAATAAAGAGGAGAAATCCATGGGGGTTTGAAAAAAGCGGAAAAGAGGATTGGAGGGTAGCCACGTTTAGCATTAGCAGCAAAAAAACCCAAACCCTCTTTTCTCTTTTTATTCTTCTTCTTCTCCCCTTAGGGTTTTAGCTTCTTTTCTCTTTACGCCTCTACAATGAGCAACGACAAGGATGCCTTTAGTGTTGCTGATCTCACTTCTGGTATTCCACTCTTTTTCTATATTCTGTTGTTTATATTTGATATTTTTTTGTTTCACACGTTTTTAATTTTTGTTTGTTTTGATTCATTGCTGAAGTTCTCAACGAGGAGAATAGGGCAGACCTTGTCAATGATCTTAAGGTTGGTATGAACTTGAGATTGAGATTTTTCTGTTCATATAATTTATTTATTTATTTTTATTTAATATTGAATTGTGCGCAGAACAAGATACAGAATTTGGCTGGACAGCACTCCGATATTCTAGAGTCCCTGTCACCTAATGTCAGAAAGCGTGTTGAGGTTCTTAGAGAGATCCAAGTATGACTTGCATCTGTAACCTATGTTGTTTGGATTTCTTCTTCATGTTTTTAGATGTGAAATCAAGTTTCATGCTTGGGTTAGTAGATGTGAAGTGTTGTTTTAAAGCATCGCTTGCTAGTTTTATGTGTTATTGGTAGCATTTATGTATTGGGGCTTCCATCATATTGCGGTTGTTTTCTAAGATTTTTCACCCCTGATCTGACAGGGTCAACATGATGAATTAGAGGCGAAGTTTTTTGAGGAGAGAGCAGCTCTCGAGGCCAAATACCAAAAGTTGTATCTACCTCTCTACACTAAGGTGAATCTAGCGAGTTGTATTTTATGATATAAGCTGTACCTGGATGTGTAGCATAATACAGTTTCATATTCAGCTACTTAAACCATGCAGTTTTCTTTGAATGAATTTTGTAGTTTAAAAATCGTGATTGGGAATTCTATGGGAATAATAAATAAAATCTTGACCTTGTTATGATTGAATGCAGCGCTTTGAAATAGTAAATGGTCTTACGGAAGTTGAAAGAGGGGCAGCAAATGAAACAACACCTGATAATGAGGAGGATAATGGTAATTATTGCAAACGCACGTCTTTTGTCTTTCAAATTCAATAATTTTTCAATTCTTCAATACAACAATGTGCTTGTGTAGAGAAAGGAGTGCCTGCATTTTGGCTTAATGCAATGAAAAATAATGAAGTATTAGCTGAAGAGGTTAGTCTGCTGGGTTCAACAATTGAATTTTATAAAACACTTTTTGCAACAATTATCTTGTTTAGTAATTTCCTTGTTAATTATGAAAAAAATAGATTTCTGAGCGAGATGAAGGTGCTCTCAAGTTTCTCAAGGATATAAAGTGGAGCAGGATAGATAACCCTAAAGGATTCAAACTTGACTTTTTCTTTGATACCAATCCATATTTTACCAACTCTGTCTTGACGAAAACATATCATATGATTGATGAAGATGAACCAATATTGGAGAAAGCAATTGGGTAAGCTTTTATTTATTTATTTATGCTGCTACCTCACTCTTGCTAGTTTACAATCATGCCAAAATGAGTTGGCTTATTCTTGATTAAAATCTTATTGCTTCTTTTTTCTTTTAGGACTGAAATTCAGTGGCACCCTGGAAAATGCCTGACACAGAAGCTTCTTAAGAAAAAGCCTAAGAAGGGTTCAAAGAATGCTAAACCAATTACCAAAACCGAAAACTGTGAAAGTTTCTTCAACTTCTTTAACCCACCGCAAGTTCCTGATGATGATGAAGACATTGATGAAGATACGGTATTGATGTCCTTATAGATAAACACAAAAGTAGAAATAAAAATAAGTAAATTTGAATTTTCATGCTTTATCTATACACATGATTTTTTTTTTATTCTTTTAACAGGCTGAGGAACTTCAGAATCAGATGGAACAAGACTATGACATTGGGTGAGCTTAATTTTCTTTTACTTGTGTTAGCCATGGCATGTATTTCAAATTTCGTACTCAGCTGTAATTGTTGATTTTTGTTTCCCTACCTATTAGGTTTGGTATTTTGTTATCTTGACTTTTATATCTATTTTTGATGAGTTGCCATACTTGCTTAGATCAACAATAAGAGACAAGATTATTCCCCATGCTGTGTCATGGTTTACTGGTGAGGCCATTCAGGGGGAGGAGTTTGGAGATCTGGAGGATGATGAGGATATTGAAGAGGATGATGATGAAGAGGAGGATGACGACGAAGATGATGAGGACGATGATGAAGATGAGGAAGAAAGCAAGACTAAAAAGAAGGTATAATTTTTAATTGCTTCAAAGTTCTCATACCCTGGTTTGTCTTCTATTTGATGGTTGAATCTTAATGAAAATTTTCTCTTTTGGGGGACCTCTCCATGGCATTAATTTATTTGGAATACTGCTGCAGTCATCAACACATAAGGTATGATATTTTGATTTTGTGATCTAAGGGAGGTGGCATGGGTTATTGAAACATACACACAGGATCGTACTCTTGATATAATTTTTATTTTTTATTTACATGTCTGAATTTTTGTGATGACTGTAAATCTTCAGAAGGGTGGAAGAGCACAGTTTGGTGATGGCCAACAGGGTGAGCGACCTCCAGAGTGCAAGCAGCAGTAGAAATGTATTTCTGCAGTGGGTTATTTATGCAGTTGTTGGTGTTCGAGAATATCTGGTGTAAAAGTGGGTTTCATGTGGTTTTTAATGTTACTTAATTCATTTTCCTCAGGAAATCTTTAGTCTGAATTTGTTGAGAGCCCCCTTCTCCTATTTTGCACCCGTTTGGAGAGAATTTGGTTAGTTAGGATAATGTGATTTATTATTGCTAGAATTTGGACGCCCGACTGTTATAGTTGAAATATATAGTCTGTGCTTCAGCAGTTAGTAATTTTTGCTTTTAACTTTATCATATCTCGGTCAACTGTTTTAATTATATAAATATATTTTTGAGTTGCACTTTTGTATGTGGGAGGTATATTTATAACCTTCATCTACAGTATTGTTCATTATCATCCAATCCACTTTGACCCACTTAATTTGGGGATCCACTCATCACACTCGGATATTCTAAGCTATACATTTAAGAAACAAGTTCATTTAAGGCTTGTATCAGTTACCAGATTAAATAAATAAATAAAAAGCTATGGAAGCAATGAACAAACCATTAGTTGCAGACTCTTATCCATCATACATTTCCAATATTAGTTTCTCTATATCAGCTGCTTTAACTGCCATTTTGTTGTCAGGGTGACTGTGACTGTGATAACGATAGAATTAATTTCGGTGAAAGGAGTATTTTATCGCAGCCGAGAAACATGCTGTGTTTCATACATAAGATACATCGTTATCATTAATTTTCAATTCAAATATGTACGTTTCATCACGATGATGGAAAACTGATCATGCATGTTAAATTAACATAATAACAATTCCATTTCAAACGTAATTTGTAGATTATTGAAAAATAAAAATTGGGAATTAGATTTCTGAAAATTGATAAATTTGGAACTTTTATCTGTGACGATGTACAACTAATTTTATTAAGTGAATTCACCTACGACTTAATTTACAATAGTAGTTTTTTAATAGTTGTGTTACTTTGATAAATTGGATCAGAAACTGGACAAAAGGAAAAAATTAGAGAGTTTAAAAACACATTCACATTACTAAAATAAGAAGTATGTGAATTTATTCACTGTTGCTTTTGAAAATTAAAATATAGATGTCTTTGATAAAGTAAGCATACAAAATTATGAATGAAAAAAAAATTATGCAAATGAATAGAGTTAGAAAATATAGCTTTACTATTACAACACACAAAAATTTGCCGATGATGATGAAAACTAATTATGCATGTTAAACATAACATTAATAACAATTCCATTTCCATACAACTAGCAATTTATGGAATATAGAAAAATAAAATTGTATTCGATTATGACAGTGGTAGACAACAAAGACAACCGAAGTCCCCACGATAAATAAATCCTTGTTTTTATTTTTGGTCCAGAAACAAGACATTGTTTGGGTTTTGTGATGATGGGCTTTTTGAAGCGAACTAAGTTTGTTGGGCCCCCACATAGCAATTGATAGAGAAGAAGCCCTAGGGAAATAAATAGAGGAGGAGTCCAGGTTTGAAAAAGGAGGAAGAGGAAGAGGATTGCAGGGTGGCTACGTTTTAGCAACAAAACCAAACCCTCTTAACTCTTTTTCTTCTTCTTCTTCTTCTTCTTCTTCTCTTAGGGTTTTAGCTTATTTTCTCTTTACGTTTCTGCAATGAGCAACGACAAGGATACCTTTAGTGTCGCTGATCTCACTTCAGGTATTCCTTTTTTTTTTTTTTTCCTAAGTTCTATTGTTCATAACTGATTTTTTTGGTTCACACGTTTTTAATTTTTATTTATTTTGATTCCTTGCTGAAGCTCTCAACGACGAGAATAGAGCTGACCTTGTCAATGCTCTTAAGGTTTGTTTGTATTTTTTTTTTGCTGTATTTTTATCTATGGACTTCAGATTAAGATTTAAATTTCTCAATTTTGTGTGTTAATTTGGCCATTTGCATTGTTTGTTTATAATTTATAATTTTGAATTGTGAGCAGAACAAGATACAAAATCTTGCTGGACAGCACTCCGATATTCTAGAATCCCTGTCACCTAATGTCAGAAAGCGTGTTGAGGTTCTTAGGGAGATCCAGGTATAAGTTGCAGCTGTTACCTTTGTTGTTTGGGTTTCTTTTCTATGTTTGTTAGATACAAGTTCAAGATGTCTTAACTTGGTCGGGGTTAGTAGATGTGAAGTGTAGTAAAGCCTTGCATGTAAATTGTAGATGTTTATTGATGGCATGACATATGCATCAAGATAGCGATGTCATGATGTTGGGGATTCCTTGGTTGTGTGGCTGGTTTCTAAGTTATTTGTTTTTCTGATCTTACAGGGTCAACATGATGAATTAGAAGCAAAGTTTTTTGAGGAGAGAGCAGCTCTTGAGGCCAAATACCAAAAATTGTATCAACCTCTCTACACAAAGGTCAGCCTAGCTAGTTGTATTTTATTTTATAAGCTGTACCTGGATCTGTGTAGCATACAGTTTAATATTCTGCTACTAAAACCATACAGTTTTGTATGAATAATTTTGTAATTTAAAGATGTGAACTTTATGGGGACAATAGATGTGATGATTAATATCTCTACCTTATTGTGATTTAATGCAGCGCTATGACATAGTAAATGGTCTTACAGAAGTTGAAGGAGGGGCAGCTAATGAAACAACACCAGATACTGAGGAAGATTGTGGTAATGATTACAAACACATACCTTTTGTCTTTCAGTAATGTTTTGTTTCCTTAATAGTTAATACAATAATGTGCTTGTGTAGAGAAAGGAGTGCCTGCATTTTGGCTCAATGCAATGAAAAATAACGACGTGTTAGCTGAAGAGGTTAGTCTGGTCTCTGATTGTTAAACAGTTAACTGTTATAATACACTTTTGGCACCCAAGTCTCTTGTTTGGTAATCTGCTCATTGATTGTGAAAAAAATAGATTTCTGAGCGAGATGAAGGTGCTCTCAAGTTTCTCAAGGATATAAAGTGGAGCAGAATAGATAACCCTAAAGGCTTCAAGCTTGAGTTTTTCTTTGATACCAATCCTTATTTTACCAATTCTGTCTTGACAAAAACATATCATATGATTGATGAGGATGAACCAATATTGGAGAAAGCAATTGGGTAAGCTTTAATTTTTATTTACTGTTACTTAAATGTTGCTGGTTTGCAATCATGTTAAAGTGGGTTGTCTTCTTCTTGAATAACTTTTTTTTATTTTTCTTTTAGGACCGAGATTCAATGGCACCCAGGAAAATGCCTGACACAGAAGCTTCTTAAGAAAAAGCCTAAGAAGGGTTCAAAGAATGCTAAACCAATTACCAAAACAGAAAACTGTGAAAGTTTCTTCAACTTCTTTAACCCACCTCAAGTTCCTGATGATGACGAAGACATTGATGAAGACATGGTATTGATTCAAAAACTAGAAATAAAAATAATTAAGTATGAATTTTATTGCTACTGCTTAAGAAAGGAGTTCATTTTGCTATAACCAATTCATATTTTTAAACAGGCTGAGGAACTTCAGAATCAGATGGAACAAGACTACGACATTGGGTGAGCTTAATTTTCTCTTGTGTTAGCTTATGGCATGAATTTTGAGTTTCCAAAATGTTACTTGTTTCCTGCTTAAGTGTAATTGTTGACTTTTGTTTCCCTACATATTAGTTCTGGTATTTTGTAATCTTATTGTTATATCTATTCTTGATGAGTTGCCATACTTGTTTAGGTCAACAATAAGAGACAAGATTATTCCCCATGCTGTCTCTTGGTTTACTGGGGAGGCTATTCAGGGAGAGGAGTTTGGAGGTCTGGAGGATGATGAGGATGATGAAGATATTGAAGAGGATGATGATGAAGAGGAGGATGACGAAGATGATGATGATGATGACGAAGAGGAGGAAGTAAACAAGACTAAAAAGAAGGTATTATTGTTAATTTCTTCAAAGTGCTCATACCTGGGTTTGTTTTATTTTGAGGTTTGAATCTTAATGAATCGTTTGTATTTTTTTTCCCGGTGATCTCTTCTTTGGCATCAATCAATGTGTAATATTTATGCAGTCCCATAAGGTATGATATTTTGATTTTGTGATCTAAGTGATGTGTCGTGTTATTGAAACAGACGTACAGGATCTTACTCTTGATATTTTTTAATATATATATTTTTATTTATGTTGATGGAGTTGTTTATCGTCATTTTTTTTCTGGCTGGCCTTGAAATTTACTTGTCTGTTTTTAATTTTGACTGTAAATCTTCAGAAGGGTGGAAAACCACAACTTGGTGATGGCCAGCAGGGGGAGCGACCTCCAGAGTGCAAGCAGCAGTAGAAATTTATTTATGCAGAGGGTTATTTATGGAGTTGAGTGTTATTGGTGTTCGAGAATGTCTGATGTAAAAGTGGGTTTCATGTGGTTTTAAATGTTGCTTAATTCATTTTCCTCCTGAAATCTTGATAGTCTGAATTTGTTGAGAGTCCCCTTCTCCTATTTTGCTCGCGTTTGGAGAGAATGTGGTTATATAGTAGGATGCTGTGATTTATTATTGCTGAAATTTGTACGTCCGTCTGGTATACTTGATGAAATATATAGTTTGTGCTTCATCACTAGTAATTCTTTCTGTTGATAATTTTTCGATCAACATATTTTTAAATGTTGAACTTCAAGTATTTAAACTGAAGTCTAAGATGTTTGTAGTTTCCACTGTTAATGCTTAAAGTAGTGACGTATTTCGCGCGAGTTTTCTTGTTTATTTATTAACAAGTCGAACAAATTGTTCTCTAATTTGGAATGCTCTAAATTATGCATATACACTCTAATATCTGTGGTTGTTATTTGAGTAAATTGACTCTTGTTCATGATTTTATAAGTCTTTTTACTTCAGTTCCCTAGCTTGTTGAAAATTATTAGTTATGTGCATTCAACTAACACTTGCGACAATTATTAGAATTGTTTGTTTGACATGCCAAATTTTTATCCCATATTTCAAGTTGCATGTCACATGGGTCTTTGGAAGAACAATTTTTGAAATTTACATTCAAAATTGCTTCTTTCTACAAAATTATCATTTGTCACATTCTGTCCTAAATTTTGATGTCCAGTGCCTACATTTTATTTTGATAGTAGACACCCATTTCATTGTGTTGGAAAAATGCAGCTTCACGAGATGCTTTTGATTGAAGTCAATTTTATTTTCTTAGAAACAAACGTGCATTGGGAAGCGCAGCTTGTAAAAGGTGCGGCGAGTTATAAGTAAAGCCCTTTGTCGAACACGACTTCAAGATTTAAACTCTTAATATTGCAAGTGTACGGGGGATCATAATAAAAGATTTAAGGATTGATTCGGTTTTGGATAAAAAAGGAAATTCACTGACCCAACCCGACTATAAATGGATTGGCTTGGCTTAGTGATGTATAAAAGAATTAAAATTCTGTATATAATTGATGATCCAATTTTAATATCTTAAATACTAAATGTATTAAAATTAAGTAAAAATCATTTTTTAAAAATATAATATAGTATTAATGAATTAATATTTATTTAAAATAAGAAGTTAAAGCAAAATAAAGTAAAAAATAAATTTTGATAATTTTAATAAATCATAAAGTAAAAAGTTCAATATTCATTTCACATTTAAAGCAAATATAATATAGTTTTTATTTTTTAATTGCACTGAGCTGATTGTTTCAACAAAACTCACCAACACCTCCGGAAAAATTGTATTTGGAGTCTCAATTTGTTTTAGTTGCGATCAACCATAATTTAGTTTTTTTTTTATGTAGTGAATGATAGGCCCGGCCCAATAAAAATGTATTTTTGTTGTTGTTGATGTATCTCCAGAAAACAAAGCAACGCAAATCGCTCGGTTGTGTTCTCTTCCTCAGAGCACGATCCTCTCTCCGACGTTGTTGGGATGGAGTTGAAAAGGGAGGGAAATCAAACGAAAAGCCTCATAAAACGCTAAATATATATTATAAAAAAACTAACAAAAACGTTGGGAACTCACTTCACTTGATGACATGCCAAAGCTGCTTCTATGGCGAGGCTGCTTCGGAACATTTCATTTCTCACCCGCTCCCTGTTCGTCCCTCAGGTTCATCCATCCTTTCCTTCTTCCTAATCACATGATTACGTTTATGCACAGTGATCCGTTCTTTTATGATCATCTTTTTGTCACCAAACACCTTCCATTCTTCGCTCTTTCTTCTTCCTCGTTATGCATTTGATGCAGTTTTGTTATTTATTTTTCTTCTTTTACTTTTACTTTCAGATACTGATAATGGTGCATAATCACTTCTTGCTTCCACTTGCAGGGCTTTAAACTTGGAATATTCGGCACTTCTCAGATTTTGAACTTTTCATCTAAAGGTTTATTGAAATTCTCTTGCTCTCTTCCCTTCCTTTTATCTGAAGCCTAAATTTATTAATTTGGAGGAAATAATTTATATTCCAAGGTTATGTGGGTGAGAACCAAGACTTGTGAATTGCTCGAGTATATGTATTTTTATTCTTTGGAGAGAGTCATACCAGTTCATGTACATATCTATCTCTGCTATTGATGTCGTACTGATATCAATAGCAGGTTTATGGTAAATGGTGCAGCGTTTCAGATCAATCTGCTCTAGTTCCCTACCATCTCTGATTTTTTCTTGAAGTTTGAACTGATTTGAAGTTGACAACATTTTTTCATTTCTACATACCTGAAGGTAGAAGGCGCTCTAAATCTGATGGAAGTGACTCAGGTGAAGAAAACATGTCTAAGAAAGAGTTGGCCCTTCAACAAGCTCTTGATCAGATCACTTCCACATTTGGAAAGGGATCTATAATGTGGCTTGGTCGCTCTGTCTCACCAAGAAATGTACCTGTTGTGTCTACTGGTTCTTTTGCTCTTGATATAGCACTAGGAGTTGGTGGACTTCCAAAGGTATCCTTATATCCTTGCATGAAGAACTTTCTTGCTCATTTGTTACTTGTGAATAAACTCTGAACCTTTTTTAATAACATCTACGTGGTTACTGGTAAAAAACTTTTCTATTGTCCTCCAATTTATGGCTATAGGGACGTGTTGTGGAAATATATGGTCCAGAGGCTTCTGGAAAAACAACTCTTGCTTTACATGTGATTGCGGAGGCGCAGAAGCAAGGAGGTTATCTTTATATCCTACTTTTACCATGATAACTGTAATGTCTTTGATTGCATTGGATTTAGGATTCTAAGTTCTAACTTTTGTAGATGTGACCATAACCTTGTAATTGTCATTATTATTGTCATCACAGACTATCAGTTACAGATGATTTAATCTCCTCATCTCCCTTCTCTTTACGCTTGGTAGTTGTAATTCCATGTTTTCTTTTCTTTAAGAATTCTTAATGAAGTTAGAAGTGTCTAACTGGCAGTTTGATTCTATACATGGTTTCTCGCTGTCTATATTCCTGCTTCATCACTGTGCCTACAATTTTTAGGTGCTAGGCTCCTGGCAGTTTCTCATTTGTAAATCTTAACTTGGGTATGTTCTGCTTTTCACTTCTCTTGCCCTTTTAATGGAGAAGGGAGAGTTATCTGTGTCTGATTTTAATTCTAACAAATAAGTATATTGGGGATTGTGTTAATCTTTCAGACAAATTTTTTCATTAGTTTAACCATAATAAATTAATAATGAAGATAACGATGCCTATATGTTTAGTTCTATTATTTACTTGCTTAGAATCTCTGTTAAGAATTTTGCAGTTGGTTTATGCAGAGATTGATATGTTTGTTTCATACAGGGTACTGTGTCTTTGTTGATGCTGAGCATGCCCTAGATAAGACACTTGCAGAGTCTATTGGTGTGAATACAGCAAACTTGCTGCTCTCCCAACCGGACTGTGGTGAACAAGCACTTAGTCTAGTAGATACGTTAATCCGTAGTGGTTCAGTTGATGTAATTGTTGTTGACAGTGTATGTGTGGAGCTCTTTTCCTATTGGTTCTGTCAATACTTTTCTTGGTTGTCATTGTAATTGTTAATGATTGTACTGGTAACTGTAAAAACATCCTTTATCTGTTATAGGGTTCATTTAATTGCTGTATTGAGTGTCATGCTTTCACCATCTAATAACTTATTTTAGGAAGGTGATTTTAGCCAATCACCATTGAATTCTGCCTAGATATTGTAAATTACTCATCAAATAACATATTGTTTATACTATGTCATTCAAATCTTGTCATTGGTGCAAATACGTGTGTACTAACAATTTGTAGTCATTTTATTAATAGGTGGCTGCTCTTGTTCCTAAAGGTGAGCTTGATGGTGAAATGGGTGATGCTCACATGGCAATGCAGGCTAGGTTGATGAGCCAGGCGCTTCGAAAATTGAGCCACTCTTTGTCACTTTCTCAAAGTATATTAATTTTTATAAACCAGGTATCAAAGTTTTTACCAACAATGTTGTCAGTTTTCCTTTGGTCAGATTATGAATATTATTCAAATTTAACGCAAGCAAGTTACTGTGTATAGGAAATTTTTGTTTGGGTTAGTCTGTCCTCTAATTATATCATCCTTGGTCTATGACTATACACTTTTGACTTGTGCTGAGCAAAGTTCCCCTTATCATGAATCATATATTTATTTTTGTTGAGATCATTAAACTTTTTTCTCTCGGCTAATTTTGTTCTGCTGCTGTCCTCTCAATATAATCGCATAGATTCAATTCATCATCTTTCCTTTTTATGCATGTAAAGCTGCATTGATGCAAATTTTATGGTATGGCTTTGTGTAAATCTTAGATAACAAAAGCTATTTGCTGCTGGGGCGTCATGAATCTTTTTTTTTTTTTTGAAATTACTAAATGAAAAAAAAATGTTAAGAAATAGAGTGTGTCTGGATAATTGTTTATTTAAGCACTTATTCATGAGCTCTTTTTAAAACTATGACTTTTGTCTTGAATTTAATAATGAAATTTATTGGGATAAGTTGAAAACAACTTATGTTGATAAATTATACCAAAAAACTTATTGAAATAAGCTGAAAACAGCTTATGAGAATCATAAATTGTTTTTCATAAGCTATTTATAGGCTCTACCAAACGAGCCCATTATATAGTTTTGGGTCCATTGCTGGGTTAAATATTGCCCTAAGCTTTAAACTGAGAAGATGGAATTCCAAATTATCTGAATTGATTAAAAGTAGTAATTATCTTCTGGCAATGAATTGGTCAGCTGTGTAAACTTATGCATGAGCTGAGCTTGCTCTGCCAGGACTAAATTTGATGATCTTTTCTGTTTGTAAATTCTGTAGGAATATATTAACTTTTGGGCAGAATCTGTTCAAATTACTCGAGTGATGTGTTTGTCTTTTAGTAACAGGATTTTTTTTTTGTATGTATCTCAGGTGAGGTCAAAGATTTCGACTTTTGGGGGATTTGGTGGGCCTACTGAAGTTACTTGTGGCGGTAATGCATTGAAATTCTATGCTTCTATGCGGTTAAATATCAAGAGAATAGGGTTTGTCAAAAAGGGTGAAGAGGTAATCATATTTTTAGTTCTTCTTTTGTCATGATCATTGCTTTAGTATTGACATGCCTTCTCAAGTGTTTGTTTCAAAGAAGTAAATATGTGAACTCTGTTTGATGGAATCTGCAATGTTCTATTATGATTAGACTTTTGTTCTTAATCTATCTACCAAATTGCTTTATCTGGTTCATATGTTTTGGACATGAGCAATATGGATGCCAAGGTTTTGAACGCAGTGATATTCTTTGAAATTTCTTGCTTGTTTACATTAAGTTCAAAGTAATTAATTTTTTATAATAAACAGATTTTACGTCCTGCAGTAAAGTGACTGTTGGTGTTTAGTATGGAGTATAAACTGCAAAAAGAGAAAATGCAGTAGAATTATTTATTTGATACCAATGTCGTATTCTTTCTAAACATGACGACACATACCGGTTTGATTGTGCAAGAAGTTATCAGCTGTAAAATACAAATGCATTGAATATACTTTTTAGTACTTCAACCTATGCACTTCCTATATTTGGATGGTAGATATCTATTTTTTAATTGCTTGTTTATTGGATTATTGATCTAAAAATGTCCTCCTTACAAAGTAGAGCTTTTTAATTTTTATGTTGGATACAACCCTTTCTTTTTCTTACACTTAATATTTTGTATGTTATCTCTACTCGTGCAATATTTTGGGGGTCTTCAGATTGCGTTGAATCTAATATCTGAATATTTATCCTATATGGTCTTTTTATTTCTAAAGATTTTAGGGAGCCAGATTCTTGTCAAGGTTGTGAAGAACAAGCTTGCCCCTCCATTTAAAACTGCTGAGTTTGAGCTTCAATTTGGCAAGGGTATATGTAGAGAAACAGAGATTATAGAATTGAGCGTAAAACACAAACTCATCTTAAAGGCTGGTGCAATGTATTACTATAACGAGCGGAATTTTCGTGGTAAGGATGCTCTAAGAAGTTTCCTGGCTGAGAATCACAGTGCATTAGAAGAACTTGAAATCAAGCTCAGGGAGAAGCTTCTTAATGGTGATGAAACAGAAAAGGTGCAAGAATCAGATGTGATTAGTGGAGAAGTTACAGAAGAAATTGCAACCATTGATTCTACTGACGAGGAAGCCACAGATGTTGTAGAAGCATGATTTTATGAACGACCTTAAAGTATGGCTCACTATTTTCCCTGCCTCAATATGGACCCATGTGATTTATGTATGCTGAGATTGATGAATTTGTCCACTCAAATGAAGGTCCTAAGAAGCAATGCATGCCTCCAATGCTTCTATTTTGGAATCTCATTCTTGCCTCACGTTATTGATTGCACTACCTCTAAATTTGACTTTGTATAGGCATAGTAATATGGCACATATAAATTTAGAATGGAATGGATTGACTGCTTTGGTAGCAAGGTCATTTATACTCCAGAGTTGTAAGGATTTTCCAATGCAATTTGTATATTGATGCATATGTTTCTCATTTGATAACTTCCTTTTTATTTTCCCCCTCCGTCCATTGCTTCTTGGGACCAGAATTTCATATCGGGCGATGAAATGAACTGGGTTGGTTTTTATTTGTAATTCGAAAATGTAACTTTTACGATACTTAAAGATTATGTATAATAGAATAATCATTACTATTAAATATGTATAAAACATAGTGGAGATAAACGGTCAATCTTAAAAAAATATAAATGTTTTTTAATTTTTAAAATATTTAAATATTTATAAACATCGATTTAAGAATAATATAAAATGTCATTTCAAGTTTATAGATACAGTAGAAAATACTTTAAAAACAGTGTAAGATGAATCAGTGAAACTACGTGTCTAATAACTTGAAATTTGTATAATAATATTTTATATCTTTTTTTTTTTAAATCTCTGGTAAAATAAAAAAAACTCAATTATTTTGGCATAAAATTGAAATATTAAAAGAAAGAGAGAGACGTGTATAGATATAGGCAGTAAATTTTTATGATCAAATAGAAATACTAACAGAGTAATATCATAAAGAGATATAAATAATAATAATAATGGAGTAACATTATATTTATAAAAGTAAAAAATAAATCCTTAAATAACCAAAATAGTAGTACGATACTATTATAAAAGGGAAAAAGAACAATAAAAATAAGAAATTAGTTAAATCATAAATTGAAATTAAACGACCAAATTTTTTTTAAAAAATATTTCAGTAATATAATATAAAAATTTCTTATCCTATTTTACATTAAACTGAAGCAATTCGTAAGTATCTTACCTTAATCCATACCGGAGCACCTTTAGTCTAATAATAGTTAATATTTTTTTTGGTGAAAGATAATAGTTAATTTTAATTGCATATCCTATTTTACGTATATATTTTATCTTAATTATATATTTTTTATGCCATCTTAATTATATTGATATTCAAATAAAGACGACGCATGACTAGATAGTGACCGTTAATTATGAAAATGTAAGTTTTAAAAAATGAATTCGCCAAAAACTTCTCTCACTTTAATGAGACGTGAATCCTCTGATTCTAAATCTCAGAAAATAATCGGCACGATGCACTTAAAATTCAACGATGACTCTGACATTTCCCAATAGTCTTTTTTTTTTTTAATTTCAGAATAAAAAACGATTTTTATCTCATTTATTATGTACATAAGTAAAGGATTAAAAAATCATTAGAAAGAAAATTATTTCATTAAAATTATATGAATAATCTATTATATCGAAAACATTTAATTTCTTAATCTGTATGGATAAAACTCAAAAACACAGAACTTAAATATTGTGATCCACTGTACTTTAAAAACAATGGCAGAGATCCTCCAACCTTTTTCTTTGGAATAGAAGAGGAGTTCTCTAGTCATCCACTTCCTAAGAAGCATATATGCTTCTAAATGACAGCTGAGTTACAATGTTATTAGATATGTATGTTTGTGTTATATTATATTCACATATATATTTTTAAAGATAATAAAGTTATTCATTCATGTATAATTCAAAAGGAAGATTATAATCTTTCAAGAGTGATCTAATACTTCAATGTATAACTATTACACATTAAAGTATGTTCACTTAAAATAAGCAATGAATAATAAAAATTAAATAGAACAAATAATCTCTTTAACTATCGTCATATCAAACCATTCACTTCAAGCAATAATTTTTTCCTAACCCTTCATTGTTATTATTTTTTTCCCTTTTTGACTTTATCTTAACTCAATAAAAAAATTAATAAAGTTTTGTATTAAATTAGTCAATAAAGGTTTATCTACCATGAGTCAGAGTCAACCGTGATTTTAACAAACCTTAGAAAATTAAAAAAAAGAGTAAATATAATTAAAGAAAACTCATAAAGTAATAAAGAAGTAAAAGAATAAGAAATCCATATAGTGATTAAAGATAAATATATATATATATATATATATATATATATATATATATGCATATAGAATTAGCTTAGAAAATAATAAAAACAACTTACAGTAATGATAAATTTTTTTAACTGAGTGTCACTTTTCCTCCATAAAATTGAATCAGGTGTTAATCAATTTTTCATTAATTGTGAAACTACGAAACAAAAGATAAAGTAAAGATGATATAGCTAACGTGGGTTAAAATGATTGGTCCACTTGGCATTGTACCAAATCATCAACCACTCTTCTGACAGCTTCCAGGAAGGCAGGTTCGTCCCATTCACTTCCCTACGAACAGACACAGAGGCATATTATTCTTCTTCTCAAAAACTATACTTTTTTGGGTATTCTGAGTTATTGGGTGTGTCTCTTTTTTTTCTTCTATATGTTGGATGTATTTTAAGAAAGTTAAAACCTATAATTTGTTAATATTTTTTAGATATTTAATATATATATATATATATATATATATATTAAACAGTAAAGGTTGAAAAGCTTTTTAAAATAATATTACTGATAAAAAAAGTTCATATAATTTTTACGTGCAAGTTATCTATAATTATAGGTATGGTGTATTTGAGAATATAACTTAATTAAGTATCTATTCAATAAATTTTTCAAGTAAAAACTTTTATCATAATTTTGATTATAATTATTTAAAATAAGTTTAAAATATTTATTTTAATATATTATATTAAAAAATTATTCAAAAAAATTAAAAATAACTTATAAAAATTATAAGTTTTTCAAATAATCCGTGCTATCTATTTTATAAAACACTAATAATTTCTACATGAATGAAGTAAACTAACCTCTCATTTTTCTTTATAAAAATAAAACGATAAAAATAATGCTCATAATATACGTCCAAGAATGTTTTTTAGGTTATTTTTTTTCCAAAACTATAGATAAACTTAAAATATTATATACACATCTTAATTAATGCGAATATAAATCTAAACTTTAAAAAAAGTGTATCCTTCTATTTGTTAAAGTGTTCCGAAAGTGTAGCATTTACATAGTATTGTATTTCTTATAAAAGAGAAAGATCCTTCACTTATTTTTTTAGGAGTATAACAATAAGTTACAGGTTAGATTAACTAATTAATTAAAATACTTTTAAAGGTGTAATTACTAACAAATCTCAGGACAGCACAGCACACCAAACCAACTTCACAATTACAGCTGCACTTTCTGAGCACCTTCCTTAATTCAACACGTCAATGTTGAACATTATACGATATTAAAAAAAAAATTGATTTTATCATTATGGTAAGAAAGGTTGAATCTAGGATATTATATTATATTGCAGCTGATACTTTTTCTGAAATTGTGAGATCGAAGAATTCTGTTGTGATGATAGTGCAGACTATAACTAGGTCTAGAGGTATATAGCTTTGGTTAAACCTAGACCAGTGAGCAATACTACTAATAAATAATTCACAAAAATTGTTTCCGTTGATTATCCCCTACATTTTCATTCTCTTCTCCACTATGTTCATGTTAGAACAGGTTAATCAAAGGTGAAGTGCCTTGTGGTTTAACCAAAATACTTACGAAGTGTCCTAATTAATATATATAAAATTTCTATGTAAAGCCTGCACAGCTGGGGGTGTACGTGCACTTCACTGGCTAACACTCTGAAAGAAAAACAAAACTATAAATGTAGAGGTTCGGAAATTTTCTATAAATAAGGTTCGTCTAATAAAAATTAAATATTAAGATAAACATTAAGAGTCTATACTAAATATAAATAATAAACTATTATATTAATAATGTGATTTTAATATATATCGATTTTTTATATATTAATAAAATTATTAGGTAGTATAATATATAATGTTTATATTTTGTTAAATAAAAATATACAAATAGAGACAAATGATTTTATGACCATAAATATATACGGTTCCAAAACATGTTACGTACTACTACTTCATGAAGTGTTGTTTGTGGTACATACCTCGAGAATCCTTAGCCTGAACGTTAATTGATTAATGGCTGCCCTTTGTGTAATGTGGTTGTTTGCAGCCATGGAAATCAAGCTTACGTTCTGAAGTCGTTCTAAGAATCTCAACAAGCGAATCAATATATCAACTTGAGAACTTTCTCCTCTCACACTGATCACTTGCAAGTCCACCATTCGTCCCTCTGATGAACTCGATTCCAATACATCCGAAACCTCAACTTTGAATCTTTCATTTGAGGAGATAGCTATGTTTTCTTCGGTACTAAGAGCTCCTTTTTCTGACAAAAATGTCATCAACTGCTGATTGCTTATGTAAAGCTTTTCAATTTCATCCATCAATGATTTCATTGTTTCCTTTGCTGTTGTAAGGATCGACGCTTTGTCTTTCTAAACCGTCCAAATTCAAACCTCCCAGTCAATAATTTGGAATTATTACAGAAAAAAATCATATACATACTAACCTAAAATAATTCTAGGTGTTAAGATTGCCTCTATCAATACATTATTATCTAATAAAAGTTAAATTACTAGTGTAAATATTATGAATTTTATGTTAATTAATAACATGGTAAATATCAATTTCATATAGTAAAAAAAAAAAATTGATTGATTAATTATACTAACATGTATACCTGTATATATATAGGAGCATTTTAAGTGAAACAATTTTGTTATTATGAAAAGTGAGAGACATTAATAATGACCATTGAATTAAATAAAGAGTTTATATTTGATATTATTATTCCACTATCTACTTTCTTCTCTCTATTACCAATTAATTTTCTTTTTTCACCTTTCTTAATAACAAATTTTTCTCATTTGAAATATCCCATATATATATATATATAAAAGGTTTGATACATACCTTAGTTCCTGGAGGAAGTATTGCTCCAAGTGCCTGAAAACTCTCATTGAGTTTTTCACGCCTTCGTCGCTCCGATATGATATGATTCAGTTGGGTACCAGTAGGAGGGGCTACATGAATGGGTTCTCTCATTCTCACAAAATTTAAGCTTCTAAGGAGTGAAAATGATCTATTCAGAAGGCTTTGCCTCTGAAAATTGGACCCCATTTGGGGTGTTACATTTGTGCTTACATCTGATCTATATCTCTTGAAAGCAGTACTTTCTCGACGTACTACTGAAGTATAATCGGGCAAATTTTGCTGGGGTTGATGCTGTTGAGAAGTTGAAGAAGAAGGTGAAGATATAACATGCAAAAATGCTCTTATCAATGCATCATCTTCGCCCTCTGGTGTGGGGAAATGACTTGGAATGACTTGAGCTAACGGTTCCATTCTTTGTTGTTGTGGGCTAGTTTGTGTGGTTGGCATCGCGGGAACCACACCAAGGGTTATTTCAGGGCTACCTGTAGATAATGATATGAAAGAAGAAGATGATGATGTTGATGAAGGTGGATTTTTCTGATGAATTGATTGGCAATGTGTAGAGAAATCTTCTGGAAATAAACTCCAAAGTGCTCTCTGAATGTCACCCTGTAGGATACAAGTTAGTATATAGGATATTGTAAAAATAATGATTGATTAAATATTGGAATTACATAATAAATATAATGTAGTATTGTTTACTTGAGACATATATGAGAACCCAAGTTCAATTTCTCCTTTGTTGCACCCCATGAAAACAGCAGTCTGTGAAAAAAGAGCAACTACTAAATATATTGAATTTTTTTTTCTGCTTCATTAATTATAATTTAGGAAACAACCATTGACTAAGGGTTTTCAGTTTTTTGAACCATGAACCTACCATAATCCTTGCCTCCTGTAAAAGCACAAATTACATTAGCAAACGTTTACTTCATAAAGATATATAGCTTTAATTCTCAGTAAATTAGTTATTTTTTTTTTATTTGTAAAGTGAATACCTCAATGAACTGTTTTTGAATTTCTGTTGATGAGAGTCTTAGAAGATCCAATTGTTGCAGCTCTAGGTAGGGAAGGTGGTTCCTGAAAGCGACTCCAGGAACACAGCTAAGATCAAAAGAGAAACCAACAATTATTACAAAAGAAATTTGATGACGATGAAGAAGAAGAAAACAACATTTACATACTAATTAATGCAAAAAAAAAGATCATGTTAATTTGCATTAAAAATAGATAAATCAGAGAAAGCAAAGTTAGTTAGCCTTACTCATCATTAACATCAAATGTTAAACGCTGATATTGGTGAAAAAGCGTTTTGGCTAAAGTACTCCCTAAAGATGTGCTTGGCTGCAATTGGTTGTTCGTTACATTGTAGAACCCATCCAAGAAGAATAAACGACTATATTCATAAAAAAAGATGCAGATCTAAAGATAAGTGCAAGCTTAGAAATCAGAATTTAATATACAAGTCACATTCACAGATTAAATACCAATATATCTAATGATATGTGTATATATATATAGTGAAAAATATATATTATACTTGTATAAATCGGAATCATGTCTCCACAAACAAACATAAGCGCAGCCAAAAGAGTGCACTAAAGAGCGGAGAAAATCAGTTCTGGCGGCTTGAGGGAGGGCGAAGACGCCATCCATGGGGCGCAAGGAAATTTGATGCTAAGGCTTTTGCATAATGATGAGATCAGAGTGTTTGTATATTTTGGGTCTCTATGATTCTCTTGTTTCTACCTTTATATGTCATCTTAACTGATTGCTTAATAACGTAATGGAATTACCAATCTATTCCTATATGGGGGCTGGAAATGGAATGACTTGGTTTCGTAGATAAGAAATTGGAACTTTATAAAGAATATTAAATTGTCTATGTGTATATATAGGGAGAAAGAGAATTGATGAAAGAATCTAAGCTAGTTGGTGGATTAGGAGACACTTGATCGATCTCGTTTTGCTGGTCATAGTTCATGAAATTGTTAATTTATGTTTGAAAGGAAAGCAAAGATGAAAGAGAGAAAGGTTTTTGAAAAGTATGGAGATGGGGTGGTGACATCTTGTATGCTGAGAAAAGTCTAGCTCACACTATGTAACGTGAAATTATTAAAGTGTGAAACCCAATGAAAAAAGGGAAAAACATAACACTAAACTTACTTAAACATTTAAGACATGAGAGGGCTTATTGAGTAGTCGCACGTAACTGGAAGCTAGCTTTGAATCTATATATACGTCATAATAGTGAAATTAATTACAGACTAGGAAGAAAAGTAGAAAGTTAGTGGTTGATGTCATCGCATAATGTTTTGAAAATCAAAATTGGACGGTGTTTTTTTTTTAAGAAAAAAAATTGGAGTGCATTTTTTGGGGCAATAAAAAAAAGAAAAACGATTTAGAGAGATATATAATTAATTGTATATAATGTTATATATAATATTCTTATTTTCATTGTAAATAATGAGACTGAGATGATATTTGATGCTGTGAACAAAAATTTATTTCCGCGTATATTTCATGAATTCATATATATATATATATATATATATATATATAGGCATATAGTATAGTTTAATATGTTTTTATTTTTATGAAACATCGCAAGAAATAAATACCGTTAAATTTGCAAAGCATTGATAATTTAGAATCGAAACCTTATTGTGATTCTCAAAAAATTCTTAGGACATTGAGTTAATTTTAAATACATTATGATGTTATTTTATTCGTCAAAAGATACTTTTTTAAAGCATAAAATAATTCTTTATTGTTTAATAAAATGTAATTAATGTTAAGTGACAATGAAAACCATCATTTATGAATCAGTTTGACAATGCTAATCTTTGGATATCTACGCATAAAACTTGAGATGGATGCATTTGTGAGAAGTTTTTTTTACGTGAAAGATGTGGATTTTATTTTCTCTACCCATTTATTGAAGGACAAGAGTTAACTTTAATTAAGCAATTTTTGTTCAAATTTATTTTTTTATAAATGTTATAATAAAGTTCAACATTGAATATCGGATCTCCTTGTAAGAATAAATTTTAATTTAACTGAAAAAATTTATTTGAATTAACTAATTTTAAATGAAAAATGAAAAAGACATTTGGAGCTAATTTGTAGACTATTTTAAATTAACCAAGAGGCAAAATACTCTACAGCTGAAAAGAAAAATAACGTAGACTAAATTGCAAATTGACTTATTTAATTACGGCATTAAATAGGATTATTAAATAACGACCAATTTAAATATGAATATATAAAAATTAATCTGTTTAATCATATCTTTATGTAAAGTGGTACGAACGTGGCGCAAGGTTTATTTATATATAACGTTTGATATGAGCAGTCTTTTATTTTTAATCAAATTACTTTCTTAATCACATTCTTAAAAATATTTAAATAAAATGAATTGTCAATTTATTTTATGATAAATAGAAAATCAACGATAGAATGTCATGTCAGTAAAAAAAAAAATATAATGACATGATTTAAAAATATAATAATAAAATATAGTTAATTCCAGCAAATATTTATTTATGTTAATCTAAGTTATATGATAAAATTAAAAACAGAATTTAAATTTTTTAAAATACTCATTTATGAAATAAAGTATTTAGTTATACTCTTAATTCATATGATTTTATTTTCTAAATTATATTTTAGAATTATCATATTTTGTTTATAAATTTATTCTATAATCATATTTATGTTATTTTTATATAATTATTCTTAGAGTAAATTATCTTATAAATCGATCCCTGTTGATTTTTTTTTCCATAAACTGCATAAGATATGAAATAGGGTTTAAAAAATTGACACATTTTTAAAATTTTTGCTTGGTATATTTTGAGCAAAAGATAATGTAATCATTTTAATTTTCATTTTTTTAACAAAAATAATAATTTTAGACTTTTAGATAAAAGAAAATGAACAAAAAAATCAAATTTAATAAATTTTAAAAGTAAAACAGTTTAATTAACTGAAAAAAAACTAAGATTGCATATGACGTAAACTAAGAAGACAAAAAAAAAAAAAAAATTTGAACATTTAATTTTTTCCCTTTTTATTGATTAATAATATTCTCATATATTTTTATAATCGTAAAATATATTTATGTTTGTGTTGTACATCGAAAATGCTTATTTCCATAGTAAATTACTTCATCAATAACATTAAAATGATAAAATACTGAGTCAAAGTTGACGCTCTGAAAAGATTTGAAATTGGTCAATGGAGGAAGCCACGCAGTTCTTTTCCAATCTCCATCACACTTATTTGTTTGTTTCCTCACGCAACCACCCTTTCTGAAATTCATTGTCAAACATTACAATGTGGACACATTTTGTTTTTGCTATAATCAACACACTAGAATAATTTATTAACTATTTATATCCAAGTATAATTGAGTTAATAAGTATAAACAACATTCTTGGGCAATTCGATTTTCCAACTACATGAGAACTTTCCTTTGGCTCATTGTCAATGAGAGGCTTTTCATCATCATCTAAATGTCACCATGCAATCTACCAACTCGATTAACAATTGACACAGATGTCAATAGGTTTGTTTTGGGTTCATAGTCATTCCCCTCCATTCATCTTAACTTGCTTCTTCTAGTCATGGATCACAAATTTCTCAACTAGTCCAAGTTTCAACTACTCACATCATGCTTTCCTTTCAACCTTCTATTTCCTTTCATTTTGAAAATTGATCAATCGAAATTCATTAAACCACAATATGTCATGACTCATGTAATAGAAAAATATATGTAGAAATATAAAAAAAGATTTATCTTTTTTTTTTGAAAGATTTAAATACATCTTGACTCTCTCTATTCTTCTTAGCCTTCCAAATATCACCTACTAACATCTGTTGAAACTTTTTCTCCACATCAAAAAGTTTCATCACAGAATTTTTATCATCAATCAAACTCAACTCAGTTGTCAAATCAGATATCACTTTATCAACATTTCCAAATATCTCAATATTCTATTTTTTCAATTCAATCTTAACATTTCTTAACCTCTGGCTAGCTCTCTGGGCTCCCCATGGGAGGGTAATATCTCTTTTCCACGCTTCCTCCACCACCTCCACAACTTCTTTATGAGTCAGCCAACAATTATTAAATCGAAACGGCTTCGGACCCCAGTTAACCACTTTGTGCTTAAGAATAATGAGACAATGATCAGACACATCTCTGCTCAGAACCTGAATAAAACCATCTCTCCAGTAATCAAGTCAGGAACTAGAAACAAGGACTCTATCCAGCCTGCTTATCATAGAAGCATCCTCTTTTATTCATGTAAATTTTTTATCCACAAGTGGAAGATCCACAAGTTCCATTTCCTGAATGAAAGAATTGAAGCCCTCCATTTCAGAGATACCATGATCTGCTTAACAACCCTTCCTCTCTTTCACTTGTCTCACAGCATTGAAGTGACCCAATATACACCACATAAATTTGTCAAAACTCCTTCTTGTCATGAGCAAATCATCCCATAACTTTCTCTTCTCACTTAGTCTACACGATGCATAGACATTCACCACAACACATAGGTTTCCAGTAGCCAATACCTGCAAGCAAACACCCAAGAATCCAGTACCAGAAAAGGAGAAAAGTATTTTACCTTTGGAAGTATCCCAAAGTGAAAGCATACCCCCACTTCTGCCAATGGAAAGCAAGGCACACCAATTAAAATTCACAGAACCCCACAGACGTGCACATAAATTACTATTACATATTTCAAGTTTTGTTCCTGAATCGCCAAGAACTCAAGACCTTCAGAGCGAACAATCTCACACACCTTCTTTTGCTTTACCGCGCTCCCCAGCTCTCAACAATTAAATGAGCCAATCTTCATTTAGTATCAAAGCGAACTCCATATTCTTTCGCAATCATTCTATCACGTAACTCCATCTCAATCAATTTCTCTCGAATCTGCTCATCATTCCCATGTACAACCAAACCAACCTTCTTGCCAATGTCTAGTAACTTCGATGTCATTACCTCATCATCACAATCTGTAGCAACCATTCGCTCCCCCACCTCCACTGAAGGATTGGAAGGATGTGAGTTGTAGGAGCTCTTGGAAGCATTAGCTGAGATTTCATCAGTTAGCGATACCTGTCCTCTAAGTTGCGATGGCATTGACGCTTCTTTATTATGATTCTTAGGGTTTTTTTGAGAGGGTTCTATGAAAACTGCGCTCTTATGTCTCTTCCCTCCTTCATTACCTCGACTACCTTTCACAGAGCGTGCCTTCCGAAAAGATTCACGCACATTGACCCTATTTTTCTCATTTTTGGATTGAATATCCCGGATTTTTTCAAATCAATGCGTCTAATCCAAACGAGTCTGACAAATTCAATCTATCTCTTACTATTTGGACTCCCCTCTCCATATTTTCAGAAGGCTCATTCACAGTATCATAGATAGCCACCGTCGGACCCATAGCATCCACACCACCAGCCCCCAAACCCTCATCCACCAAACACCCTTTTGGTGACACTTCACCCCTAATCACAGAATCAACCAAACGACCCTTACTTCTGATATCACCTTGCAGCACACCCTCCTTCTCACTAGAATAGTTATCCAACGCTTCCAACTCCATTGAACCAACCTCAGAAGAGTCATTGTCGTCCTCAGAAGAGTTAGCCACACCTTCCTCTGTTGCGGCTAATACGTCACAAGCATGCTCTTCAAACATGACTATTGAGTAAAAACGATCATTGACTTTCACTGTAATGTTTTGCTTGATAAGCTCAGCAATAGTAGTACCTAATTGTATCCTCCCATAACTCAATCGTCGTCTTTCTGCCATGACTTGGTCTATCTGGATAAAATCACCAAGTGAAGAAACTAACTTACGGAAGAATAATTCACTCCAAGCATGCAAAGGGACCCATAACAACGTACCCAAGTCACCCTCCGCACAGCTACCATACTTGGGTGCCACTCTCGTAGATTATAGAACCATTTCTTCCATATATTTAATCTTATTGGTACAAAATTCATCATCATATGGTTTTAATATTTAATCTTATTGGTACAAAATTTACATAAATTTATTTTATTTATGTACATAATAATTTACATAAATTCTGCTTCGTGTCTAATTGTTATTTAATACATAAATTTTTCAGAGTTTTAAATTTTGTACCAATAAGATTAAATATAATCAGTCACTATTCTTTCTTTTACTCTAATTTATAACAAGAAAATAATTTTTTATTATAAAAATTTAATTTCCATTGTTATTTGAGTGTATAACTCAAATTATTGGCTCAAGACTAAACTGCACTGCAGAGGGTCGGTTCCGTTAATGTGACCATACATATTACTCCTTATATTTTACATTAGGTAATTTTTAATTAAATTATATAAAATAAAAATCGTTAAAATTAATTAACATTTTTTTAAAATAATGTTATAAATTTAATTATATTATCAATAATAAGTACTTCATAAAAATTATAAAAAATTTGGAAACATTAGAATGATAAGAGGGAGTAACACATTGTTCCTATGCTGAGTGAGAATTGAGAAGCAGACAAGTAGAGACAAACACAAGGTAGCGGGTAAGTAACTGTAAGGGAACTCAACGCTTTCCTAATGGAAACCCTTTGGCCAAAAAATGCTTCTTCGATTTTCTCTAATTCATCACTTTCTATTACGCTTTCTTCATTGTCTAAATTTTCCCATTACCAGGTTCGCGTTTCCATACCACCCAATCGCACACGCAGAACCAGAAGAGCCTTCAATTTGAGCATGGCTTCGGCTGCACACACCCCAGGTGATATATGTTGCGTTTTTCGTTGCAAAATTGAATTTGTAATAAATTTAAAAAAAATGAAACTGATACATTTGATCTTTTAATTACCCTTTTAGCCATTGAGCAACAGAGAGTTACAATACCCAACAAGCACGGTGAAAAACTAGTGGGTCTATTGCACGAATCTGGAAGCAGGGAGATTGTAATCTTGTGCCACGGTTTTCGCTCCTCAAAAGTTGGTTTCTTTAATATGATGTTAAGCTTTTATGCATACCCCTTTTGCCCCAATTAGTTTCATTGCTTTGGTTTTCTTATCTTCAGGAAGCCAATGCCTTGGTGAATCTTTCTGCTGCATTGGGAAATGCCAGAATCAGTTCCTTTCGCTTTGACTTTTCTGGCAATGGGTAGGTTTAATGCTAGTACGAACCAAACCCACGAGTTCTAAGGATTTTATTGTATATACTTCCTCGTGATTGAAATATGCAAGTGGCTTTATTTGTTAATGCAAGTGTTGTGAAACTGGATTTGCGAATGAAAAGAGAAAAAAAGTGGCCTTGTTAAGGTTTGGATTGCTTGAAAGAATGTGTTTGATAAAAATACCAATATTTGAAAACATTAAGCTTGGGTCCAATTGAAAAAAAAAGGAATATTTAGAGTTAGATTAGATGAATAATAGGTAAGGATGCCACATTTTAAGAGTTGGAGGTTGGTATCTCTGTATGATATAATTCAAGGACAATACAACCATTAAAATTAAAATCATATTGGGGCTATTCAACAATGTAACGGCGGTCTTTGTAACAAACACAGCCCCAAAGAGATCGTTGGTGCAAGCTGCTTAACGATAGTTCATTTACAGTAAACTTGGACATTACCGATATACTATAGGATATGAATTTTTCCAACAAAGAGATTTGTAGGTAAACTAAACAGACATGACCGGACAGTTATTATCACTGCCTGCAGGGTTAATCTTCATTCTTCAATACCTTTTAAACATACATGTTTCTGGTCCTATGATCTCATGGAGCAATAGGTTGTAAAATTGGTTGGTACTTTCTACATTTACACTGTTATGTGGACTAAAATTTCTGCGAGCTGCTCTTGATCACAGTCTTGTTTCACTCTATGTGCCCTTAATTTAGCTGTTCAATATTCCTTCTAGGGAAAGTGATGGTTCATTTCAGTATGGTTACTATTGGAGGGAGGCTGAAGATTTACATTCTGTAACTCAACATTTCCATGAATCAAACCGTATAGTTAGTGCAATTGTTGGGCACAGTAAAGGTATTTTAACTTGTTCTCCTCATCTGCAAGTATTTCCCCCAACAAGAAGAGATTGTGAAATACGTGTCAAGATAGCGTTTAGGATATAGATGCTGATTTGAATAACTATTCATCAATTATGCCCCATTATATAACTGATGATGTTATGAGACTGTTTAATCTAATTAATTTCCTATTGACCTGGTTGTAAAGATAGAAGCCTAGAATGATGCAGTGTGAAGTGAGTTATGTTCTTCTTGACATAGAACCAGGATAATAACTGGCTGAATCTTTTATTTGAGCTTAAGAAATATATTGAAATAGATTTAGCTATATTCTGAGCTGCTTGGCAAAATCCGGCTAAAGAGGAACTTGGTGAGTATTTTTCATTTGAACTAGTATTGAGAATTAGTATTATAGAAACATAGGTATTACCTGTTATATTTCTTAACATGGGATTTTGTAGGAATAGTTAAGATTGATGACCGTTCCTACACTCCCACACTTTATGGACACTACTAGTGCTGCTTTGACCAATACATCTCAAATTACTTCTCTCAGTTTGTTTTTCAATTTTGCATGCATAATTGAACTATTATTAATTGTTGCCGCATCTTGATGTAGGAGGAGGTGTGGTGCTTCTTTATGGTTCTAAATATCATGACGTTAAAACAGTTGTCAACCTATCTGGACGCTATGATCTGAAGGCAGGAATTGAAGAACGCCTGGGAAAAGATTATATGGAAAGAATTAGGAAGGATGGTTTCATTGATGTGAAGAGGTCAGGTAACCTATCATTTACACTACAATACTTTGATTTTGCCACATTTCATTCTCTTAAATTGATAACAAAATAAACACAAAAAGAAAGGAGAAAGAGGAAAGGTAAAAGAGGCGGAAATGAAAAAACTAGGCAATAATTATTAACAATTGTCTTCAATACTTGAAAATTGGTTAGCAGTCATCTTAGTTAATCTGGCTTATGACATGGTATTCTCTGTTTCAGTCTGTCTAACATAGGCACACACTTATTTTACTATTATATGACCATTTGGGGGCATCTTCTGTTACAGGAAAATTTGAGTACCGTGTGACTGTTGAAAGTTTGATGGATCGCTTAGATACAAATATGCATGAAGCATGCCTTCAGATTGATAAAGATTGCAGGTTACGGAAATTTTTTTTCATCCCTTTTGATTTTGCCTTTTGCATCCTTTTGTTGATAAAGTTGTGAAAATTACAGTTACTATAAAAAGTTTTATAATGCAGAAGCAATGAAATATATGATATGTTCTTATCTCCTTCTCTAACTTTCTCGTACTCTATATAAAGGATTAATAATATATACCCATTTTTTTAGAGTTTTAACTTTGTCCTAGGGAGAATTGAGAAGAAATATTAAATAAAATTTTATAACTAGTTTTTCCTTCATTACATTTGTTGGAAGGAACATAAATAGTATTTAGATTCATTGTATAGGCTAACCAAATCATGTCATTGCAGTAATCGTATCTGTGATATCCTATTTATTACTTTTTGTCTATTTAATTATGCTCTGTTGTGTTGTGTAAATACGTCACTTTCATCAAATGTCTCGCACATTCCTTTCTAACATGGTATGAGACTCTCATTAAGAGGCATCCCTATTTATTTTTAACTTTTTTGAAAACTTATAAACTGAGGAAGAGGAAATTTGCCATATTAAATATCTAGTCTTGAATCTTGATCATTTAAATTGAAATTGTTTGGTTTCAAATTTCAATTATGATGTACTCTAATCAAATGGGAAAATCATTTTAGTATGCAAATTTGTGTACAATATTAAATTTAGGAGCACATTATGTAAAAATACAGGATAGTATTTTGAGTATTGGTAGTCTATTCGAGTCACAGATGATGAAGGCAAGAAGGTGGTACTGCAAAAAACATTATTAGTAAAGCTATGAATGTAATAGAAGTGCTAATCTCAAATCACATAATGGCTGACAGGGTGCTTACAGTTCATGGTTCTTCGGATGCAATTGTCCCCGTTGAAGATGCACACGGGTTTGCCAAGATTATACCAAATCACAAGTTACATATCATAGAAGGAGCTGACCATTCATTCACTAATCATCAAGATGAATTAGCCTCTGTTGTTGTGAACTTCATAAAGGAATCCTTGCACCAGGATAGGGGTACATCTAGCTAGGTGCTAGCAGCATCTGAACATTACATTTTTTTATGGACATTCGTTTTTCTAATGATATAAAATTGCGGTAGATCTTGCAGTTTAGAGCCAGTTGAATTTGATGCTCTTTACAAATTTTCTCTCATGGATGAACCTCATGTTTGAGCTCTTTTAGATTTTGCATGTTAAAATAGTGAATCTTGCATCAGGGTTGATCTGCAGGTGATATTTATCTCTGATTAGATGGTAAGTTATTTTGACACTAACAATTATGACGTTGCAAAACGTTACCTCATGGTATTGGTAGCATATTGTGGGCAGGGCAAAATCCTAAGAGGTTTTAGTCCCATAATTTGAAAGTTGTGGGGACACTTTATTACAAATAAATAATAAAACATGCTTGGGCTTCTTGTTTGTGTTTTTTCTTTTTCAAATGATGAAAGCATTTGTTAAATTGATTCTGAGATTATCGGTTGCAGAGGCTGTATAAAGCATGAATCTAAAACACTGTAGACAATTTTTCACTATCGTGAAGGGCAGATTACAATTCCAAACTAAAAATAGATTTGGAATTAGTAACGTTAAAGCTAGTTCCGGTTACTTGCATAAATTTCATTCAAATATTAGTGTGCTTTCACAATTTGAGAGATTTTCAAATTAAAGAGTGAGAGAAGGAAGAACCACGATTTTTGTTAAATGAAAATGAAAAAAGATTAACTTCGAACATAGTGTTTTTTTTGGAGAACTGATTTTTAAAATTGTAGTTACAAATTGTTTTCTAATACATTAGCTTTTGTATTTAATGTTGAAAAAATTATTAAAAATGTTATAAGATGATATAACATTACTTGTAAAGAAATATATTCTCATTTAAAATTTTTATGACCTTACTAGCAATAGCATCTAGGGTCCAAGCTAACATATAGTAAGCTAAAATATTATACAATAAATATACCAATATATTATATATTTTTAACAGTATTTTATTATATTTTTCTTCGTCCCTCGTCTTTGATCTTTCTCTCTTATTCTTAACTCTACGGTATATACAACGTCTATAACACTCATTTTTATATAGTTAATGTTTTTTCTGTGTGCTGCACGAATGTTATTAAACTAAATAAAAATTTTAAATGAATTATAAAATTTTATTATTAAATAAAATAAAAAAATTAAAATTTTGAGTTAATATTAAGTTAAAAAAATAAATACATGACATAAAGTAAATAATTTGGAAGGATTAAAAAATGACTAATTTTAAAAATACTTATTTAAGAATGCTCTTTAAAATATTTTGATAAAAATAAAAATAAAATTGAAAATTCATTGGTTGTTTTCCATATAACAAATTGTATCATAGTGTGATGAGATATGATGAAAGCAGCAGTGTTAAGGAGTTTTGTGGCACTTGCAACTGGTGTTCATAATCATCATCATCACTCTTTGGAATTTAGAAAGCTTTCACAGCCTATAGTTTCTGATTTTTGTCGCAACTCAGTTCGCATTTCCATCTCTCCCACATCCTTCAACTTGAAGATGGCTCAAGATTCTGCACAAAATCCCCGTGAGTTGCTTTTGATATGCAAGCTATGAGATTGATGACATCACTAACTACCCATCATCATTAGGTAGCAAAGGCTTCACCTTTAAGTGCTTGAAACTGCTTCCATGTGGTTTATGTTGAAGCTACTGATTCAATTCGCTGTAAAATTTCCAGAAATGGTTGTTAAGTAGCAAAAGTTCGACCTAATTAAAACTCGCTGGTCCAAGTGCTATAAATTTGTTGATGAGTTCTATGTATTTGTGTGACACTGGACAGAAGACTCAGATCATGTTTTGGTTTGCAAGTTACCTGGAATTGGAATGTAAATTTACTTGTTAAGTTAGCAGTTTCTAGACAGAATAGTATGTTATTTGAGAAGTTCCACTGTTTATGTTCAAAGTTTTTGGGTTGTCTTCAACTCTTCAAAAACTCCTTTTTACATAAATAACGAGAAAACGCATTTTATCTAAGCAACTAAGCTGTGGGTTGTCCGAAACAACACCACCTTACATGCTTTGTGATATTTGAAAAGCATGATGTAATGATGCTGTGTATTTCTTTAACCTATGTTGCATTTTCAATATTCAATCAATTTCAAAGAAATTGACTCAAACTTGCTGAATTATTTTTTTCAGCTTTTCAGCAACAGAAAGTCATAATAAGCAACAAGCATGGCAATAAACTAGTGGGCATATTACATGAATCTGGAACCGAGGAGATTGTTATTCTGTGCCATGGTCTTGGAGCCTCGAAGGTTACTTTTCCTGAATTATAAATCATGAACCCATTATTTTTACTTTTATGATACAAATGTTGTTAGAAATTAATGACATCTGATCCCATAGACAAAGAAATACCTTGATTCAATTATTCTCATTGTTTAATTATATTTCCCCATCTCCAGGAAGACAACATCATGACAAAACTTGCTTCTGCGCTAGAGAATGCAGGAATCAGTTCTTTTCGCTTTGACTTCACCGGAAATGGGTAGGTATCTTTGAATTAGTGGACAAACTCTGAACATATATATGCTTGTCATCTTGACCTTCAAAATGTGAAACCAACTCTACTTTTATTATTAATATTGATTTTTAGATTCCTAACTATGCTGAAAATGTAAGTTAAAAGCCCTAGTGGAATTATTTTGCGAGCAAGATGTTTGAAGAAGCAGATGCCAGATGCTTTTATGTTCAAACGTTGATTAATAGTGTGTTATGCATTGCCACTGAACATTATGTTAATTATTTCACTTATTGTTGGAACATATATGTATTAATTCTCAAGATCCAAGATCCAAGTTAAAATTTTCTACCAGAAAATAACACATTAGAAGTCAATGGCAATATATATTTTTTGCAAAACTAGAGTTTTAATTGACAAGGGAATGTAGACACATTGTGCTTTTAACAAAGTAATTATTTCCTTTCACAATAGAAAAGTTAAAACATCTGAGATGGGATTTTTTGTCCTAGTGATAGAAGTAATGGATCACCACTAGCTCCTCCATTTATGCCATGTTCTATAAAACTTCTGCTATCTAATCTTGACTTATTGTTCAGCTGTTTCATTTTGATTTATTGTTGAATTTTACTTCTAGGGAAAGTGAAGGTTCATTTGAGTTTGCTCACTACTGGAGGGAGGTTGATGATCTACATGCTGTAGCTCAACACTTTCATGAAGCAAATCGTTCAGTTATTGCAATTGTTGGGCACAGTAAAGGTTTGTTGTATTACAGTGATACCATAATCCTACAGATAAGAAGAGGTGGGGGGGAGGGGTGTGGTGTTACTGAATTGTGTTCATTTTTTTTTTCTAATAGCAGATGATAAATAATTTCTGGTCAACAATGATCTGCCTGTAAGGCATAAATCTTGAATGAAGTGATATACTGAGAACAGCGCCATTTCTAACATAAAACAATAATTTTGCTTATAGATGGTTACCCACTGAAACTAAGCATGTACTTAGTCTGAACTCTGAATAAAATTTCTTTTGCTTAATCTACTGAGGGTGTCAGCAGAAGTACTAAAATGACAACATAGTCATTTTTACCTCTGTCTGTTGTCCTGTGTACGGTTTTAATAATAATAATACCTGGTAAACATAAAGATGATTATGTGAAATTTTATCACTTGCTGTATCTTGATGCAGGAGGTGGGGTGGTACTTCTTTATGCTTCTAAATATCATGACATTAAGACAGTTGTCAACTTATCTGGACGCTATGATATGAAGGCAGGACTTGAAGAACGCTTTGGAAAAGATTACATGGAAAGAATTAGGAAGGATGGTTTCATTGATGTGAAGAGTTCAGGTAACCTGTCACTTAATCACACATTAATATGCCGACCTAGATCTACACTCTTGTGAGTAATAACTTTAATGCTTATATACCTAAATACCAATACCTGGATTCATTACTTGCATTTTAGTTAAACTTGTCTTGTTTTTTAGTTACAAATATATGTTGTTTTTTTTTTTTGGACAAACTAGTAAAATAAGAATACTATTTTAAAATCAATATTAACTATGAAATATCAATAAAATATAAAGTATTAATTAAAAGTGCATCATGTCTAAATTAAAAGAAAATCAAAGCTCTTTTAAATCCTCCTAATTATAAAATATAACAAATATGCAATGATATATAGATATAGGTATGTGGCGGATTGGTACTTGTATGTGCAACCTGTATCCGTTCAAGCAATTTTTGCAAGTAGTTATGAGCCCGTTTGTTTCAACTTTAAAAAAAAAATTAGGATATATAAAACATGATTTATTTTTGGAGATTTTATAAAAATTAAAAGTGAATTTTTTTTTTTGTGATTATAAAAGTACTTTTTATTTTAATGGATAGTTATAATTTTAGCTTTTTTCTAAAAGCTATTCAGAACAATTTCTCTTAAAAGTTAAAACCAGATTATTTTTAGTTTCTGATTTTTATAATCTTAACCAAACAATCTAAAAAGTTATTATTATTTTAATAAAAATGCTTTTCTTTTTATAAAATAATAATCTTAAACAAATGGGCTCTATATAGGCTTGGACTAAGACCCATTTGATGATAAGGATCTTACTTCTTACAGGTCAGTTTTTGGGCATTGACTTTAGTCCAAATGTTATCCCAAATATAAGAACAAAGTTCTTGCTGCAGTATTTTTGTTTTGCCACAGTTCATCCTCTTAAATGTTTGATAACAAAACAAACCCTAAAAGGAAAAGGAAAAATGAAAATCCGAGCAATAATTATTAATAGTTGTCTTCAATACTTGAAAATTGGTAGGCAGCTGTCATAGGTTATCTGGCACATAACATGGCATTCTCTGTTTCTGTCTGTCTAGCATAGGCATGCACTTTTTATATTATTATGTAACCATTTTAGGACATCTACTGTTGCAGGAAGTTTTGATTACCGTGTGACTATGGAAAGTTTGATGGACCGCTTTAATACAAACATGCATGAAGCATGCCTTCAGATTGATAAAGAATGCAGGTGAGGAAAGTTTTTGTCTCTTTTGCTTCACCCTTTTGTATGTATAGAGTTTACAGAGTTTCTCTGAACAGTTTTATAGAACTAAGGATAATTTTATGTTTTTATTTCTCTCTCTAGATGTATGTTTATCATGTATACATAAAGGACCATTTTAAAAAAGATAAATAAACTCTTAGATGTAGTTTTTTCTTCTTTACATTTGTTGGAATGTGTGTAAATAATGTCTAGATTCATTTTATAGGATAACCAATTCATGTTATTACAGTAATTAGGATATGTATGATCTTTGATTCATTGTATTTATTAAATATTTTTCTTTGTTATTTTTTGTTTATATAATTTAGCTCCACTATTTAGTTTAAAGATGTGAATTTCATCACATGTCCCTTGTTTTCTCTTCTCTTAAATGGTATGACAAGAGGCATCCCTATTTATCAACTTTTTATAAATTATAATGAAATGAGTGGAGGAAGTTTGCTATATTAAATATCTACTCTTGATATTTGCCAGGGTCCTTACAGTTCATGGTTCTTCAGACACTGTTATCCCTGTTGAAGATGCATCTGAGTTTGCCAAGATTATACCTGACCACAAGCTACATATCATAGAAGGAGCCGATCACTCATACACTAATCATCAAGATGAATTAGCCTCTGTCGTTGTGAACTTCATAAAGGAATGCTTGCACCAGGATAAGGGTACATCTAGCTAGGTATTTGTTTTTACTAGAGGCGTTTGAACTAATGTTTTTTCGTTGAACATCCACTTTTCTTATGATAAAATTGTGGTAGATCTTGAAGTTTCGAGCTTATTGAATTTGCTACAGGTGATAAAATTTCTCTTATGGATGAACCTGCTTATGATGTTCTACGTTCTACAGCATGTTTGAGCTCTTCTAGTTTTTGTTTATTAAATGAGTGAATCTTGATCAAGTTGAAAATAATGGCTAGAGTAATATCTGCCAGTGTTATTTGCCTCAAGATCTGTACAAAATTCTTTTAACATTATGAATTATGAGTATGACAGACGGCTCTCTCATGGTAGAAAATTGTGGCCAAGGGAAAAGCTGAAAAAATTAGTGATTAATTTTACAAAATAAGTTAAACCAAACATATATTTAGGGCCATTTTGAGTGAATAAGTCCTCAGAATAATATGAAAAATGAATAAAACTTCTTTGTTCAAAATAATTTATCTGTTTAAATTTTAAAGATGTTAAATGAAATTTTTTTAAAAAAATAAAAAAGTATAAGCTTGTTTTAATTTATGAGAATAGTTTGATTTATTTTACTACTTAATTTTGTATTTTTATAAATATTTATTGAAAAATTTATCTAAATTAAACCTTAATCTCTTGTTTAAAGTGGTTTGAAGGGTATGATCGTATGGGATTAATTCATTATTATTGGAAGAAAATGGTTAGAACACCTTGTATTACTATGCGTTTGGATTTGATAATTTTGGTTGATCATTTGACAAAAGCTATAAAGAAACATCATTCAATCTTGTTTGGTAACTTTTAGAAAACCAACAAATAATATTTCATGAATTCTTTTTACAAAAGAAACAATTTATTTTAGATAATCAGAATTTTAAAACTTATGATTAAAATTTTTATTTATTTTTATTCTTATAATTAATTATTTTAAATGTATAACTATTACACATGATTTCATATCAGTTTTTGTAATTTTACTCTATAAAAAACATCTAAATACTATAAATTATTTTAATATTTTTCAGCTAACATTTAAGTACAACTTATTTTATGTGACTAATTATCACACTAATTCATTGAAAAATTAAATATTAAAACATTGTTCCAGCTAATCTAATCACGTAATCTTAAACAATAAGGATAGTTATCATGAGGTAAAAAAAGGATGAGGATTCGGGGCCTCGTAGTTGCGTAAACCATGACCATTCAATGGATCCCCGTATGAACTTTCGGCGGATTCAATGATCCTCCTACCCTAACGGTCGTAATTAGTCACGATATTTTTCTTATATTTTATTAACGACTGTTACAGTAAGAATGATAAAAAGAAAAAGAAGATTAGGTAAAAGGCATTAAGTAAAGTGGGAAAATTATACTAGGTGTGGTAGCAACCAATCTTAATGATCATGGTTGAAAATTATATTTGAAAAAATCAGAATCATCCATGTAATATTAGTTCGTCCATAGAGACTTCCAAGTTTGATACTGGAAGAAAAGAGAAGAATACAAAGAATAAAAATATCGAAAACGACTTAAAATGATTAATAGTTAACGCTGAAAATCATACCTTTTGACACACATTATTTAGTGCAATATGAACATGTTATGTAAGGACAGCAGTTATCACAACATACCTCGCAAGGGATAGTATTAAGCATTTATCCAACTGAATTAATCAGTTGTCAATTGATGCAATTGACATTCATACAACTGAGGTAACCAGTTCACATGTTATAGGTAGCCTACCCCTTCGAGGTATGATAAAATTCCCCTACCATAAATGGTGCTCACGAGAAAAAAAAAAAAACAAAAAAATATCTCTTTTCTGCTCCCCTACAATCTTGAAAAATTTTAGTGTGGGATGCATAACAGGCATTGCTCAAGTGATTGTGATATCATCTTTCCTCCATCAGTTGCAAGTTTCAGTACTTTCACCTTTTTCTTCATTTCTCGTCACTCACAATGTTCAAAGTCTGCAACTATTGCAATTACATTGCTAGTATACCAGGTCATGTAGATTGTTTTGGTGTTTCGCATCCTCATCATCATTGTCATCTTCCTCAAAATAAATCTCACTCCCTTCATTCTAGTTCACCAAAGAAAATAATGGAGCAAAAGAATTAGAGCACAAAGAAGATTAACAATCACTTCTTGTAAGTACTTCTAAAATTGCTATTACATATTATTGGCAAAGTTACCACTTAAATTGCAAGCATTCGGTAAATGTTTACGGAAAGAAAGTGTTTACCTCTTCCAAGTCATCTTCAGAAGTAACAAGATTATCCAGGGTTGAGTATAGAGTTTTTTCACCATCAATTTCCTTTCCATTCATCATATCCTCCTGAAATCAGTAACAAAAACTTAAGAAGGAACTTATAAAATAAACTATTAAAAATAATTAAAGCAGAATCATATAAAAGTGAAAAAACATCATACCAGCTCAGATTTCAGTAACTCAATTCTCTCCTCTAAGTCTGAGATATGATGTTTTAGTGCCTGGAAAAATAACTTCATGAGATGAATGATCAAGTAAAGATCTGAGTTTACCATAAGTCATTGCTTTATTACCTCTCGTCTTTGAAGCTCAGTAGATCGAGCCAATGCCTGTCTTCGTGTTAACAAGTTTTTGGGTCTCAGAACATGCGGACGGAAATAGTTCTTCCCACGATAAACAATAATTGTATAGTGGCCTCTGGTATCCTTATCTACAGACACTAGCACCCCACCACTCTCAGCTTCCAAAGATATTGCGATATGCTTTACTTGGGCCACGTTTTTCCCTCTTACAATTATCTTTACCAACTCACGATATTTCCAGTGTAGGTGCATGTTTTCTATGGTGCCAGCATAAACATCTCGCCTCCCTGAAATAAAAATTTTATGCTTCTAACATTTATTGTGTATTACCCTATACTAATAAAACAGCCATTCATTAAGCTATCATAACATTGTTCGTACTTCTTACCTAGAAAAAAGTATGGCTTCATACTCAGACCAATCTTCCTAAATAAAAATCTCTCTTCATCAGTTAATGTTTCCAAATCAGTAGGAATGTCAGCTGGGTCCAGATCACGCTGCACTTTTGCCAGAGCCTTCTCAGCTTTCTTGAACTTTGCTTTTGCCTATTATTACTATCAGAAGTTAGATGCAGTAACGGCAGATAATTTTTGGGAAGTTATTTCACTTGATTCATTCATGACTTACCAGAGCAAGTCTCTTCTCATGGTTTTTTATTAAAAGAGAAAGTTTATTCAAGGCAGAATCTCTCATCATGTTCTCAATATCCTGTTTACTTGTTTGGTGTCCCCAGTTGGTGGTTGCTGCCCTAGTCTCAGCAAGGGTGCCAGCAAATAATGGTACTCGAGATGCTTCATTATTTGATACAGTACTAGATGAAGCTATTTGTCTTGCTTTCTCTTCCTCTTCTTGTTGGAGGAGGGTCAGTTTCTGTCTCTCAGTCAGTGTATTGATGACAACAGGAGGCAAGAAGTCATTGCCCCTGTAAAATACAATATATTCCTTATTTCTAGAAAGTAGAGTTCCCCCAGTCAATTCCTGCATTCATTAAATGCAACCGCCATAAGTCTGAAGAAAGGAATAATTTACTCACTTTAATATGCCACCGGAAAAACTAGGAACCATAACAGCTGTCAAAGTTTACAAGTATCAAGTGCTAAGCATTAACTACAAAATGCAGACACATGGTGCTTTTCTTGTTTTATAGATTTCACCTAATATTTTCAACTGATAATCCCAATTGAGGGAAATTTAACAAACTTATCTATCTTATGGTACAGAAATTGGTTATTTGTCTGGGAAAGATATCATGGTAAATAACAATTAGTGAATTATTTAGACAACTCATCTGTACCTGAAATTTTCTATTAACTGACTAGTTGGATGGCTAGTCACTCTGGCAATTCCCTAAAACTTTAAACTCAGTTGTTGCTATAGCAAAGATAACTAATCTTTCCTATATCAGGAGGAAATTAGTGAAATACAAATATGCTTTGTGAGACAGGACTCATTTTGATTGATTATTCTTCCTTTATGCGTACTCTTTAATCAATGCATTAGACAAAAAATTAATGGGTTTAGAACCACAATCATCCCCAATATATTCATTTATAAGATATGAAAATTTCATTAGACTCAAAGGCCAAGCAGATGGGTAGATTTATATACTCTCTTTAGCACAATAAAATTTCACTTCAATTAAATTTAGTAGTGTGTCAAAATTTCCAGCTCTGTTTATGAGAAATACCCTGAGTTCTTCAGCCATCCTGTCATTGCATGTATGGGGGACACCTCGTTTGATGGCAATTTTTGCAATAGCACTCGTTTCCCACAGCTTCACCATAGCACTTGCCAGACCTTGCAACTCTCTGTTTCTGCCTGCAGTAGTAAAAAAGTAGTATCCATTGGAAAGAGATGCTTGCAAGACATGAATGTAACTAGGTAGATATTTGCATACCAAGGGCAAAGTGTGGAGCCGTTATTCTTGCAAGCCTACGGAATTTAGTCATATCCTTGTTGCTTAAACAATGCCTTATCCCATAAGGAAGAAGTCGGAATGGGGTTTTATATCCTGGAACTACAGCAGGTAATAAGTCTGCATCAACGGGCAATGGTTCACGGCCTGTCCAATCTTTGAATCGTGGGCCCAAATCATCTAACAAATGGTTGAGGTCGCACAATTCCATTAATTCTTTTTCAGTCATGTCCTTCAAATACTCAACAGAGTTTCCAAGAAATGATTCAGTAGTTCCAACTATTTCATGCACACCTGCTTGATCATCACTTCCACTTCCAACATCAACTGAGTGGTGCACAACATTCTCCTTAGTATGATTCATCTTTGTATACAATTCTACACAGGGAAGCTTGTAGGTCATTCCTCGATATAACACTATGGAACTGCCCGATCGCCATATCACTATACCTCCAGTTTTGCTCTGACTAAGCATGAAGAAAATATTGTGAACAAAAAAACTCAAGCAGTTCAAAAGTTGCACAAGATAAAAGCAAGTCACAAGCAATCACAACTTGAATTGCATCTTTAAACTTAGATCTTGATGCGAGGGTGCACAGACACCTCAAAATAGTAAATGTGTTGTGTCGGATACTGAGATTTTCTACACTCCATGCTGCATTTTACAATTTCATTACAAATAGGAATGATAAGATAACTAAATAAATCATATCAATTTATTGTGTCTACAATGACTCAAGCCCATTTTTAAACCATTGATTTTCTATTTTAAATTAACTTTATATGTTGTATTATAGCCGTGTGATGCCTATGATATTTAAAATCTGTGATATCTCCATGTCTTTGTGCATGTTTTCAAGCAAATAAAGACTTATTATCCAAAGCATAGATAACTAAAGGAAGAGTAGACAGACAGAGAGACCTCTAGAATTTGATGAGCCCTTTTCATGTTAGCAGAGAGCGGAGTATCAAACTTGAACTTGACAACTTCACTATTTCTCCACTTTTCGTGAACGGAAGCTACCAATTCTTGCGTAATGCCTCTCACTCCAACCTCGAATCTTTCCATCATCCTCAACGCAACATTTCTGAGCCTCCGCAACTCATGTCCAGGAATCACCCTCTCCGCTAACTCCGTGTTGCTTCTTCTCACTTTCCTCTCCCCATTCATTCTTCCTGATTCACTCGCCATTCCCTCTCTTTCTTCAGTAACAGAACTGCGAAAGCTGTTCTGTAACGCTTTACCTTTGCCATTGACGTTGTCCTCCTCGTCCTCGGAAGCATCGGATTCAGTATCTGACTGTGGAGTGCTGGGGTTTATTGCCTGAGACCAAGGAGATAAACGCTTCGGAAATTGAAAATCCACAGCTGAAAGCTTCTTTTGAGCCTGCTCACACTCTTCTTCTTCTTCTTCTTTGAGTGCTGTTTTTTGTTCCTCCTCGTCGTGCTGTGGTTCTTGCCATGGGAATTTTTCTCTTTGGGAAGCTAATTTGAGGGACCATTTATCTCGAATTTGATGAAAGAAGCTTGGTCTGGGAGCGTGCTTCTTTTTCTTCTTTGCTACCTTCACTTCTTCAGTGTCAACTTGAGTTGTTTGGTTGGAACAAGAAACTCGGAATTTGAGCGAAGCGTGGCTTTGGGGTTTGATAACTGGAAAATGCAGAGAAGAGGAACGACACGGTGTGGAAGAAGAAGAGTAATTCAGCGGTATTGCTTGGAGCGCCATCGCATTATTATCATTATCAAAAGCATAAAATCTACTTCTCCACTTTCACACACTCAGAGGACCTATGTTTTGCCTTCACAAAACATAGCCCTCTTGGCCCAACCACCCATGTAAAGCCCAACAAAATAGCCCATAGTAAAATGGGCCAGCCTTACCCCATTCTTGTCAGCAAGGACTGAAAAGATAGTAATAAAAACCCTTTTGCTATTGTTGACCAAAAATAAGAGAATTTTTTGCTATTGACCAAAAAGAAGAAAAAAAAAAGAATTTTTACTAAGCTTGGAATGTAGCTCATGTGATACCATGTAGATCAACTGTAGTAAAATGTTCCAGCTTAATCTGTGACCTTAAATTTGAGTCCTAATAAATATTGTTTTTTTGTAATATTTTTGTTACTATATCAGAAAAATATATCTCATGTGGTGAGAGATAACAAGTTATCTAGAAGATGACCAGGTTTGAACCTTGTGTCTTGAAAATTTTCACATTTATTTTCTCCTCCCTAATGACAAAAAGAAATTGTTAATTGGTACTTTAAAAGAATTTTCAGCGGGTAATAATATGCATTGCTGTAAGTGAACAATAAGGGCACATGGCATTTGTTGATTGCAGACAAGTACTTTACAATGCTGTTGTGCCATCAGCAGTTGAGGTTGTCTCTTCTGCTGGTTCATGCTGCCAAATTGACATGCTACGATGGGCCCCACTGAGTAGGTCACTGTTGGGCCTTGGAATGATCCATATCAGATTCTAGCAAGCCATTGCATGCATGCCAATAACCATCGCCACCCGAAATTATTCTCTCCCGCACTCAGATTCTCCGCAGCACAGGCTTAAGCTGTGTAGTTTAGTTTCTTTTTCTCATGCCCAACCTAAGCCCCATCTTTAACCCAACAGTTAGAGAATTAAATACACATTCTTATCTTATTTATAAAAAATTAATACTTAATTTATTGAAAAAAATATATTAGTTATGTGTTATAAATGTATATTTTATTCCAAAAATACACAGAATTAAATAATTAAATTAGTCAATTGTATATTAAATGAATGAATATATTTACTTTAATAGATAAAAGGTATGTACTATATTAACACAAATCTTATAATAAATAAGGTTACAAAAAAATTAATTAACATATTTAAAAAAGTATTTATTTTTTATATTTAAGATAAAAAGTATTAGCCGTTGCTTCTTATAATAGGATTGGAAGTAATAGTATGATATGTATACTTTATTTCTTTTGAATTTCACAAAAAATTGAAAGTAATTGATCTTTTGTTTTGTCTGCTCCATCAAAGTTTATAAGTTTGTCCAATTATTATACATATCAAGGTTGGGGCAGTGTTAGGTGCTTAGCAATTGGGCTATTTAGCTTGAAGGTACAAAACAACTGATATAACTTGTAAGTACTCAACTAGTGGTTCAGGTGCATGGATCAAGGGAAAGGAAGAGTTTGATTGCTAATAGTTGGCTTACTAGCTGTTCCAGCAAGGGATTATAGAAATTAAGTCAATTTGTTGGTTACAATATTATGTGATCAATGTATAGGTATGGTTTTGGAAATAAATGGTGAACTGGATATTGGTTGTCTAGATATGAACAAAAGATAATAGAGATAGATTTAGGGCTTGAAAGAGTTTATACTTTTTACTTCTTTTTCTTGCTTGACATTTTTGTACTTTGGTCATTCAATTATTTGGTGTTCTGTACCAGTTTTTGTGTAGGTGTGTTTGTTGTTTTTCATGATTAGTTGGAGGAAGGAAAATCAGTGTCTTTTGTTTTAGGGTGATCTTTTATTTATTTTTTAAATAATGCACAACATTCTCAATGGATGTCATTAACTAGCTCATGTTTTCAACTCATTGTTATATAAGCTTGGAATTCTTTTGAATGAAAAGGAGAAAAAAAAGAAGAAGAGACAAACCTGTTAAATATTTAAAAATTAAAAGACTAAAATAAAGCAACATGAATTCAAATGGAAACATAACCTAATGTCATTATTAATGAAGATAAAGAAACCATAAGAAAAAAACCACTTTGCCATTATTAGATAATTAAGTACTAAAATTTTAGATATTGAATAATTAAAACATTGTTAACGGATTTAATTATCACATCTCCAACAGTATCTTTTTTAAAGGAAAAGTCAATTCGGGTGGACCATCGAAAGATTTAACGATAATTTACTTTCATCTCAATTTTTGTCATATTGATCACAACCCCTTTAATTTACATATTGGTTGACACTGGACAAGGGATTCGATCTCTCGCAATATTATTCATCTCAATTTTCTTTATCTTCATAATTGTAGAGAATCACAATCCACAACCACCGTCCTCACAATTTAACTTTAAAGATATGCAATAAGTTACATCATTTCATTAATTTCGATAATGTTGGGGAGGTAAAAACAATTAGGATACGTGTTTCAATTAAGTTTGGCAGTACACATAGGAAGCATAATCATCGTCACGTGAAAAATGGACCAGTTTGACATATTAGAAAAAACAAAAAGTGAGTCTTGGAGAATCGATTATTTTGCAACTCACTGTCATCCACCGTGATTTTCATGAGGAATCCTAGCTAACACGTATCAAGTATATATTAAAGAGTGATGCTACTAATTGTATATGTGACTACACCCTAAAATTCTCATTGATTGAGTTCAGGTCCACACGGAAAAAGAGGTTCCTAACTAGAGCCGGACATTGCTTAAGCATCAAATGAAAATGGTGCTAACAAAATAGCAACCAATTGGCAACACCAATTGCTCTCTCCGTGTTTTCTCTATGCTCCTTAAATGTTAATTATGATAACATCAAATTTGTATCTTTCTTCACTCGTGCATGCGGATCATCTTTAGAATCTTTAGAGATCATTACCATTAAGATTCTCATGCCACTTTTTCTACACAATAGCTTAATATCGTATATCACCCACGACAAAATAATTACTACTCCTTGGGAAATTTTGAACGATGGATGCTACAAACTGAAAAATATGATGTGATGTGTCCAACTTTAATAACCTCGACTTTTAAAAGAAAAAAGTGCACCTATATACGAAGTGAACAGAAAAGCATATTTTACAAACACCTTAGGGAGATACGCATCTCATAGGTTTATATTTTGCTTTCGTTATCAATCCACAATTGTCTAATAGTTTAAGACTTGAAGTTATTCTAAAGTTCTCCAACTGGATTTTAAAAGTGGGAATGTAGACTTGGTTAGAGTGACATGCGGCTTTTTATATTCAAACTTTTTCGCTATACCATAGTTTTAGATATTTGGTATATTTTTACTAAATGAAAAGCTACAACCACAATTTTGTGTGTGAAAAAGAAATGCTACTTTCAGTCCGTGTGATTGATTTGAAAATTCATTTCTCAAATGATTAACGATTATAAATTAATTAATAAGCAAAATTATTTTTTAATGAACATAAAGGCCTAATTATACTTTTTTTAACAACTTCATTACTTCAGCATTAAACAATTCACAGTCTAATTTACACGGGATAAAGTTACGTTTATTTTTTATCTTTTTATGTACATACATCTCAAAAATTTTAAAAAATTAGCTTACTTTTATTGTACAAAAAATATTATTTTATGAATTTAAACTTTCATGTCACTTCGTAATCGTAGGAGATTTGGTGCTCGATACTACTAGGAAATCTCACCTGTCACCGTCTTGTCGTTGGGTAGGGGAATACTGAATAGGGAAGTAGGAATACTATAGTTTATAGACTTTCCCTTGTCATTGAGACTACCCCTTTCTATTTCAAAGATACATGCTTTCTAATATATATGTGTGTGTAGAAATTTACTATGAGGCAATAAAATTTATACGTTTATATTATTATTTTTGAAATCACCATTTTTGTGTCAAATATTGTCAGTTGAATAATAATAAAAAAAATACATATTAGAGTATAAATATTATATATATATATATATATATATAAATCAGTGTTTTTTAACAATATTAATAAAATATAAAAGTATAATCTTTTAATCAATATTTGTAAGATATATTAAAAATAAAGTTTCATTAATTTTGTAATTAATATTCTTAAAATACTAGTTTGTAATATATTTTTTTTTGTTTTTCTACAATTTTATTAACATTTGGACAAAGATTCTCAGGACATTGTGTGTTTAATAAATATTATAATAAATAATATTTAATATTATTGATACATTAAATTTAATAATATGATATATTTTTTAATAAAATTTTATTATATAATATTTTTATTATGTGTGAGTGAGTACACATTAAAAAGTTATATTTTAAAATTATAAAATTAAGTTACACTTTTTTTTAAAAATCGCCAGTAAATATATATAATTTAAATTAATTTAAGCATATATTACATTTATATTTAATTAATTAAAAAATAATTTAATGAAATATTGGAGAAGGATACGGATCCCCTGCAATTTGCATAGAAACTGCAGTCTTCGCTTAAGCGAAAATAGAATTACAATATCTTCTTATTTTTACGTATTTTTGCTTAAACAAATTTAAATTTATTTAAATAAAAATATGTAGAATGTTTGTTTGGCTTTCTCTCTTTCACCCACCCACTTAATTCCTTATTTTTTCCTATCTTTTCTTTCCTCTCTTTTACTTAGTCTCTTTCTTTTTTCTCTTCTTCTTTTATTTCTATCCAGTTTCCTTCTCCCTCTCTCTTCGTCTAGTTATCATTCCCTTCTCTTTATCCTCCCCTTCACTCTCCTTTTCTTCTCATCTAACTTTTTTTTTTTTATTAGCCTTTTACGCTTTCTCTCTCCTTTGTGTTATTGTTCCAATCTCTCTTTTAATTTGTTTTTTTCTTTTCTTTTTCTAATTTTTTTTGCTACTCTTTCTAATTTAAGTTAAATTCACTTAAAGAAATTTTTTTGGTTTGCTTAAACTAATTTTTTTTACTCAAACCAAATTTACTTTTTATTAAATTTGTTTAAATAAATCTTATTTCCCTTAAACGAATGAAAAATTGCAGCTAGCAGTTTCGCCAAAATACCAGACAGTGGAGAAAAACCTGA